ATCAAGGCCAACTCAATATGTGACGCAGCTATCTCAACTGATCGGTTTGTTGAATATAATAACAAATCATCCGCATATTGTAAAAGCTTTATATGATTATCGAAGCAAGAATCCAAATCATGTGTATAGATATTGTATAGCAAAGGGCTAAGGACTGACCCTTGGGGTAACCCCTTCCATACAGTCCTTTTTATTTCTGAATAACTAGATAAACTAACAATCAAATTACGTTCTTCTAATATGTTCATAATAAAATTAGTTAACATTGACGGGATGTTTAGCGATTCTAATTTATTTTTTAATACTGACACTAACACATTATCATAAGCAGAATTGATGTCCAAAAAAGCAGCCACTATAGATTCGTTGTTTGTAAAACCTATACGTATGTCAGTTGTGAAAATACTTATATTATCCATTGTACTTTTCCCTTTTCTAAATCCATATTGCGTTCTCGATAGTATACCTTGACTTTCTACAAACCATTCCAAACGGTTTTTAATTAAAATTTCAGCTAATTTTATTAGCACAGAAGATAAAACTATCGGTCGATATGAGCTGACCTCAGATGGTGGTTTATTTGGTTTGAGGATGGGCAACACTACTTGTGACTTCCATGACAGAGGTATGTTTCCTGTCAACATGATAGTGTTGATAAGTTGTAGATAATAAAAAAGGATATTGTCACTTACATTAGCAAAGAATGAATATGGGATTCCATCTTCCCCCGGAGCAGAATCTTTAACATGATATATTGCACTTTTCAGTTCACGAAGAGAAAAGAGGCTATTTAAACCAGATTGATTATAAGACGACTGCGAAGGTTGTGCAGTGTTGAGCATGGGAACCCATGAAGGGGCCAATTTGTCCATGAAATTAATAGTTATTTCGGTGGGAATAGTAATTCCAGAAGATATATTATATGAAGATTTAAATCTTTTTATGTTTTGCCAAACAAGAGTAGGATGTGTGTTAGGAGAAATAGAATTACAGAAACTTTTCCAACTGTCGAATTTTTTCTTTTTAAATAATCTTTTTGTTTCAGCAATCGTTTTAGACAAGTATTCATAGTTAGCTTCAGACATATTATTATTGTAAATTCTTTCAGCCTCTTTTCTCTTCTTAACCGCTTCAGTGCAATCTTTATCCCACCAAGGAGGGGATGGTATTTTTGTGCAATTATTTTCTTTGACAGGAAACACCTCTCTGGCAGCTTCATTTAAAATATTTGATAATGCTTCAGCGCAAATGTTTTCATTTCCATGAGTAATAACAGGGAGGTACTTAAGCTTGCATTCTACATTAGATTTATAAGTAATCCAATCTTTAGAACTTTTATCAGGTAATTTATATCTTCTAGTAGACTTTTTCTGGGAAATGCTAGGTTTATTAAACGGAAATGTAATAATAATAGGGAAATGATCACTTCCTAATGTAGAAGATAAAGTATGCCAGGATAAAGAAGAAGCCAAATTTGGTGTGCATATTGATAAATCTACTGCACTCTTATTAAGTCTAGGATCAGTGAGTCTTGTGGGTGATCCTGTGTTCAAGTAACATAAATTATGTGACTCAATAATATCTAATAAATTTACTCCATAACTATTAATAATAGAACTTCCCCATGCACTATGGTGACAATTGAAATCTCCTAAAACTAAGAAGGGTCTGGGAAGGGTAGAGAATAAATTATTTATTTCACCAAAAATTGGTGCAGATGGATGACTGATATAAATCGACACTATGTTAATATTATATACTTTCACTGCTACAATTGAAATATCTTTATGATTTATAGATATGCTAATGGGATCATAATTAACACCATTTTTTATGAGAATGGCTACACCACCAAACCCATCACTTCTATCTTCTCTTAAAGAAGTATAACCCTTAATTTGAAAGTGTTTTTGTGATGTTAACCATGTTTCTGATAGAACTAAAATAGATGGTTCATATTTATTTAGTAAATAAATTATTTCACTTTTTTTACTAATAGCACTACAGCAATTCCACTGAATTATTTTGTCTGTCTGTCTGTCCATTTAAAGTTGGTTTCATATTATTATCAATATTCTGTGCAGCGTTGGACGGTGGGAAGAGATTAAACTGGGAAAAAAGATTGAAAAGAGCAGTAATAAAATCTGTAGGAAGTTGTGTAACTGATGCAGAATTAGTATCATTATTAAAACCACACCCATTATTAGGTGAAGGAATCATAAATTCCTTTAATAACGCTTTATGAGCAACTGTGTCATACCCCTTTGTAGGAATAGGAGAAGAGCGAGGTTTAACAAATGTTGTTTTTTTGTAAGATGTCCTAGGGCTTACATTGGGAACAGCTCTACTATTTTCCATCTCATTCATGGACAATTTTGTAGGTGGGGCAGCTACAGTTTCAGCATAAGACTTAGAAATAGATGGTATCAATTTAGAAGCTTCAGCATAAGATACACAATTTTGTGCCATGTAAAGTTTGATTTGTGACTGCCTTACAAATTCTGGACATAACTTATTATTAGCAAAATGATATCCATCACATAAGCAGCAGGATGCATCTTCTTCTAAAGTATTACAAGACTCACCTGTATGATTTTGACCGCACTTGAAACATCGAGGTTTAGATCTACATTGAGACTTTGTATGCCCGAAGCGGCAGCATTGGTAGCATTGTATCGTAGGATATATGTATAAATCTACATTAAGAGCATTATAACACATAAATATGCGTTTTGGTAAGATTTGACCATCAAAGGTTAAAACGATAGTTTGAGATGGCTTCCAAGTAGGGGTATCATTTACAAAGGTTTTATAATTTAGCCGTCTTACTTTCAAGATTTCACCACAACCTATAGGTACAGATATATTACTTTTAACCTCCTCGGGAGACCAGTCTGAAGGAACGCCTCTAACTAAACCCATTCTTGTGATGTTGAATGAAGGAATAAATGCTTTTAAATTGTTTGTAACAAGACTGTTGTGGATAATAAAATCGTTTGCATCATAGTGTGTTGAAAAAGAGACAGACATTTTATTGCGGCCAATCTTTTTTACGCTACCATTAATAATGTTCTTGAAGCAGTTCTTTTTTAAAAATTTACCAAAAGCCATTGGATGCAATGAGGTTCCATCGTTAGGTGTCGCTTGTTGTTTTTGAACATGTACCACGTAAGGAGCAGCATCTGTTTTATCATATGATGTTCTACCAACGGATACAGGGGCAAAAGTAGGTGTAGGTGTGGGATTAGACTCAGGTGGGTCTTTCGTAGATGAGTCAGTTTTATTATTCAGCTCAGACTGAACTGGAGTCGATTCATAGCAACTACAATCGGTAGGTTTTGGTTCTGATTTATTATGTTTGCGTCTTTTTTTATTGCAATGCTTGCATACATGAAGTCGACTCCTTTTCAGAGAGCGACTAGCTACTGATCCATCCGTATCCATACCAGATTCATTATTCGATCCTATCGTAACAAAATTACTAGCCGGGGGGATAAAACCCCCCGGCTCCGGAAGCTCGTTCATACACCTAATAAATATTAATTAAATTTTGACTCACCAGAAAGTAGATAATAAATAATACTTAAATACACTATAAATACGTAAGTACAAACCAATTAACTGATCACTATTTTATGCAAGAGGTATTAGTTAAAAATATTAAAATCAAAAAACGCGCCCGCCAAAGTTAAACGTTTCCCGCGCTTTTTTCATTGGCAACCATATTTATGGGTATTACTCAAAGAATATCTTACACGGAAGAAGCTAATGATTTCGTTTAAAGAGGCAGACTTATTATCTGGCGGTCAGTTATCATTGTCAAAAGTTTTGAATTCTATTGGATTTAAATGTAAAAAAACGGACAGGCGTAAAATTCTGTTGGAACGCTATTGTATTATTTTGAATAGAATAACATTCTAACGACAAATAAATTAAATTACAGATTGATACAGCAGCCTCAACTCCAAAGTTCCATCGGGAAAAGGAGCTCCACTTATTATATGTCATGTGGGCTTAGATTCTGAAGGATTCCAGAGTGCCTCCTAGCATTTACGTCTAAAACTACTAGTGATTACCATGAAGAAATGAATTTTGAGATTTTAAAGAGTGGTTTGAGGAATTGCTTGTCAGCAATTTCTACAAAAAACTACCCACAATTATAATGGACAATACTCCTTACCATTCAGTCCAAGTCTTGAAGCTCGTCACAATACTGAGCCACTTCAGCCACTTCAGCATTGCAAATATGTTGAAGCTACTGCAAAAAGCGTGCGCAAAAGTGACTAAAGAAGACTAGAGAAAAGTTGTTGACAAAACGAAGAAAATAATTTTACATAATTTTGATAGAAATATGAGAATAGACAACATTATTGGAAATTATTTAATAATCTTTCAGTGCAGTCTGCAGTAGCAGTGACGGTGGTGATGATTATAATTCGATATGTTCACCTGAAAAAATACTTTTTCATACCTTAATATCATAATCCGGCATCCTACCCTTGCACACAGAGAGATAATTTGTGTGAAAATTTCCAAGCGCTTAAAGCGATTTGAACTTGGAAAGTTGGATTTCGTAGAAGCCTCTTACATTGCGGGCAGTGCAAATAGATTCATCACAAATCGAACTTTTTCTACCTGTTGTCAAATATCGGACTGACAACGATATGTTCGTCTTTTTTATCTCTAAAAATATCAAAAACTATCTTCTAATTGATATTAATTTTTAGATAATAATTTCACTGGATTTAACCATATCAATACGTTTACTTTAATTGTTGATTTTAGGCAGCACACATCACTATGCAATTCACATTGACAGTTTCATATGTGGCCTAATGAGCCTATTATAATGGCCCAACTGTACGTGTAGAAATTATAGGTAGTTTATCTATATAATTCATTCATTTGACATGGGCACAATAGACAATAGTAAATAAGATAGTCTATATCTTATTTACTATTATATACTTGATAAAAAACCGGTTAATCATTACCGTTTTTTAGGTACGCTTTATGAACAACTTTTAATGTTAAATTATCGAGATTATTGATTAAAAGTACTTGTATAAAATTTGACCTATAATTAAAATTAAAATTTAGAACAATACATTCACATAAAATCTATTATATTTAGGCTATTCACTGAATAAAAAGTAAATATCAATTTGCGCATGAACACTAACAGGTGGTTGAAATATTGATTTCGCTTGATATTTAATGTTGATGAAAGTAAATATCAAAATGTTAAGATTATGGGTATTTTTCAGTTGGTATGCTATTTTGGCATTACATACTATCTGTAAGAGTGCAGCCGATCAAACACCAGTTACTTTTACTTTCAAAGAATATCAGTACAAGGATACTCCAAAAAATGTGAGTTTTCAAGATACCTAAAATAAATCATTTTATTATTGTTTGGTAAAATGTTTTGTCTTATCGATATAAAATTAAATTTTTTAGATTTAAATTTTTATTTTGCACCAGGAAATGACTTTTCGAGAATTCGAGACTGCATGTGAACAAAGCAGCGCTTGCAGCAAAATGAATGGGTTAACGAGAATGCGCTGTGTACGTGAATGCGTATCACCGTCATGCTACAAGGAGCTTTACCAAACAGATCCAGTATAAATATTTTATTATTCTTTCATTCTAGTTAAATTACAGATTTATTTGACACACTCAGATAATTTAAATTAACAATACAGTTTTTTTAATTTGTAAGTAAAAAATTAAATGTTTTAAATATCTAACACAAAATATGTATGAACAATAAAATCTTAATCTTCGAATGTGACATGAATCTATACTAATTTATTGCTTTCTCTAATTATTATAGCTTGAAGAAGGTGAAATTGATGTCAGATTAAACTCTTTTAAAGGTTGTTTCATTCAGAGGACTGGCCGAACTAGAAATTGATTTTCTGCAAAGTTGCTCTCATCTTTAATTTTAGTAACTAATAAGATCAACAAAATCCGTAAGAAAGTGAACTTTGTAGCATTGGTAAGTTAAATATCATAAAAGTTATTTGGTAATTATTATTATAATATATTTTTAGTTTGTGCATTATTTACAAAATTATATCAACAAGTATATTATTGATATAATTTTCATTAAGATTATTCTGAAAATTAATACATACCATAATCTCCACAAATTGCTAATGCACCTGGCCGCCGTTTTGATGACGTAATTGCGTTAAAAAGTCAGTACCGTTAACAAATAAAACACTGTTTGACAAGTATACTTATTGAGTTGGGTTGTGTTGACACACATCATTTTTGTTGTTTTTGTTGGTTTCGATTGTTAGGCTACGAAAAATACAAATATAATATTCTTAAACTTAAGTATTGATGATTCACAAAATTAATTTATTATTTTATTCTATTTACAGTATGCTACCAGTGCAGTTGTCAAGAAATGCAGCTTTATTTCATTCATATTGAACAAAGTTAAAAATTTTCATAAATTGCAGTGAAATTTGGAGAGTGTATTTTCTAGAATCTAATATTAATTAGTATAAGGCCCATTTTGGGTGTAAAATAATAATTTCCAGCAGCTGAACTTCATCCAGGAGTTTAATTCAACTACTAATTTAATAAATCTTTAAAACTTCTGAGTTATATTTATTTTATTCTCCGCGTGTCTATATAGTTAGTAATTAAACTTTCATAAATTGTATACAATGCTATCCCTAATAATATTATATAATAAGTAAATAAATATTAAACAACACTAAATACATTGCTCAGGTCCTAATTTGTATTATAGAAATCTTTAACAAAATTTAGACATCTAAACCTGAGATAATAAAAAAAAATCTTTTGATTTATTGACCCGACAGGAATTGATATGATGACACCTTCAAACCACCGGACGAGCCACTCTCCATAGAAAAAGTGCGAACGCATAAAGAACATTATTCTTGTTGGAAGGCAGTTGAGAAGTCACCTTGTGATAACCACAATTGTGTTACATCCTAAGAGCACCTGTATATATAAAATGTTGATATTAAACATACTTAAACACGTCAACTGAAGATACATAATAAATATATCAATTGAAAATAGTCCGGTAATGGCTTATTTTTATATAAAATGATTGAACATAGTGGATATTAATCCAGTGTTAAATCATAGACTATGGATATAATAAAATAGGGAGAACGCGTCTAAATAATCAATTCAATTTCTAATAAGAAATATATTTCTAAACCATTTAAGTGTCCCAAAACCTATCAATACTTAAACCCATTTAGTCCGATAACTCTTTGTGTCGAAATTATGTTATTTTGAGGTTAACTTATCAAAGGCAGTTTAAAAATCATAATTTTTTTTTGATTAATCACTAAATAGGGGGACACTGGAGGGCCTTACATTATAGGACACAGTAGGACTCAGTGTATGCATAATATATGACATCAACCAATTATAATTTTTTATCTACTTTTCATGTGATATAAAGTGTTATTGTATTTTTTTTTTACACAAATAATATTCAACATAGAACCCAATATGATTCAACCCATTTAGTAGAAAATTATTTGTATCAACGTCCATCCCTGGTTCTTCTGTGGTGATAACGTCATATATTTAAGAAAATGTGAAACAAGGCCTGCTGAGAACTGTGGCCTAATTGTCTAAAAAAAATCTTTCACAAATCACTTTGAATTTGACATTTGAAAGACATTCGCGAACTTCACGCAAGCAAATGCGATCGCAACAATTTTTTGAAAGATTTTGAATGAACGATAACGTTCATATGACATTACTCGGAATTGTCTAAGCAAATTGATGGTTACAAATACCTTTGAAAGCTATTGGGTAATGTCAAATGAAAGCGTTGAACACTAACTGCAATCTTTCGATATTTTATGTATGTTTTGATAATGTTTTTGAAAGTTTTGTTAAGGATTATATACATTTAAAACCCAATACCGCTTATAATTATTATTCTAGAAATAACAAATCACTCGTTACGGTGGTTTGTATTTATAACTTATTTGTATTTATAACTATTTCATAAAATGGTTATTTTTTAACTACCACAATATTTGCGAATTTCATTAAGATGACTATTACACTATGTAAATAAATTACTCCATTACTGGGTTACCGATTTACTCAGAACTCTACATACAACAAAAAAAAATTAACAGCTATTAATAAATATTTCGAACTTAAAATGAAATGCAAAGTTCATCCAAATTTTCTAACAGATGAGGCACAGCTGATGACATGACGAGCTTAGGGATTCAACGATACCACGTAGGAATCGATACTTTTAATCGATACCTACTTGTATCAAATAGTTTTAAAATGCTTCACCATCGTCATTATTTTTACAGTTTTTTCAGAGTAGATTTGATACTGTTAATAGTCTGTTAATAGCTTTACTCTGTATAATGAAGAAAGAGAAGTAGGTCTAAATATAAAAAGCGACGCATATAGGTATAATGTATTTGGCTAGGTATTGCTTCAAATTTTGTTGGCTCTATATAGATCTCTAACTGCATAAAATTAGTAGGGGCTAGTAATGATTAGTCATACAGGGACAAGGCAGCGTCCCTGTCGCTTGTGGGCCTTTTTCATAAGATAGACTTTAGTTCCCTAACACAGAGTAAACAGATTAATGCTTGCGAGTTTTTGATACTCTTCAGTGACTGACCGACCAAATACCGATACAAACATTTACTTTCTTACTTCACGATACTATTTACTACTCCGTTTTAAAGTATCGATGCCATAAGTACTTGATTTCGATAGAAAAATATCGAGTAAGTACTTATATTTACTCGTATCGATCATCCCTAGAAGAGCTGACATAAAGGAACGCGCTTGCGCATTTTATTAGTACGATAGTACAATGGTTTTGTTTGTTTTTCGTTGAAATAAAACATTGTGTTTATCAAAAGTATGAAATTTTAAATCATTTCTAATATTTTATTGATATGAATAAAATTTATTCATTAGTCGAAATAGGCGAATTAATTACAATCATATGAAATCGTAAAGATTATTTCACAACTTGAAAAAACAAAAAGAAATGAATTATTATGACATTCTGTATCATTCAAATCGTCATTCGTTCCGAAAACAATTGTGACTTTAAAAGTTACACAATTCCATAAATCACTATCACAACCACTATACGTTTGAAAATGATTGTGATAGATTAAAAAATTAAACAATTAGGCCTCTGGTCTTCTTACAAGGAAAATGCTTACGCATATCACACCAACAGTCTGAGAACAACCTTTCCCCTTTCGAGGAATTCTTTCCCAGTAAATTCTTCTTTAACTCCCTAACAATAGCAGTAGTAGAGTTTGGCAAGCGAAACGTGACACCACCTATTTTTCCGTTTTCATATGGCAACAACATAGAACTGTCAGTTTGACACTACGTTAGACAATTCAAGAATATTGAATTTTGTTGTTTTTGCGAATTTGAACTTGTGTTTTTGGTTAAAAATTATGTCGAAGCCGATAAAAAGTTCATCGAGGAAACTTCTTTCCATCACGATTGACAAGTTTACTGAAGTGAAAACTGAATTAAATAAAAATTTCATGGAGAAATTACAACGATTAGATAAAGTTGTATCTTTTTTAGGTTAGTTTTGTATTATAATTTTGATACTTTCGTTTTAATTTTCTGTAATTAACTAAACAGATATTTTTTATAAAATATTGCTCTATTTCAGATAACTGTGATGGTGATATTCAACCAATAATGGAGGAGATAAATGCAATAAAAACTTTAGAAAAACAAGAAATGCTGAATTCGGAAACGCAGTACTTACAAAAAATTTCTTCAATGACAGGTCTCTTTTCTTGTTTTGATTTAAGATAGATTGATAGTATTCCTATAATATTTACATAGGTTTTTTATGATGTATTGGTTTTTATTGTTGACATCCAATGATGTCATAAGAATGTTTTGTTTAACAAGGAAATTCACAGAATTCATGAAACTAATCAAACCATGTAATTGTTATACATGCTAAATATGCACATAAACTTAACTAAATTAAACATAAATTGCATTCATAGTTGAATAGGTATTTAAATTATTTTGATGTATGTGTCTATCATTATTTGCTTTTAAATACATTTAACATATCTTTGTTTCAAAGTGTTTAATCTTTTATAGATGTAAGTATAAGGACACTAAGAAGGATAAAAAATGAAGCATTAATTAATAAAGGAAAATGGGACACTCCTGGGAAAAAACGACCTCATCAACCAACAGTGTCTGCTTTAGATAATTTTGATTTAAGTGCAATTCGGAATAAAGTAAATGAATTTTACTGTGTGAAAAAAATTGTTCCAACATTAAGAAGCCTTCACAATGAATTAAAAGATGCAATAGGATTCAGTGGTAGCCGTGAGACTTTACGAAAAATTATGCTTAAGAATGGATTTTCTTTTAAAAGCAATGAAAATGAACGTTCTATGCTTACAGAAAAATACCAGATTTCTGCATGGAGGCACAAGTATTTGAGAGAAATAAATATAAAACGAAACGAAGGAAAGCAAATTGTGTACCTTGATGAAACTTATGTACATCAGAATTATAAAGTTAAAAAGTCTTGGCAAGGACCTTCAACAACTGGTGTCACTACAAAGATATCCTCTGGAAAACGGCATATTGTTGTGCATGCTGGATCTGAGGAAGGTTTTGTGCCTGGTGCATTATTAGTGTTCAGTAGTAAATCCAAATCTGCTGATTATCATGATGATATGAACTCATCGAACTTTATGAAATGGGTCAGAGAAAAATTAATACCAAATTTAAGTAAGCCCAGTGTAATTGTTATGGATAATGCCAGCTACCATATAAAACAAATCAATAAACCGCCTATAATGTCTAATACCAAAGCAGATATCCGTAAATGGCTTGTAAATAATGGAATACATTTTGAGGAATATCAGACAAAGGCAGAGTTAATGTGTTTGGTTAATGATAAGAAAACATTGCCTGTATATGAAGCTGAAGAGATTTTAAAAGAACATAATTATGAACTTTTATTGCTGCCACCGTATCATTGTGACTTAAACCCAATAGAGATGGTTTGGAGTCAAGCAAAAAGAAAAATTGCAAGCAGAAACATTGGAATACCAGGAAAGGAAATGGAAAACTTAATAATAGAGTGTTTTAACTTAATTACCCCTAGTGACTGGAAGAAATACACTGATCATGTTTTAAATGTCGAAAATGATTACAAATTAAAAGATGGCATTGTTGAAAACGAACTTGAAAAATTTATTATATCTGTTGGTGCAGACAGTAGTGAAGAGAGTGACTCTGATGATTCCTTGTCATTGTTATCAGGTGTAGAATATTTAGAAACAGATTTTGACTATGAATCAGACTAAAGTATTTTTAGTCTGATTCATAGTCAAAATCTTATCTTAAATTTTCTATTGTGATTAACATGATGATTTTGTGACACCTGTATTATGTAATTTATCCATGGCACTTAATTGTAACAAAAATAAATGTTTTTTTTATTGTAATCTGGTGTTTATATTGACTAATTTAATTTGATAGATAGTGGTTCTGGATCAGAGCAAAAGGTTGTGATGAAAATCCCTTAGGAGACATGTATGTGTTATGAACACATTATAAATATAAGGGCCAGAAATCAAAATTGGCTAACATCACATTTATTAAAAAAATGTGGCCAGAGTCGCCCATATTCATTACAAAAAAACAAAGAAGTCGTTGCAAAAAACACCCTTTTAATTAATGACAAATATGAATTTTTAATATTATAAGTGCTGTTAGCCAATAGGTATAACGAATGGGTTAAAAAAAAGATTCGATTTAGTCCGTCAGTCAGATAATAGAAAAATATTGGATACGTATTTTTTTTCGCTTTAATTTAACAACAAATGGCTTAAGAGGTACTATGCGACGACTTCAAATATGCTTTGCAACAATGTTACTTTAATACAGTTTATCGATACGAAATCAAGTGTCAAAATGGAGTCCAGTGGAGAATGCCGATATTGACATTTCGAAATTGCTCATCATTGATAGAGAATACGAAATAGTGATTTTGACACAATCAAAGTGTCTATTTTTTACGGTGATGACGATTCTTGGTTGTCAGTTGAGTTAGTGAATAGGCCTACTGATATGCTGTTAACTGTACAATTAAGAACAGTCACGCTTTAGTCAAATGTTCCAAAACAAATAATTTTAATTGATATCTAAATGTTAAGATTAAATATAATTAATAAAAGTATCAAAATTATTTTGCAGTACTACATTCAGTGTTTACTGCTTAAGAATTTTTGAAATTGCCGCCCTTTTCTTGTGACACGTTTCGCTTGCCAGACTCTAACAACAATTTGATACTTTATAACTGAAACATTAAAAACCACTAACTTACTGTACATAAGTACAGCTATCAGCACATTCTTGGATTTTTTTTTAAACCTTTACATAGTATAAAACAAATTCGCTTCCCGCTGTCTGTATGCTAAGATCTTTTAAACAACACAACTATTTTAAAAGGTTTTTATCAATATATGAAGTGGTTGAAAGTATATATTCAGAAGACAGGATTACACGGGCGAAGCTGCTGGCGGAATATTTTTCTACTATTAATATAGCATTTTGAAAGTAAAATAAAATAATAATTAGTAGACGTTGTAAAAAAATTGCAGCTCAGAATCATCTTTTAAGAATTTACATAAACATTTACAATTTATTAACATTAAGTTCTGAAGTTAAATATGTATTAAAGAATACCTATTCATTTGCCATTACAATTGCATGCAATCAGAAAATGCGATAGAAACCGGTTTATCGATAAACCACCTCACTATTGCAGTCAGTCAGATGAAAATTTTAATGAAAATTTTGCCGATAGCTGTCGATTAAAGCGGTGTAGTGTAAAATTGTACAAAAATGGCTTCGTTGTGTAGACAAATTGTACGCGGAAACGCCTTAAGAAGTGTTCTGTTTTCTTCTGCCCGACGAGGATATGCTGACAAAAGTAAGAGTTTTCCTATTGCTGTGAACCACATGAATAAACCTTTCGCCATTCCTGTCAAAATCTACGTTACGTAATGTCAAAAATGTATTTTTATGAATGAAATTGCAAATCTATGAAGATTTTTCATGAAATTACACCTTGCCAAATGATTTCAATACATTCACTTTACAAACTCAGGGATTCGTATATGTAACATCTATGCACTATACGTATTTTTCTTATATTTCAATTTGTGCTGCACGTTTTGTGTATATATTTTTGTTTTCAAATTCAATAAATATTTAATGTAATATAATAATAAAAGTCTATCTTATAAATGACGCGCAGCTTTAATAATTATCGATGTTTAAATTGCAGAGCTCTCTTTTAGGTTATCTTTTCTTATCAGCCAATCAATAAGCATACTTTGATAGCTTTCAGCTAATGTAAAGAAAAAAATTATTATGATAATGTCACAGTTTTACGCATTTATTTTTACTTCTTGCCAACTGTCATTTATCTTGAAAAAAAAATCAAAATAAATAATCACATCTGTTTCAAAATATCACAAATTCTCCATAATCTATTCATTTGCAATCATTAATATTTTTTTCATATCTATTCATTTTACTTACTTGTTATTTTATTATTACTTATGGAATAAAATATACTTGGAACTTATAGAAGAATGCAATTGTTGAAAAAATAAATATTTATGTGGAAAATAGATCACTTTCATATGTAACCATAAACTTAAAACAATGAAATTATAAATTGAAAAAGCAACTACTACTTGGTTGTAGTTTCTTCATACACAAGGTATCTGAATAAAATTTGCCCTACGATCCAGAAAAATATATGAAGTAGAATTTCTGTGTATGCCAGAAAAAGGGGGAAAAAGCTTCCATAATACAACACAATATGTTCTACCCTTACTTGTAGTTAAGATTAGACAGAAAAAATAAAAGTTTCGGGTACTGCACCCTAAATATTTGAAGTCTCACCTTAATGTATAAAAATCTTTCTCACAGTTATAGAGAAACAAATTTCTCAATAACAGAAATTCCTTAATGCTTCATTTTAAATATTTAAGATAAGCTATTTTTTTTTCAACTTCAGTTAAATTATTGCCTATATCACCTGCATATGATGTAACTCTCTGTAGGTAAAAGGATTTTCATGATTGAAACAGTATTTACAAAAATAACCCCCTATAAAAAAAAGGCTTTTTATAGGGGCTTATCTCTTTATAATATTATCATAGATTTTGTTACATAGATAATTTATTGGTTTTTATTCTTGAACAGTGTTGCCTGATCCCCTGGAACATGCAACTGGTATGGAAAGAAAAGAATTGATGGCATTGCAAGCAGGCAATGATGACCCATTCAATATGAAGGTACTTAAGAAAGCAGCTGGCACTCGTGACAATCCTACACTGGTGCCTTCCTGTTTCGATGCCCGCATCGTTGGTTGCATATGTGAGTATTTATGATACACTAAATGATTAATTAATTTCCATGCACAAATTCTCAAACGTAAGGTTAATGGTCATTTGCACAAACTTCTATTAAGGTTTAATGAAGACTAAGATTGGTAATGTTGCTTTACCTTTACACTAATAACAATTTTATGGATGTTTGTGCAATGGATAGTAATTGATCTAAACAATTTGGTATTGCTTTTGGTATTGTCGAATCACAAAATTTATTTAGATTTCATAGGATTTACATAGTATAAATGGTAAAGGTTAATCATAGTTTCAACTCGATATTATATATAAATAGCACAGTAACTCAAGTTTATATGAGTTTGATATTGCTGCTACACTAGACACTATAAATGACAGTTTTATCTGTAGTCTTCCTAGGCCAGGCAAAAAAAATGGACAGCAAATATTGTAAGTTAACAATAATATTATAATATATGTTAGTCTAATAGACCTTTGTATTTCCCTCACAGTAGTGTCTAATGTTATACACAACGAAATAAACAAGTTGATATTAAAGAATTTTGTGCACTGACTACAAATTTTTACTGTATCTGTAAGAAAGAGAAAGCTTGAACCTTGTTACACCACTGCAATGCGCCTTTCATATAATAAATATGTATTTAAATATACAGGTTGTAACATTTAGAAAGGCCAATAATGGAAAGTCTGAAACTAAAAGACATACAAATATATGTACTGAGAAACCATGTAAAAAACTGTTTTCACCCATTAAAAAACTAATTATCAGTTTGGGAATTGAACCATGATGTTTTAGATACTCATGTAGGTCTTAAGCAATTAATGGTTCTATTAAATATGATGCCATGAAACACATAACGATACAGACAGTTTTACTTACCTGAACAAGTTGAATGTTACATAAAAAAATAGTTTTGTTTCAAACAATAAGTATTACAAAATTGTTACACCCTGTATATAATGTTACAAAAAGTGGTTATGATCAATAATTTATCTTAATTGCTCTTTGTTTCAGGTGAAGAACACTCCACAACCGTCACTTGGCTCTGGGTACACAAGGTAAAATATGTTGTATACTTAGACGGAGCACAGTCTTGAGGCACGACACTTTTAACACAGACTATTGCTACACAAAGTTTTTACATTGACGATTAACAAAACATTATTTGACGAATTCCCACAAGTCGTATATACAGATTGATAAAGAAAAAGAATCTGAGAAAAATGATACATATAACTCAAGTTCGCCAAAATTTATATTTATGTACCATGCTATTTTCTATAGATATTAATAATTGTTTTATTATTATTGTAATATGTACGTACACGCGGTTGCACGTCAGGGTACCACAATTTGTCACATTATCTCAATTAATTTTGAACTCCACCCACAATGCATTAAGGTTTAAAAATCAAGTTTATCTAGCCTGACGTGCTGTTGACTGTTCATTCTATTTAAGTAACGACATAATTCATATAAAAGTGATTACTTCTGATGAAGAGCTTGTAACTTTCTCTCTCGTTCTTGTCAGCCAAAAAAAATCCTGAACGAATTGTAGGGAAAAATGAAAGTTGATTGAAAAGTGCATGTAGTCATATTAATAAAGGATCTTTAATTCATTAATTATTTTATATCATCCCGCTTAGAGCATAATAAACACTACGCAAAACCTGGTAGAAAAATAAATAACGAGCTCCATTTAAGTCCATTTTAATACAGAAGTGATGCAGTCGGTGTGCACCGCGTCGTTGTAGTAGAAAGAACAGCTTCGTTTTAGTTTAAGGCAGACTAGATATAATAGCCTGTCTTCTTTTAACTGTCGTTACTACAATATGTGCTCAGCCTTAATACTTACAGACAAGCGAAAATATGAAGTGACGCCGACTAGACAGCAGAAAATTATCGCGACCAAATAAAAACTTTATTCTTTTATTTAATTCTGTATTGATGCATAACAACACTTTATATTTCGGGTGTTTGATGCCTGATGACCTGGAAAAACAGGTTTCATACTCATTTATTTATTTCAGGGCCACCCTCGTCGCTGCGACTGCGGTCACTGGTATAAGCTGATCGAGAAGTCACCAGTCTAAGCGAGAACTACTTTACTAGTTGTATAAAATATAAAAAACGTAGTGATTTATAACATCTGCCTCACCGCATCGTGAACCGCGCACAGCCATACGTAATAACGTGACAAAATGTTGCCACATGCAATAATTATAAGATGCGCCGCTAGTATCAAGGATTTACTAAATCAAATAACAAATCCATAATTAAATAATTTGTAAGCATATAAACGGTGTTTTATTGTATGTTTCTTACCTCTGGAAACAAATGCATTGTTCGTTAGCATTATGTAGTTAAATAAAATACTTTAAAGAAAAATGAAATGGTAGTTTTTTTTCTATAGTGAAATTGATTCAAAATGAACTATCTCCGTTTTAAACGTGAAAGTGAAAGAAAAACTAAGTACTTTTGACTTACAAAGTACAGCAGAAATATCGCATATTTCGACAAGTACGAAATGTTATATTTTCTATTTGAATTCAAAATCATCTTTGAATTTGTAGTTTCAAGACACATTTTTTTAGTGTGTGCGTGCGAATACGCATATGCGGGCGCCTTTGTTGATCGAAGACGAGCGTGCTCAGATACAAACCGTTTTCGTTACGTATGTATGAATTTAATGTACTCGAATATACTCTGACAATACTGTGTAGAAGCAAACTATTTTGATACTTTTCCCCAATTTTTGTAGTTATATTGGTTAAGCATTTATATAGGGTGCTTCGCTATCTCTATTACTGTCCATTCTTACACGACTGACGAGAAAAAGAGTATAGTGTGTTTAGGATTAATATAATAATAAGTATGTTTTTTATTCCAACATAACTTAAAATATTAACTAGTCCTTTATTTGATTAGAGTTTAAAATCAATTGGAGAAATTTGACATATTGCAGTACACTGACAGCATTGTGAGGTACAGTCAACTCAGACTATCAGACACGTCAGACTATCCAAAATTGTCAAATATCCCAACTCGATTTCTTTGTCTCACTCACTACGGGATGTAGGCAGAATTTCTGTGCATAACGGAACAATGCCATAGCATCTATACTAACATAGTACAGAGGAAAGTTTTGATTGTTTGTTTGTTTACATCGAAAAGGCTCCGAAACTACGGACTGATATTAAAAATTCATTCACCTTCGGGTAGCTACATAATACGGGATTGACATAGGCTATAATATACGAGTGCGAAGTCGCTGGAAAATAGTTAGTTTTATATTTAACAGAACATCATACTACCCTAACCTAATTAGCAGAATTACAGATGGTAAATAATCAAACACGGAATAGTAAATCTAAAATGGATTTAGTTTCTAAATTATTATTTAAAGAGATTTGAACAGAGTTTAAAATAAGTCAACTGACTCAGTAAATAATAATGATAATTATTACTTTCAAGGGCGTCGGCAAGGGAGGACAGAAGGCTAAAAAATGTTGCTTAATGTAAAGAAACCAAAGTTCCAAGTATTTGACTTCAATTACCTGATATATTATTCCCGTACGTCGAAAATTGAATGTACTTAGTTAAAGTGGGAGAAGGAAAATGGTGTCACACCAACTCACGAATTAAACTAAGTGATCGGCGGTCGGCGTTTGTGTGGAGGACTCTACACAATGGCCTAGGATGAGCGATCACATACAGGCCATCATCACTGTGTAAAGAGCATGGAACTATAATGGCCCATCACACACACACACACCACCAGCCCTTTTACGTCCCCACTGCAGGGGCTCAGGCCTTCCTTATGGATGGTTAAAGAGGATGGGCCATGACCCTCCACGCTGGCCCAATGCGGATTGGAGGGTATTAACGACTGTAAATGCAGCCGGGACCAACGCGACGGGCCCCAAGAACATAGTCGTATGGAAATATAAGACAAAATTGACTTTATTGTGTATTATTAACATACACATTATTAGCTACACGAGAGTGTATTTCTTTAAAAAATTAAGTATATAATTTTCGAGAAAACCAATAGAACAAAACCGTTTCTGAAAAACGTTTCGATGTACAAACACGCATCGACATGTACGAACTTGTTCTGCTTACTGTGACCCGCGCGCGATCGTGCCGTTTGGTTAGTCGCGAGTTTGTTCCCGGCTAAAAGAGACGTTGCGGGCCACTACACGGAATTTATCATTTGGTGCCTAAATTGAGTTTCACTAACTTTGCAACACATGTACTAGTGAAAAAAAACCATGTCTGCTGTATCTAGAATTAAAAGAATTTTGGATTTATCCTTAAATAAAGAAAAAGATGATGACGTCTGCCCCAATAGTCACTTAAATAAGAATAAGGAATGTCCTAATCTTGGTAAGTAACATTTAATTTTTAATTTCATTTTGTGTTTTAATAATCCCTAAAAGTGTTTTTTAACTAATTCACGATTTCTATAATTTTCATTAAAATTAAATTTTCTCCGTCGTTTGTGACGATCGTTTTTTGTTCAATGGAAATTATAAAATGTTTAATATCCCATGAATTCTATGTTTTTTTAAATGCTATAATGACGTTTGAGTGAAAATTATGACGGGATTTTTTTATCTCAAGACCAATTTTAAACGAATTATTGTAACATAAGATTTTATTCGGCCAGAAATGTCACAAAAATATCAGTCGTATCTGCAGATAAGATTTTATTCTACGAAAAATGAAGTGATTTTTCCTGTCTTATGTGACAATGTGTTTTTGTTCTTTGTATTAACTTTCAAATGCGATTTTATTCCAAATAAAAAAAAATTAATTATCACATATTTTTCAATAAAAATGACGTATTTTGTTAATAGTAAACTAGATAACATTATTATTCGAACTTTTTTTAATTACAATCTTGATTTTGGTCTTTATAACAGAATCATCCAATCAACATGATAGTAGAGCCAGTTCTCCATTGCCGCCGGGAGCCGAAAATATTTTCAACGATTTAGCAGACGTATACCACGACGTGTTTAATAGCGATAAAGAAAATATGGCTTGTGAACAACTTCATGATATACCAGTAAACATTACTGCACCACCACAACCTGCCGCCTGCAAAGAAACCAGTTCATCGAAACATGAAAATGAGATTGCACAAATATCTAATGATGCTGCCTGCTGTCAAGCTGCTTTGTCACCAGTTGTCGACCCTGAGATAGTCATAGACCATCAATATGAACATTCTGCCTCTGCCAACCACCTTGCCTCTGTCTCATTGCTAGACACTAACCAAACTACTGAAGAGGTTCCGAGTCCCTTTATTCTCGAGGTAAACCCTAGCTTTAATAACTCTCCCAATATTTATATTGAAGAATTCGAAGAACCAGCTGTATCCACACCATCATCGTCACAAAATATGGTTTTAGCTACACCAATGCCCTCGCCATTAAATAATCATAAAAAATGTGCTGATGCCTTTTGTCCCGACCATTCCGATTGGATAAATTCAGTTCAATTACATACTAATGGTATATCTTCACTAAATACACCGAAACCTAAACAAAAAAAGGGTAAAAAACGCTTGGTATTAAAGAATGACTGGTCTGACGCGAAACGCAAATGTTTGAAAAATCATGGAAAGAGCTATGTATCAAAAAGAGGCAAGTTTGTTGATCCTAAAGTTATGGGTAAGCCATGTGGTTGTCGTTGTAAGTGTGCAGATAAAATGACTAGCGATCAAAGACTAAAATGCTTTACGAGGTTTTGGAATCTTGGTAGTCGAGAGAAACAATGGACATTTATTTCAAAATATGTGCATAAAACTGCCAAGAATCGATGCTTAAATCGTAGTACACCAAATAAACGTCAGTATACATATAAATATTCTTTGCCACTGACTTCTTCTGAAACCAACATTAATATTAAAGTCTGCAAGACAATGTTTTTACAAACACTTTCTGTAAGTGAAAGCATTGTTAAAACAACGTTTAAAAAATATGACGGCGTTTCAGATTTTGAAAGCGACAACCGCGGTAAGCATAAACATCACAAATCTGTTATTACTGATGACATGGTTAAGAGTGTTTGTGATCATGTAAATTCATTTGTACCGGTTGAATCACACTTTATTCGAAAAGATTCGACAAAGTTATATCTAGATGGTAGTCTCAGTATTAGTCAAATGTTTAAATTATATAATGAGTGGTTTGATGAAAGCCTATATTCGTCGAAAGTCTTTACGGAAAGGCAGTATAGGGAGATTGTTAATAAAAATTTCAACCTTGGATTTCATATGCCAAAAAAGGACCAGTGTGAAGTGTGTCACGCTTATCGCAACACCACTACTCACACTGATGAAGAAACGAGGAAATATGAAAAACATCTCAACTCAAAGAAAACTGCACGTGCCCTGAAGCAGAAGGACAAAGAAGATGCCCAAAAGTCTAATGAGTCGATCGTTACAGCTGTTTTCGATTTTCAAAAAGTGTTGACGTGTCCACATGGGCAAATCAGTATTTTCTACTACAAGCGTAAATTATCGGCTTTTAACTTCACAATATTTAATATGGGCCAAAAGAAGGCTGTTTGTTACATATGGGACGAGACTATAGCAAAACGGGGAGCCAATGAGGTAGGAAGCTGCTTACTAGATTATATTGAGAATTGTTCTACACAGGGTGCTGAAGAATTTCGTTTCTGGTCCGATAATTGTGCGGGCCAGAATCGTAACAGGTTTGTCTTTGCTATGTTTTTGTTTGCAGCCAAAAAATTTAATGTTTCAATCACACATCACTTTCTCGAGAAAGGGCACACGCAAAACGAGGGTGATAGTGTCCACGCCCTCATAGAACGTTCGGCTCGATCAAAAACAATTTACACCCCGGAAGAATGGCGACTACTTACACGCTGGGCAAAAACTGAAGGAGAACCATATTTGGTAAAGAACATGGAGCAGGAACACTTCTATAATTTCAAGAGTACTGTTAATGACAAACATTGGAATAAAACTGTCAACAAGCAAAAAATATTATGGACTAAAATTAAAGAAGTGTTTGTCGATAAATCTGATCCAAATAAATTGTATTTTAAATACGATTTAAATCAAGAATTTTACGAATGCTTGGTTTTTCGGAGTGAAACCAGGCACTCATCGGTAGTACCCAATTTGGAACGTGCTTATTCGTCACCTCTCAAGCTACCAAAACTGAAATACAATGATCTAGTAAGTATGTGCAATACCGGCGTCATTAATGCAAGTAATGCAGTCTATTTCCGATCACTGCCCTACAATAATGAAAGCACTGCAAACAACGACGATTTAAGTGATGACGATGAGAATTAGTCATGATAGTTCCTGTTTAATATAAGAGAGAGAGAGAGTTGATTAGTTTATGAACTCAGAGTGAAATTATAAGACTGAATACTATGTTGTGATTAATAATAATATAAAACTAGTAACTCTTAAAGATAATAAATAGTTATTGTTAACTTGATTTTTAATGTTAGTATAAGATTTTTTATGTCAATAAAGGTTTTTAAAGGCATTTTAAAACAAGAAGATTTATTTTCGTTTATGTTTTTAATATTTGAGAAATTTATGAGTAATTGTATCATTAATTTTGTTGATTACTTCACTTACCTGTTTTTGTATGTGATTTTATCGGGGTTGAACAAGTCTAATTAGATATAGTAATAAACATTAAACTATAAATCTGAGGGATTTCTTAAATTTATGTTATTTGTGTAGAACACTAAATATAATAAACGAAATTAATTGATGATTACTTTCTATTTACTTTTTACCCTTTAATACGATTCTAATTTAATAGTTAAACTCCAAAGAAAAATATAGTGTGTGCACATACTACGCGTTTTTCTAATGGAAATTTCATTGAACAATGTCGTAAAATCATACAAGTGTAAGTATATTCCAAAAAACAAACTCTGATGTTCAGATAAGAAGCCATTTTCATAAAAATAATTGATATATATTTAATTTTGACATCCAAATATTGCACAACTTGTCAAACAAATGGCCTTGATAAAAAAATCTTCAAAATTTGCTCATCAAACGAAATTATTCAAGAATATTGTGTAACAAAACTTTAAACCTTCATAGTGTAAAGTAGGAATTTGGCAGATACGATTTTGTTCTTGGGACCCGTCGAACGGCTTAACGTGCCTTCCGAAGCACGGAGTAGCTCGAGATAATAATTTTTTGGTCACCCATCCCATAACCGACCCTTGCGAAAGTTGCTTAACGACTACGATCGCGGGCCGCGGCACTTATCCACTACGCCACCGAGCTACTCCTAGAATATAATGGCCCATAATCAGCGATAATTGTGCATGATCGCCATAGTGTCGGTTTTTGAGACAATAATGAAAGGAAGTTTGGCCATGATCGAGCGGACAGTGATGCCATAGGACATTATTGGCGATCACGTCCTACATGATGGTGATGGCCTGTGGTCGCCCATCATGGGCAATTGTGTAGAATAGAGGGCCTATTATTATTCGATATATTGGTATTGTTCAAATCGATTCTTTATCTTTGTTTCTTGGATTTCGATACTGATTTGTTCAATATTTTTAGCATTGATTTGTATCGGTTTTTACCGATATATCACCATCCCTAGATCTGATCAATTTTATAAAAAGAGTCATGAATGAAAGAATACATCCACTATAATCTGCTGATGTTTACAGTAATCTTAGCGAAATACTGGATTCTAGCGAAATCCACAAGGGTAACGCCATTAATTAAAAAGAAGAAGAAGAACTAGGGATGGGCAAATGGGAAAATATATCTTTATATATCGTATTGTTATTTTGCAAATGTATCGATAAATATTGATATATCAATATTTTCTGCGTAATATGCGTTCGAAATTTTAAAGCAAATAAACATCTGGCTGTTTTGTTATTTACAATAGGTACATAAAGCCAAGAAAACAAAATCTTCAACAGAGCAAAAATTATATTATTCAAACAAATCAGTATTTGTCTGATATTAACATCAGAAGCACTCTCACTGATACCAACCAAACCAACAAGCAGTGTCATTGTCACAAAGAAACAAAATAGACAAGCAAGTCATGACTGTAATTTCTTAGCTCATACAGCCCATTACCTACCTGCTCTTTTTAAATTTAAGAAATACATCATGAGACGTATGAGCAGACAGCAGAAGTTTAAAAAATATATCGATTATGATACGAATTTGATATCTGAAAATAAATATCGAAAGTCGATATTTCGCGGAAAGAAATATCGATATTTTTCAGAATAAATATCGACATTTTGATATATCGAAAGTTTTTGCCCAATCCTAAGAAGAACTAGCTACATAATCTACATAATATTGTTAATCTGTGAGAAGAACCTATCAATATCAAATCTACTAAGTCTGTGATATCAAATCAAAGTTTTTGTTGTTATTTTTAAGATAATTTCGTCAGAAGTTTTTTTACGCTTTTATCGATTACCATCATGTAACTTTTTAACCTGCATACCGGAGAGCTTACCTGTACCTATTTATTGTGTTTATTCTCCTAGCTGAAGATAGATCACATTTACAAAAGCAGATATGTCTCGTAAGATTAATATCATTACTATGTTATTATTATGAGCATCTCTTAGAGTAATGCAACTTTAATGGTATACGAAGAAAAAACTGGTGTTACTTATTCGCAGCTTCAACTGGTTCTACCGGTTTCCGAACCCTAATATCCATATAATTTGACTGTATTAGTCAGGTCCCATTTCACTATTAATCATTCTCAAATATATATAAAAAAGGATTATGATTAAAATTTATTCTGTTCCTGTATATTAAAGTTTCACAAAATATTTACTAAAACTGACTGTTGAACAAACATCCTCTAAAATTGCCATTAATTTGAAGTGACATTTCCATTACAAATTTGCAAATTTAGAACATTATGTATATTACTTATAAACAAATATGATAATGAAAAAGTTTTGCACCAGATCTTGACTACTAAGGGACTGACATATTTATGGGATGGTATTAATATAAGAGATGATTTATTTTGATATCCAACTCTGTAATTTATTTTTATTGCAAATATTTTTAAATTCAAGTTTAGTTTAGTTTGCGCCTTAGTAATATGATGTAGGTTTCTCATTTGTCATTAGCATTATCTTACTAATGTTCCCTAGTGGATTATACTTTGTTATTGCAATATTTTCTCTAGATGACTGTTGATGATAACAATTTCTTAATTTAATAAATATTTTTATGACATTTTCAGGATTAAATATCCACAAGGTTCACATTGCTGATGGTTTTGTTGATGATTGTGAGGAGTTGATACACCGTTGGTTAAAAACTGATATGTTGACTTACGAAACATTCTGTGAGATATGGAAAGATATGGATTTCGGGTATTTGTATCAGTAAGTTAGAAACTTATTATAATTGAAATTATTTTCTTCAACACATAAATATTTTGCATTTGAAAAACTGTAGTTGTTTAGAAGAATATATTATTTGCATACACACATATAAATTACAAAGTTATATACTGACTTTATCTTGTACAAACCAATTTTTGTTGATTATTGAAATGTGCACCATCATCATCAGCCCTTTTATGCCCCCACTGACTGCTGAGTGCTGAGGGGCTCAGGCCTTCCTTAAGGATGGTTAAAGAGAATGGGCCATGACCCTCCACACTGACCCAATGCAGATTAGAAGATATTAATGACTGCAAATGCAGCTGCAACCAACAGCTTTATATGTCTTCTGAAGCATGGAGTAGCTCAAATTTTTTTTCTGGTCACCCATCTCGTGATTCTGGTCACCAACAACAACAATTGTGAACTGCTACTACTACACAGTATACAGGATTTCTTATAAAACAACAGCAACTGTGCACAATTATGATGGGTGCTCCAGTCACACACAAGGAACCAGTGGTATATCATTTCCAAACTTCAAACCCAAATATCAACATTTTTATGCATTTCCTGCCCTTTTTTTACTTTTAGTAGCATTACTGTACCCATGTGATTATTAAAAGCAATATACACAAACTGGTCCACCTTAGGCATATTATACTTTTCATTACATATACTCGAGTGGTATTTTTCAGTGGCCGACCAGCTGCAACAGAGATGGCAGAGTTATCTGAGGAATTGATTTTTATAGCAAAGCATTATATGGTGGTCAATTCAAGTAATTTTGAGGTGAGGAATAGTTTATGAAAAATCATAGTAAGAAAAACAGAAAAGAATTAGACCAAAAAATTTACAGTAATATTTTTGTCAATATCCATCTAGTAGCTTACATACCGGTTTCATCATCTCTGGGCTTCCAGTTTGTTTTCCCCTTGGTTGTGTTAAAGAACTTTTTCAATGACTCAGGTCATAATTACATGTGTTTTTAATGTTATTAAAAATTATGTTGCATAACGCTTTGATTGGACTCCAAACTCCTCCCATTAAAGCACTGTAAGTTTTTATAAGACACCCCTCTTCACAAATTGAGTTGAAGTTAAACTTGAATGCACCACTCTATATTTACACTATTTTTTTTATGAACATGAAATAGTTTTTTCTTTGATCGTACCTTTTTTCTTTCATCTTGTATTTGGTATGTTTTACTAGCGTCATCTAGTGATGGCTATAGAATCTAAGTAATAGTTAATCAATATTATTGCACAAACTATTTGGAAATTACATACAATGGAATACATTGAATGGAATTACATACTATCTTTCTGCCAGTAGCTTCGCTCATTTCGTCCAAGGACCTATTTATTTGAATATCAATTTGGATCGTTACACAGATATTAATTACAATGACAAATTGAATAGTAACCATTTTTAATATGGTAATGTTTTAATTCACTTCCATTTTCATCCCTTGATTTCATCAGCGTGGTCCACAGGGAACTGTTTATTTGGATATAGATTCATATCATGGCATGGACATAATTACAATGACAAATTTAATAATAAACAATGGTTACTATGGTAACGTTTTAATTCCCTATACAAACGTCCACTCCAATGTTCATATAATAAAGGGTTATTTGTTGTTTTTCGGGATAAACTATAGTTTATGTTAACCACATATGATGTAGCTCTCTGTAGATGAAAGAATTTTTAAAATAGGTCCAGTCGTTTCGGAGCCTGTTTGATGCAAAGAAACAAACAAATCTGTTTTCTTTATAATATAAGTATAGATATCATAGTGATGTCTAATATTTATTTATGAACAGGAGTCTGTGGCGGGCTTGTTTCTGGTATACGCTCTGTTAAATTTACAACCGTATACCGGGTTCGCGTCGTTGCGGCTCGTACCCGATGACGTGCCGGCTATAAATAGAATCGAGACAACAGCGCGAAGACAGAAACGGTAAGTGAAATATACTCAAAACTGTTTTTCAGTAGCATGGTAACGTAGTGGATACACTGAGCTACATAAAACAGGCCCACAGTTTGAGTATGGGTGACCAAAAAAATATTATCTGGAACTACTCCGTGCTGCCGTTCTGCCCTGCTTCACTTGCGGTTGTTAATACCGCAAGTGAAGCAGGGCATTATGTATGGTATAATCCTGATTCAGAAAAAATCTAATCGTTCTTATACTCTTGTTAGAAGATTATCTGTTCATAAAAGGAAATGTCAGATCTTACCTTGTTTTCGTCATCAATTATCGAAAAAAGACAAAATGTCGTTTTATAGCCTTTGTCACTAGCGAATGGTGTAGCTTCCCATAGGTGAAGAAAAATCTGTCTAGTAGTTTCAGAACCTATTCAATGCAAACAAACAATTGAAACTTTTCTCTTTTATAATATTTATATAGATGATAGAGTTGCAATGTTGCTGGTTACTTTTTATTTAATATAATCGTTTGCAGAACTCCATTGCTATAACTGTGAAACTACGATGTCTAAAGTTACATAAGCGTTGAAAAAAAAATTATACGTATCGTTATCCATAGACGTTTGTATACTTTGCGTGTATTAATGTCCTCACTGCTGGGGCACAGGCCTTCCCTTTAAATGAAACCGATTCGAACAGGGAGAGTGGGCTGACTTACCACTCGGGCCCAGTGCGGATCGGCCGGAACCAATAAATTACGTGCTTACCGAAACACAGAGGAGGTCCAAATAATAATTTTTTGATCACCCATTCTATAGCCTTTGCGAAAGTTCCTTAGCCATTCATGAGGCCGTCCATTAATCACGTGTTGTTTTTCAACATTTTTTTACCCCCAACCTTGGTGATACATGGTGAGATTTAAGTCTAACACCTCCCCCTTCAACCAAATACGTGTGTTTAAAAAAAAAACAAAAAATCATAATTTTTGACGTCGCTTTTCGGTGTGATATATTACTACACCCCCCACGTAAAAGGGCTGATGGCGAACCTAAAATTTTAATTAACCCTGTATAAAAATAGATTAAACAAAGTTTCCCACACTGTATCGTATCGTGCTCTAGACGGGTTCAGAAAGTCGTTCCCTTATTATGATATGTGCATGATGGTGAAAATAATTATGATTGTCTGTTAGTTACGATGTACTGTACATATTGGGCTCGGTACTCATCCAAGGGCCGGTTCAATATCACGCCGCTGAGCGGGAACGAGGCATGGAGCTCGGCCTACGGAAGTATTTGGAAGGTGATTTATTACAATTTTAACCCATATATGGTCGTAAGATTCAAAAACGAACAGTAACTCTCTATGCTCAGAGTGTTGTGTAAGTTTTACTTTAACGAGATAACTAGTATGTTAAGAATTTGTATGAAGATTTGTAGTTCTTGGTAGTTACCGCTAGGAGCGTTGTACCTGATTCCATAATATCTTATTTACGGTGAACGTAAAAATAATAAAAAATATATATACTAAGCGCTCTGAACTTAGACTTATGAATTTTAGAATGTTTGTGCTAAGAGATTGTTTGTCACCTACACTAACTATTAATTTAAAAGTTCGTTTTTATAATAGCTAGAGGTAGGATTCCGAGTGGAAATGTAGATATTAAAGAGCTACAACAATAATTACATTTTATTTTCGTTTTTGAATCAATGAGCGTATGAGGAACCTAATTATGAAATATTTATAACTTTCTTAATGAAACATGCTTAAAAAATCCACTTTATCCCACCCACACCGAACCCACCACCTCTCGCAATCCGGACGACTGCTCTAACCTAAAAGGACTGCCAATTTCAAGCATTTGTTACTTTTCGCTACTACATAGCTACTGTTTTCATTAATGTTTTAATAATGGTTAGAGTCCCATCTCAGGCTTTGTCTCAAAGTGGATTTTTTAAACATTGTTGTTTTAGAATATTTTTCAGTATAGCATTTTGAATGCAAAATTGATAAATATAATATTTATAACTTGTTTGATACATCGGTTCCTTATGTTTAGGAACGATATGCAAATTTAAATTTTATATATATATGTGAAGGCGGGTAGCCAGAAGGGGCTATTACGAAGCCCAAATAGATCGTCCATATCGGAGGACTATCTTTAAAATAACACTGCAGGCGTGTATACCAATGTGGATTTATTCCATTTTATCACTTTTCATACGAAAATATAACGAGATGAGCGTGATGTCGTCGGATGTCTACTCCTCGGCGATCGGAAACAGAATGTGTGCCAAAATGGCGGCAACTTGCTTTTTGCTAACGAACTGTTTGATAGTTCTTTAACCGATAAAAGTATCGATGATCACGCCCTCTCTACAATCGAGTAATAAAGTAATCGAGTAACAAGCAATTTAAAAAAAGAAACTAAATCAAACGATCTTCTTAAAGATGATGGAGATATTCTGCGACATATATAAAAAAAGGCAAAATTATGCCGAAGCACGGTTGTGCTTCATTAATGCTTAAAGTATACTAGGAATAAAAACTAGCTAATCAAAGGCTAAATCCCGTTTTGACCCTATTATGTTTTCGAAATAGGTTACACGAGTATAGACAAATTGGGCGTCAGGCCTCGCGGTGTGTTCCATCGTCAGAACGAGGAATTGGACCTGCTACGTGAACTGAGATGCATCACCAAAAGATACGCTCAAGCGAAGGAAAACATAGGAGGTATAGTCAACGGCATATCATGTTGTATGAAACTGTCAAATTTATGCGCTTGATATATTATATCTTATTGCTTAGACCTTGGAGTTCAAAATGAACTGTGGAAATTTGAAATGATCTGGTAACCTGATGTGCATATAAAGTAACTTTTTTTTCCCAGACTTTCAGGCAGTTGTACAAATGGTCACTAAAATTTTCATTAGTTTAAAGCGACATTACCCATACAAATGACATTCATTAGAACTTAAAGGCGTCATTAAACCTTAATGGACGATTGTGCAACTGACTGAAAGTCTGAAAAATGCTCGGATCCCAGGTTAAGTATATAAAGTGCTTGTATTATGGTGATCTGAAACAATAGTACCCCAACACCCAGACCCAAGATAACGTAGAAAAGTTTTTCTACTATAAATGTTTATTATTAATAAAATTATTTTTTACAAATATCACTTGTAAGGTGAAATCATCCTTATGTTGATACGATAAAGTTATTAATGTTTCACCTACATGTTTTACAATACTAGCTTTCCGCCAGCGGCTTCGCTCGTGTGGTTCCTAGAGAACTGTTTATTTGTAGTATATCCATTCATATAATGATACGGATATAATTACAATGAAAAATTGAATAGTAAACATTGGTTGCTATGGCAACATTTCAATTCCCTATACGATTTTCAACCCTTTATTTGCTGTTTTTCGGGATAAAACATAGCCTATGTTCACCGCATATGATATACTTTTCCGTAGGTGATTTTTTTTTAATCAGTCCAGTTGTTTCTGAGCCTATTCGTTGCATACAAACAATCAAATCTTTCCTCTTTATAATATTAATATAGAAGTTCCAACTAATATACATAGCTCTTGGTGAATCTTCGTTTATGTAGAGCCGACCTAAAAATTAACGATGAACTTACGATTAAAATTTATTTCTATTATACTAATTTATACTAATTTCAATAACCATAAGGTGTAAAAGACAATCCCTTAGTTATCTGTCTCATTCACACTCGGCGGAATCAGGCACGAAACTCGAATTATTCTGTTTGGTCGATATTTGTCGTGCTTCGTATTTAATTCTTCCTAAAAGGTACATCAATGAGCCATATTACTTGTCTTAAGGTCATTAAAAAAAACCATATTAATCTAGTAATATATTAATTAATCATCACCTGCCTATTTCACTTGTCATTTAAATTTGACCATTAAATCGTTTTTCATATTATACATTTCATAACATCAATATAAAGTACTCAGCTGTTTGTTGCTGACTGTTTTATTTGTTGTTTTATGCTACTGTAAGGCTTGTATCAAAATTAGTTGAGGGGCCAAATGGAGGGTAAAAAATTTTCTTACACACTTTATATTATTGTCTCTACTCAAATTTTAATCGCCTTTAATTAAAAGTAAATAAGGCGCCATGCCAAGTCAGTGTGCTATGTCTGAAACTGAGTTAATTCAATATTTTTCACAGGCAATACAAAACGTGACCTCAACTATATGAACCCCAATTTTACTGAGGAATTGGACGCGTCCCTAAAGCGCATTATTAATAGAACGTCAGAACAGCATTGTGTAAATACTGACGACAATGGTAAGTGATATATATGCATTATATTTCTGTTAAATAATTAACTCGAAAGTGTACTAAAAACTCGTTAAAAATATATTCATATTTAAAAATTTATATATTTATAGTAAAGATAAAACGGTCATACGGTGTAAGGGATGACGACAGGGTAAATAAAAGAAATTCTATTTAGTCCCGTCAATCAGATAATAGAAAAATATTAGATACGTATTTATTTTTTGCTTCAATTTAACAAGAAATGGCTTAGATAACAGACATTAAAATTGAGGAGTTGGGGCTCGCTACGTCACACGTAGCGAGCCCCCACTCTTCAACTTCAACTTTACAAAAAAAAGTTTTGTTGAAAATGTACAAAAGCGTGCCGTCATGTGACATTTTAACTCAATGTATCGCTGTAATTTAACAATTACGAAAAAGAAATATTTTTCAATCAACAGAAATTGGTCGTCAGCCTTATCCTGATTTATTTTCGCTATTCAGTCGAATAACGAATAGTACTCGTAATTCAATTCAGTATCCGGACGTAAAAATAAACGTTTACAGATGCCGAATCATATTACTATACGTTGTAGGCACCGTTTATTTATATAATAGCCAGTCAAAATGTTGGTTTGTCGTTAAATAATTCAATCATAATTATATAAATTAGCAAAATTAATTTCACCTATCAGTTGTAATACTCTCACTATGTTTGTTTATTAAGAATAATAGTTAAAGTATATTCTTAAGTTTTCGTTTTACTATTGTATGGATAATGTCTCTTTAAACTAATGAATATTTAATGGACGTTTCTGAAACTGGCTGATTACCGATAGATAGATATAGATATTTAACAACATCACATACATTGCTCAGATTCCAAGATGAGTAGCTAAAGCCCCCGTATTATGGAGACTGGGACAACACCCAGACCCGAGTCAATATAGAAAAGTTCATTTTCTACATTGACCCGACCGGGAATCGAACCCGGGACCTCAGAGATGGCTTGCTGAGCTCGCTTCCGATGCCCGACGAAAATACTACACGTTTCATCTATTAATTTATAGTCTGTCACTAGTGCAGGTGAAAAAACCGACAACGACTACACATATATTATGTGTTCATTCTGTTATGAATATAAAGATTTCGATTGTGACTATGAGCGATCTTCCATTGTATTGGCATTTTAAAATTTATGCGTTTGTTCGAGTCACTTCTCCTGCAGTCACAAATTAATTTTTCATTTTTTTAAAGAAGCAATTCGATTTCCTTATTTCGATAGTAAACGATACGTATCGCTACGCCTATTGTTGTACGGGAGGCTTAGTTCACTGACCCGTACAACAATAGACAATATTCCGCATATATGATATACAGTCTTGTTATAAAACGAGGATTAAATTTATATTTGGTTTAAACTATGTGCCGCTTATATCTAATTGACAATGACAGAACCGAAAACGTCAAATTGAGACGTGTTGTCTTATTTAAAATTTAAGTATATAACAATGGTTTTAAGTCCGGCTAGCTCAGTCTGTAGAGAATGAGACTCTTAACAGATGTTTAATCCTGATCTAAAGACAGTCCTCATTTTTTAATAAAACGGATAGAGTTCTATGGATAGCGATACGTATCGTTTACGTTCAATGCTCACATAACACATAAGACCCTTGTCCATTTATTTGTCTGCTCTAGGAATATAGTACTATATTACATATATATTCAACATTATTAGTGTATTATATTTAATCAGTTTAGAATTGCTAAGGGTTCGCATCCCATCTCCAGGGACAAAGTGGATTCTTTTAAGCTTTTTTCATTAAAAATATTGTTAGTGTATTTCATTTGTGTTAATTTTTGCAAATTAAATTCTTAAAGAAGTTTTACTGTCTATGATTCCCTCAGAAACTACAGACACGGCAAGTTCTATGCAAGCAATCAAAGATAAAGCTATGAAACTGCCAGTAGACAGCATGAAGCACTTACAAACGACTGTCGGAAAAAGCAGGTATTATTATCAGACTTAATATCCCACTACACTACAATTTGCTTACTGCGTAAATAATAAAATAATAACCGTATTTATCCAGTAGTTTATGCTGGGGCACAGGCCTTCTCTATGGATGGAATCGAATAGGGAGAACGAGACTGTGACTCACCACGCGGGTCCAATGCAGATTTGTGGGTGTTAACGTCTACTAGCACAGAGGAGCTCCAGATAGTAAAATTTTGGTCACCCTTCCTATGTCCGGTTCTTGCTTCTGCACACTGCGCCATCAGCCGTTAATATTTTGCTATAACTTTGCTGATGATTTGCGGAATCGGTTCAACCGGTTTTCAGTTTAGCACTTAGCACCAAAAGATAACGGTCCATAAGAGGCTTTTCCGGCCCTGAAAGGTCCCGGAAAATTACTGAAATTTCAGGTTTATCGTATCCATGAAATTTATGTATTGAAATATTTCAGAAAAATTTTAAGTTTTATTAATATTTTTCATCCTATTGTTCAAAAGCTCAAATTTTGATAATTTTTTAAACATACATAACAATAAAAGTGTTGCGCCACTCTGCTGGTAGTGAATATAATAAAAATTTTGATTAAAACTTATGTTAGCTTAGCCTGAAATCTACGTAATTTTTTAGGGCGGAAAAGTTCATTCAGTGTTTCACTTTTTTAATTAAATCTATTTGCAGATCACCAAAAAAGAGTAGTCCGAAGAAGACAGTATGTGAAATCAAACAAAAACCTGGTGGGGTCAGACAGCGGAGCCCTAGAAAACCGGTGACGTCAATGGCGAGACGAAAGACCTCGGGAAGAATGCGTACAACCAAACGGAAACGTAAAAGTTCCAGTTCAAGTGATGATACCAATCATCCATGGAACTCTGACTCATCAGATGAAAGCAAAAGCAGTGTTGAAAAAGTCAATACAAAGAATATTGAAGCGATTGACTTAAATCTTGATTTGTTTGATAAAGAGACTAACAACGAATGCAATGTCACAGAAGAGAAAGAGATACATATATCTATAGAGTCCCTGCCGGTTTTAATTAGGGAAGAGCAGGACGGAAAGATGTTTGAGATAGAGATCATAGATAATTTGAAGCCTAAGAAAATGGTTAAAGTAGAAAACACTAAGCAGAAATTGTTAAAATTGACAGATGTATCATTGAAGAAATTAGGTGTAGCAAAAGATGAGACTTCTGTGGAACCTTTAAGTGATTCCAAGGTTGCAGAATTAGCGGAGATCAAGAAAGTCCCGATTAAGGAGGAGGCGGGATCTTCTCGTCTCTTAGTGCGCCCGGAGAAGAGAGATCTGAAGAAAACTCTGGTCAAATCTAAGTTTAAAAGGATGGGAATACTAGATATGGTTGATTGCAAAAAGCATAGTCCAAAAAAGAATACGAAAAAGTAAATGTACAATGAGATACAACTTGCATAACTCACTGATATACCTGAGCAGGATAAATGTCAAAGCGAGGCAAATGTCGACCAATCAGAATCAAGTATCACGCCATTGGGTTGTTCATCGATATCCACGCGTCTAACCGCGAGTGTGAGCTAGAAAGACTCCCAATGTGTTGTATTTTACCTTATTTATTGACATAAGACTTTAATAGTACTTTCAGACATCGTCGGTATTGGTAAATCTGCTATGCACAAACTATAAACAGTTACATAATTCTCATTTACTGTAAATAATAATTTTATTAGAATAAGTTTAAATGTGATTATTCTGCTATAATCATTGTGATATTAGGTACTTTTGAATAAACAATGCAAAGAATAAAATAGTATTTTTAATTTATTACTTCAATGACAAAATTAATAAAATTGGCGCCTAATGACGACCTCCGCAAGTCGTTTATAAGGTGAAGCCATCTTGGAGCTCTCGGGTTTGATTCCCGGTAGGGTCAATTTGAAAATAAACTTTTCTATGTCTCGAATTTGGGGTGTCCAACAGAGTGGTAGCTCCACCCTCGTATATTTGGGTGTGTAATATATGACACAATAACACAATATAAAAAATATATTCGTGTAACATAATTTTGTTTAATAAATCGATTACTTCATATAATAAACGGAAAAAATAATTTTGAAAGAAATACCCATCAATTAATATAATTTTCTCTATTATAAACATTGTTTTATATCAGGGGTAGCCAACTTGTTTAGACCCAAGATCGATTTACTTCTTAAAATCTTAAATAAAACAGTATAGTTCGTACACTATATATTTATATTTTTTGAATTTCCTCGCTCTACTGGTCGATCGCGATCGACTGGTTGGCCACCCATGTTTTATATAAAACTTATGAGGTGTAATATTTTAATCATATAATACTCATTCAAATTAAACACATTATATAATATAACCTTGGTATAAAAATCAATTTACATATTAATGATATTCTATAAAATTTCTCATTTTTTTTATAATATGGCGAGCACGGCTTTTGCATATAACATTATTAAAAATAATGAACATTTATAATATTTTTTTAACCGAATTGTTTACTAGGTTTACCTATTTTCCTTCTAGGAATTTACATACAATAGAAGTTAGCATAATGAATAACTCATAAATGGCGCTCGCTCGGCCTGCTTTTTGTTTTGGTCACAGTGCTAACCTAACATGATGACTTTTTGTTGTAAACAAAAATGTGAGTTTTAATTAACTTAATCGGTTTTGTTATAAGGATATCTAATGTGATCGATCTACCTAAAAAATTGAATATTTTATTCTTACTGTTTAGTCATTATTTCAATTAATCGGTATATTAAACGAAGGTTATATCAATTATTTGTTATATTAATTGAAATTTATAATAATTGATTATGAGAAAAAGCGTTATATTATTTAAGTAATATATAGAATGATGGTTATGTTAACAGAATGAGGAAGTATTTGAGAAAAAAAGAAAGCACTAAAAAGCACCTCACTAAATGGCGACCCTAGCAAAAGTTGATTTTTGCAGGAAAAAAATGGACCAAAGATAGTCATTTCCGTTCCTTAAAATGAAGTAAAACTAACATATCAATACAAATACGAAATTTATTTTACTTTTATACATGAAAAATCCGGAAGGGTTGTCATGGAGAAATCATGAAAGTGCCGTAGTGACATCTAGTTTGATTTCGGGAACAATTTTTTTTAATACTTCCTTTTTGAAAGTTAAACAAATTGTTAAATCAATGAGGAAGTATTTGAAAAAGAAAGCTCTTAAAAGCACCTCCACTAAATGGCGACTGTAGCAAAAGAGCATTTTTACAGGTTCGGGTAAAGGACAAGCATCCAAGCCAAGAATAAACTATATAAAAAGTATTTTTACAGGAAACGAATGGACCAAAGATAGTTATTTCCGTTCCTATTAACTAAGATATAAAAAAATACTGAATATTGCAAAGTTCGAAACTTAGATATTAATACAAATACGAAAAAGTACAGATAGAATGTGAGTTGTTTATTGAGTTTTGAAAACTTATATACTTTTATTCATAAAAAATCCGGAAGGGTTGTCATGGAGAAATCAAGAAAGTACTGTAACGACATCTAGTTTGATTTCGGGAACTATTTCATATAATAGTTGTTATTACAAATGTTCATCATACTTATAATAATAACGTTATTGATATGAAATTATATAATAAGTTACTATAACAAATGAAGCGCACCCCGTGATTTTTGGAACGTATTCATGACCCATCTAGTCCTTTATATGTCAGTCCGTACCGAAATAGAGAATAGCAAACATACGTACTTCCGGAGTTTAACGAGTCTAGTGGCGCTGCTGAGCGACATCTGCTCAGCAGCGCCACAAGACTCGTTTGTTTTCCACACCACAGTGCCAGTTTTTTTTTTTTTATAGAATGATCAATACAATTTAAAGTTTACATAAATTGGTTTACTTGGATCATGTTAACGCTAACATATAATTTCATTTCAATAACATTCATATGATATAACAAACGTTTGATATAATAACACTTTAACTAATCAATTTTGATATAACTTTTATTACATATAATCATCATTTGTTATAATACTATTTGACATAACGCTCATTTCACATAAAAATATTACATATAAAACTTACTATAACGGTTATTTGATATAACCCTCATTTCATATCAATACATTAAGTACATATAATTCTAACTTACCATAACATTTTATATATTATTGTTTGATATAATCATCATATCTTATAATTTCATTTCTTAGAATAATTTCCACGTAGGTATGTTTCAATTTGCAAAATAGTGAAAACCTCAATTTTATAGTCAGTTAAGTGAGTAGGTATTATTGGAAAATACAGTATTTATGTAATTTTATATAATTTATCATATTTTTATGTGGAAATGTTTGTGCGCAATATTCAGTGGATTATTTATACAAAAATAAGAGTGAATTACTAAAAAGATATTTAAATCTACTTAATGCACCCCAACTCCATACATAGTTTTGTCTGCCCTCCCTTAACAGTGTTATTAATAAACAAGGTATAGAATTGGAGTAAATTTACGCTAGGACTGCACTTAGTATTAGCCAAAATTCATATTATTAAACAGATACTTAGCAAAGGTTAACCTAGTACAAGGTTCAACGGGAGTAATATTTACCCCTAGAAGGTAGTAGGTTTACTTATTCTCTACAGAGAATAAGTATTATACATAATGTGCTCTAACAACTTACTAAAATTTACTCTGTCGCTAAACCTTGTTTATTAATAGCACTGCTAGTGTAATTTAAAACCGTGAAGGCGCGGTGGGGCAAGACGAGCCGCGAGCTGAACTTCAAAGACATGAGCAAGCCGAAGCTGCGGTGGTGAGCGGAAACCATTTGCGACGATAAGCTCGTGTGGGACCGCCGCCGGACGGAGCCTCACAGCGCTGGACCCATGCCGGCTGAATACTTATTATTTATAAAAACTAAGTAATAAAACACAATAATGTTTTAAGGTCTATTATATTTAGGTTCGAGTGTTATATCATACAAAGTTATATAATTTAATTATTAGGCGAAAGGTTGTTATATCAAACAAATATTATGTGTTTTGAGTATTACACATGATGAGTGTTATGTCAAACGTTTTTATACCAAACGTTCATTATACGTTTTTATTTTTTTATTAATATTATAAAATTCGTTGATTATACCAAATGAACATTATATGAAAAAAATTTATATCATCCGTTATTATATATTGTGAACGTTATACGATATGTTATTGTATCAAACATTACACACTCGTTCGTAACACATGCAAGAATTAATGTATATTACATTAACACAAACTTAGATAACTATTTGGCATGACATGACGAAGATAATAGTTAAAGTAAGTTAGTTATAGTTTAACTCTGTATTTATAATTAAAGTAGCTTTTCACCAGCAGATTTGCCCGCACGTCCTGTATTATACATACAAAGCTTACTCTTGAGTCACTGATAATGAATACCGCATTAAAATCTGTTGTATAGTTTAAAAGATCTCAACGTATAGAAAGCGGTAAGCTACTTTATTTTATATAATGTACAGAGTTCAAAAACTTGACTTGACCTAAGGTTATCATTTAATCCCTTTATCAGTCTGATACATAACGCTGATAAGTTAGTCCAGCAGCGCCACGGTATATCTATCTAAATATAGCACTTGAGCAACTCATACTTATTAAACGTCATGTCATAATAAAACATTGAAACTTTTGCCATCCTGCGAGTATTCACCATTGTAAGTTCTGGTACTGCGTAATTTAAGTGGCATAAATTACGCAAAAAATGTCAGTAGGCACAAAGTATTTTATGCTCTGATAGTTCCAATCCAATATTTTGTAACGAATAGTTTTAATAGTGATTGAACCCAAAAAACCACAAAAAATATTAAACATACAACCTAACGTACATTAGTTTAAAAATCAATTTAATATTCAGCGAGAAATTCTACTTTATGTTAGACTGCATAAAGTAAACTTTCCATTTTTACCAAAACGTTTGTCAAATAGCCAATAAAATTAAGTCAAAAATAAAATACGGTTGTTATATTATAAGTTTTTTAATTCACAATTAAAAAGGCAAGTGAAGCAATAAATAATAAGGTAAATAATGTACAAAAAACATTAAAAATAAATCACATATTTTCTAAAAATTATGCGTAATCGCTTTAATTATATTTTAACTAATTATTAAAAATTTATGCCTAATCTTAATATTAAACGTTAACAATTTTTTAAATATACATTTTGGTTTTGTTTGTCACCTATAAATTAGGCAAAGGTCAATGTCATTACAAAATTTAACCTTCTTGTGTCATTACCACTTTCAGGTCTATCGTGTAACTTACATTGGCTTCGACCATTTTAGCATTGGATTCAGTCAAAATGCACTCCGCGTAAATGAATACAGTTCTGTTAAAGAAGTGGTGCCAAATCTGTTGCAAAACTCTAAGCTTAACAAAATTCACTAGTAATACGTCTTTGTGTGTTCTGTGAGTAATAGCAAATATTCAGTCACATCGCATGTAATGTAGATGATCAAAGAAATATGTATATTTATACTCATGTATACTATTTATGTAACAAGTTTACATAAATTGTCTTACAACTGAAAATTGATAGAACTAAATTTAAATTTAATCTAGTTTGTGCAACCGATTTGATACCAGTATCAACATTCAATATTTTGAGTTGAATAAAATGCATATGTTATAATGCTATAATGCCCAATGTTATACAGTATTAGTGATTAGACGAGTACATTTTGATTGATTCAGATGCCAAACAGATCAAAGCAAATGTGGGTAAACTGCAAACCTGATGATGGGGAAATTAACATAGCAGCACGTAGAAAATCATCTACGACGAATTTCAAATACTGTGTCAAACCCCGTTCGACTTATTACAAAACGAGAATTAAATACAAAACAAAAACAGTATGTGTTTAAAATGTGTAGATGACCCAGGTTAAAATAAAATAGGTATACTGAATTATATGAAAAGTATAAATAGTTAAGATTATTTCGCTCATCTAGGCTCGTGCTCCTCTTGAAATCGAATGCATTCTAAAATCTTAAAATTTTTTTCGTCATACATTGTTATCGCGGACCGGATTTATATAGCTTGTGAGGGCATGGCTAGTTTAAAACATTGCCCGCCTAAAGCAAATTGACAATAACAGAAAAGAAAACGTTAAATTAAGACGTGTTGACTTGTTTTGATCGGATAATAAGACGACATAAACTTATAGTGACAAAATGACATTAAACTTAAATATCGACACATAAGGCGCTATCCATTTATAAAGTAAAATAATTAATATGGGGGATGGGCTGATTCATATCTTACTTTCTTATTAATATAGGAAGGAAATTATCATAGTTCTTATGCAAAATTACAAAAATCTGTAAAGATTTTTGGTACCAACCCACAAGAAAGTAAAGGTAAAAATAAATGGATGAGCCAAAATAGTTTTGATACTTAGTCTAAGAGTTGTGACAGAAATGTGTAAGATCTTTCTAAAGCATGATACTTCAGTAAATTGAAGTACTTACTATACATCACTGAGTAGTCAGTGCGGTGCTGAAACACCTAGTAGCGACAGGGCAATGTAAAGTAAGGAAAATCGTAACACATGTTATAAGCAGCTTGAATTTGTTTAATATAAAAAAAAAACATACTGAAATATCAAGCGTTAGAAAGTTCTTGAACATCTTTGTCATTAGCTATATTTGTATCATCTAATATACCGGAGACAAAATTATTTTTTCAATAAATTATTGCATTCGACTACAGTTAAAGTTATAGAATTTATATTTTATGAAAGTAAATCTAGAACATTTTTAAGAATTTTTATCCATAAATTACTTACAAACTCAATAAAGAACTTACTATTGTTTAATTACCATAATATTGATTAGACCATTCACTCATTCATTAAAGTTGACAGAATTTATAGACAAAACAATTTTGTCTTTCGCAATCACAAATATGTAATACTTAAAATGAATTCTAAATGCACACGGAATGCTGATCTCGTGAACGATGGAAAGCAAAATTATTGTTTATATATACAATTATTAATCACTTGTCTTGTACTTGGGTACAAGACACAGTTTTATGAAATATAGTTTTATATAACACGGTTTTATATAACCTACTATTTGAGCTGTACAATGAGCGATAAGTATTGAGCGAAAATGGTGGAATAAGTGAGGCAGGCAAGTACGGATAAAATGGGTTATAAAATAGAATACCTTACATGTTTTTTTTTCTCTTCAATGTAGGTATATTCTCAAGTTTTAAAGAATAAGTAAATTAGTTTCAAAAATACTGTTAATGAATTATTAAAGATCGGGATTAGACAGGAATAGAAAAAATATTATTATTTCTAATGTACATAACGTTTGATTTTTTTTATATATTAAACGATGAACCTTACGAACCGCTTACAAGTGAGTCCTACCTATACCACTTTCTGACAAATTATAACAATTTTTAATCCTGTTTCATCAGATCACTCATAACCGATATTTCCCAAAACTATGTATTTAGACTATTTTTACTTTGACTATTTTTACTTCATATTAGTTGCTATTTCATATCTCTTTGCTCAAATAATAATTATATAAATATTGTTGATCGAAGATATTAATGATAAAAGACCTATGATAGAAAAGTACGAATAATATTCTCTTTGGGGAAAAGCAAAAAGTTTGCAAAGAACAAGAGAAGGAAAAAAATAACGTCACTGGTTCTTTCATTGGAATTTCGTGAAAAATAAACTTTTCGTGTTTCGTTGCGTTCTGAATTATTTAACTTAATTTACAAGGAGTTAATTGCGTGAGTATTTATTAACAATTATCGTTTCTTTCAACTATAGCTAGTTCGTCCTCCTCGCCGGATGTATTCGTTTTAGCGTCCGATTGGGCGAGATTCGCTTCCGAAGATCCATTGCTAGAATCATGCGATCTTGGACTTGCACTAGATTTCCTAACGTACAATATATTAGAGTTCAATTTAGAGTGCTCATTTACAAAAGGAACACCGTACACGCTTCCATCCGAGATACGATTGAGCTTGTGTATCTGTTCCCTCAATTCGCACACTTGGCTATACAACTTCTTGTTTTCTCTTAGAATAGCTATGTTTTCTGTCTCTAAAAGCTCTCTTTTACTCCATTGGACAGTATTCTCAGACTTGAGCCTCTCCACTTCCATTTTGAATTCAGCAATTCTCTCTTCCAACACTTGTTTAGCTGCTATCTCGTCTTGCAATTCGTTTTGGAGTCTCTCTACTTCACTATGACTAGATTCTGTGGAGCCTAAAGTCCTATCCCCATGAGTCAGCTCCATTTTAGCATTGTGCAATTCTGCAGTAAGTGTCTCCACCTTACTAAGCAAGAAAGCCTTCTGGTCTTTCTCACTCTGTAAGCTATTGCTGGTCTCGTCGAGTCGAAGCCGCAATTCAGCTAACTTGTTTGTGAGAACACTATCAACGTTTGAGAATTTGTGAGAGTCAAGAGACGCTCTCTGCCTTATTGAAAGCTGATCGTTCGGTGACATATAACCCAAATTCTTCTTTCTTAATTCAACCCCATCTTCCATCGTCAAATCTCCAGACAACACTCTGCTCTCACCTATGCTTAGTAATTTTTCGTTATCTCGTTTCGCCTCAACGAGCAGGTGTTCTATTTCATTTTTTTCCGCTTTTAAATTGGTGACTTCTTTTGCTAGAGTGTCGGCTTTGGTCTTAAGTAGCTTCGCCTCTTCCCTGGCTTTGTTTCGTTCGGTGCGGACTTTGCTCCATTTTTCTCGCCAGTTGGCCGTGCAGTCTGACCACCAGCGCATCGTTTTCTCCATTTGCGTTGCCCTTGCGCGGGCCTCGTCTAATTCTCGTTGGTAGAGTGCTTCTTTCGCTTCCCAATCACTATTGGTATACCTTGTCGATGTGGCCTCGTTGTCTCGACTCCGACGGTGACTCCCACCGTGCGTACTTTGTGCCATCTTTCATCGAATTAAACTCTGGAAAAAAAATCTCATTTGATATAAATGTTAGGTATAATAAGACCAAGTTGTCTGCGATAACAGAGTACGGAATGGCAAAATTAAAGGATGCATTTAAAAATAAGTTTTTACTCAGTCTGGCAATAATTTATAAACAATGTTTTTTATTAATATTAATAGTAAATTTTTTAATTTTTTGCTAATGTTCATTGGATGTATTTCATTCATTACATATATAGAAAATAAAGTGATTGATTAAAAAAAAACTGTAAATAACACAAAAAATGCATGATGAACCTTCAAAACACCTGCCGTTTTACTCTTAGCAATGTCACTGTAAAGAAATCTTATCGTTTGCTATTAAAAATGATTGTTTATATTAATTGTTGTAAAAAGTCGCTATTAAATAAGAAACAAATATTACCACCATAATCATTTGATAGGCCTATAGTTCAAGGAAAAAAATTACAATTTACAAATCTTTGACAGATTTGTAAATCCTGTCATGCTATTACTGTACATTTGGGCTATAAAAATTTTGTATGTTTATTACAAAAGTCTGAAACAACGAAAAGGTACCATAACACCCACCCAAGCCCGAGACAATATAGAAGTGTCAACTATACATAATTTAATGCAAGGGTATTTTTTGCAGCGCTATGAGTTGTCCACCACCAACGCCAGATCCATGCGCTCAAGTGTGCCACCCGCCCCCGCCAGCGCCCCCCTGCCGTTCTAAGCCCATAATGCGAGGCCTACACTGGTCACAAACCCAGTCAGTTTTTCTTCAAGGTTGTGTTCTAGCTGCAATTGGTAGTGGTTTGTGGTATGTTTTATATGTGCGACCACACATGGCTGCTTACAAGGATTATTATGCGTTAGTACTATTTTAATTTATATATTATAGTGGTCAAAGTTAACATGTCTACATGTAGGCTTACAATACCTATAATCTATAACACTAATAAATAGCCTCTACCTAGACATCCTCTTGACACATTTACAATATTTATTACAGTCACGCATATACAATGTATAATATTATCTTAACCAAAGTACTAAGCAACACCTTTTGAGAAATGTTAACTAACTGATCTTTTTTTACAAATCCATACTCCTTATTTACCTCTTTTGAAATTAGATATACTCTATCAGTGCTACTTGTAAACAAGGTTTAGCGTTGGAGTAAATTTACGCTGAGACTGCTCTTCATATTAGTTAAAGTTTATATTAATAAACAGAGACTTAGCAAAGGGTAACCTTGTATGAGGTTCTACGGGAGTAATATTTGCTGCTAGAAGGTAGTAGATTTGCTTATTCTCTGTGTAATATGAATATGGACTAATTCTAAAATTGTAATTTTAAAGTAAATTTACTACCATTCAAAACCTTGTTTATAAATAGCACTGTATTTCTTTAAATAAAAGTTGACAATCTAGTCAAAATCACTAACTTTTAATAGTTGTTGCACAAAGAAATAATGTCCAAAAATTGTAATTAAAAATGTGAAAACTATATCATATATCTAAATAGACTATAGATACAGATAACCTGTATGATAGTGTAGTGAGAGACCAGTAGCTCAAATTTTTAATTGGCTCAAATTCGGAGTCGGTCACCAACATTTGTAAATCTAAGTGATTTTATATTAAATTAAGAAGTCACTTTCAATTGTAACCAACTACATATATGAGACCATTGAAGTAGAATTTGCAATATTTACGGATGATGCAAACCACTGAAGAGTGGTCTGTTCTCTAGGATTCATCATGGCTTATGGATTTTTAGGTGACTGTTTGAAATAACACTATGAATCTTGACTGTTGTTATATTGGTTTGATTCTTCAATTATTTATAGTATTAAGAATCATTTAGATAAATTATTACATTACTTAATACCTTTATTATGTGAACACAGAACCTGTAAAGGGTCCAAAACGCCAATAAAACTGAATAAAAATGCAATAATACTGTTTATTTATTTTTTTATTTATGGAGTATGCATGAAAATATAAGAAATCAATATTTATTAGACTGTCATTATCATGCTATACTCATGTCACATACAAAATTAAAATTGTAATATTGGTTCTTTTTTTGCGAATTTGCAATCTTTAAATCAATAAAATACTTACTCATATTAATGAATGCAAATATTTATTTGAAGTCAGATTTTGAACTCAGAACATTTTGACTGCTATTACATTTTAGCCTCTAATATTGGTGTTATTGTTGTTATTGTCAAATAAAATGATAGATTTAAATTATATAAATATTCTTCAGATTAATAGACCGAACAAGTGAAAACTATATTTTAATTGTCCGCCAAAATTTAAATGGAACGAGAATAAATGTAAGGAAATCATATTTTCCTAAATGTAGTATAAACTTAAAACTTTACACCGATTTGTTATATTAAAACTATTTAAATTTAACCTAAAGCTCATAATGTCAACAATAAATTTAAGCAATAGTCATATATAGCTACGACAATAAATTAATTGTTTATATTTTATGGGCTTTTCTCATTAATTTTGACACTCACCAATTTTTGTGAATTTTTGTTTTACCCAACACTATACATAAAACTTTGTTTATTGTAACACTGATTAAGACGCTCGACAAAATTATTAGTGCTAGTGTATTACTTGAAACAAAATAAAATTAGCAATATTTGTACAAATAAATAAAAAAAGGCAAGTAATGAGTAAATGTCAAAGAAGAACACTGATCAAGAAGAAGGAGATGCGATACTATACACAGACTAGTAAGGATTTTTTTTTTTCGGCTCCAACCTTAGGGGTGCGGAACCACCTCCCAACGGGGGAAGGAGGCGGTGAATCCTTCATTGGATACCACACAGCCGGCTGTGAGGTTATGTCAGACTCCTACTGACTAAACACCGCCTTGGACAGCTGGTTACATGCCCGGAGGCAACGAACCTTCGACCGGAGCGACCGCCCCCCGCAAGGGGGGAAAGGGGGCCCAGACGTCAGTATTCACCTACGTGAATTGTGACATCGAGATGTTAGCCGTTAACCCCGGGTGGTTCGGCTCATCGGATTGTAATACAGCTGATTCCCTGAAGGGAGCGATCAGCCAGATCGGACGGGGGTATGAACTGAAGGGTCAGAGTGTGGAGGGCGGGGAGGGGAGCATCACATACCACCGGAAGGGTGCTATTTGATGCCAGTAACAATTTGTGTGGACTGCATCCTGAGGGGATGTCAGGTCGAGAGGGCAGAGAGGGTTGACCTGAAGGGTCAGGATGATGGGGGCAGAATTGGCCGACTGGGTCTCGAAAGGAGGTCAAGGTTGGCCAAAGGATGGATTGTGGACTAGTAAGGAGATACATACTATACTTATATAGGTAATACATGGACGTAGTAATATATCTGGACTAGAAGTCCTGAAAATATGTTATTACGAAAATAAACCTTTAAAAGCAATAAATTAAAGTATTTTTTTTTATTATTTCTTCTACAGAAGTTACCCTGAGGCGAGAGAGATAGTCACAACGGTGACCGTGTGTCTCGTTCTTTAATTTTGCCAATATAACAAAAAAAAAATCGTTGATTAAAAATTTAGACTATAATAATCATAGTGGAAAGACTTCTATTTTAATGGAAACTTTAAACCATTATATAATCACATTCATAACGTTATCATTAAATTATTACATAAGGAAGTATTTAATAAAAAAAAACATTAGTTCCGAAATCAAACTAGATGTCACTACTGTACGTTCTTGATTTCTCCATGACAACCCTTCCGGTTTTTTCATGTTTAAATTTTCATGTTTTGCTAGAGTCGCCATCAAGTGTAGGTGCGTTTTTAGTGCTTTCATTTTTTTTAATACTTCCTCATTATTATCAAGGCTATTTGATTACTTATTCTTTACTGGTATCCCTTTGAAGTGTTATGGCAGTGACATATTAGACTTAATTTATGCTTAGTATTTGGCATTTTTCATTCAGTAATTTTTTATACATTTCCACATTTAAAATTGTTGTGTTTATGTTTATTCAAGTTTAACTATGTTTACTATGAACTCTTGAAATATATGGATGATTGTAGCAAAGTATTATTTCAGTTATCCGAATAATGAAGAAATGCAACAAAAATGTCTCAGCGGGCAGATACGTGATGCAAAAATAACAGCTGTAGGGAATTAAATATTTCAACAAACGAAATTCAATTTAATTCGTAACGAAACTTGAACTGTAAAACTGGATTTCATGAATACAAGACGTTTGACCAAAGAGAATAGAATTGTCAGTGTTACTATAGATAATGGTAATATCGAGTTGAAATTCATTTAGATATATAATTCCAGTTACGCAAACAAAACTCGATTAAGTATGATTGTATATGTATACGTATATATAAAGTAAACCTTTTGCTCAAATGCACAGCCCGAATTGTTCTATCAATTTTATAGGTATATGCGATTGCTTGGAAGAGATCGCTTTTAAGCGATAAGGCCGCCATTTGCTCCACTGTATTTGTATGTTTGTTGTTTTCCAATACAGTTTATTATTATTAATGTTCAGTATTATTCGTTACAGAAAGGCAGAATTTGAGGATTACGCTGACGAAATGGCTCGGAAAGGATTATTCCAAGCTGTACCGAAAGGATCTTTACAAGATAATAAACATGTAAAATGATTAATATTTGATATTAATAAAACAATAATACGTCGAAATATATTTTTTTGTCTTGTTATTCCACTTATTTGTTGGTTACTAGCTGTACTCAGAATACAGCTAGTAAAGCCCTCGCATATGTTTGTTCATGCGTGCCAAACAGGTGCCAGTCGCTATTTCATAGAATTATTATAGTAAATCTTTAATAAAACTCTTGTTTGCTTTTATTATATAGATTAAGCTTTATATATTATAGATAGATGTTTTGTTAAGTAGATGGCTTGATAACTCCCAAGTCGTCTTTAGAAGGAATACTAAGCAGATTAAAATAAATTTATTCTTTCTCTATTTAATATTTATTAACTTACGTGTAAAGGAACGATGTTTGGTTTATATATGTGATGATTGATGAGTCTATCAACAACAACAACATTAGTGATAAGCCTAGTGACTCAAACTATACCGTTTGAGGCCCGTGGCATCATCGTCATCGGCACCTCCACTAGATGGTTTCTCTAGCAAAAGTTGATTTTTGCAGGAAATGAATGAACCAAAGACAGTAATTTCCGTTCCTATTAACTAACATATTAAAAAACTGAAATTTGGAAAGTTCGAAACTTAGATATCAATACAAATACGAAAAAGTACAAATAGAATATGAGTTGTTTTTAGAGTTTTGAAAACTAATTTACTTTTAAACATGAAAAAGAAACCGGATGGGTTGTCATGGAGAAATCAAGAACGTACAGCAGCGGCATTTAGTTTGATATCGGGAACTAACGTTTTTTTTAATACTTCCTCATAATATTTCAACTCGATATCTATCCGAGCTATAAAATTCTATTCTACTTTATCGTACGTCAATTTGTGCTGCCATCTAGTTATATAAATTCTTTATTTTTTTTAAATACTTCCTCATTGGATTAATCCATTTCAATCTGACAACAATCTAAGTGATACATGATCAACTTGTGATCAGTCTAATGATGATCACGTATTCATTTGACGATAAGTTGTTAGTCTAACGTTCTATTAGAATACTGCACCCCGTTTATTTAAAATACTTGGTCCTAGGTTAACTTAAACTCGGGTTAGATGTCTAATAATTTAAGATATAACATTTTATAAAAAATGATTTAAGTTTTGTATTTTTTATGGTAAAGAAAATTATAATTTTAAAATGTTTAGTTGGCCGCATTTACTTTTTTAACAGGAAGTGATTTGTGCCATCATTTTACTTGGCGGTAACCAATAATATTCTTGTATTCTATGAATAAAAACATGAGGATTATGTTATCTACCAATCACAAGTTCTCACCAATAGAGTATAAATGAAACTTTATATGACTTTGTATCGAGGTATGTAATAATTATACTTTAATAATAATAAATTGCTGGATCCTTATTTAAAAGAGTTGGTGTCAAAAATGTTATGAAATATTAGTAATAATGTCAATAAATATATTTTTATTAGAGGTATTTCAAAATAAATAGAAAGTAATCTTGAAACTTTATTTACCTCATTCAAAAGTTATCTGTATTTGCAGTTCGAGTCAGTGCGCATGTCAAGTCCAAAAATTGCAAATGGCGGCCGTTGTTATTGTTCGTACCGAATTAACTATTTGTAAAATATATACTACCCTTTTTAGAGATTTTTCTACAGAACTATTATATTGATGTGATGCCCTAACTTCCCATAATTCGGCGCGCGCGTTTCAAGTACAATTTTAAGTGTATTGTGTGTTTTTTTTGTATTTAATGTGTGTCATGCAAATGGGGTAAGCTGGAATTATCGGATGGCTCTTAAGTTGTTTTGGATAGTTTTAGCAAGAAATCAAAGTGAAGTTTTGTGACCTAGAGTGTGAAAATGGAAACTGCATAAAGTTTTTTTACTATTGCGCTATTTTTTGAGCACAGCGACAGAAAAGAACGGCCGCAATCTGCTAATGTTCCATGCCGTGACTGCACTCCCCGTACGTTTCAAAATGGCTGCTGTTCTTCACGATATATGAGCTTTGCGTCACTGGAACATAAATCAGTGGTTAAGATTTATGATGAAGTTTTGGTGATTCTAGTCGTGTGTCTATTGTGAAAAATCAAAAATTAGCGTCTGGCTAATCCGCAGGAATAATTGAGTTGGGACAATAGTGTTGTATCATATGTTTTTGGAGTAGTGGACAGTGACCATAGGACCGATATTGCCTTGCGTCCGAGCTGGACTGTAATGTCGCGATTGAATTTCGAAGATGATTTGGGACATGAGGGAATAAAACTTTTCTGGAATTGAGCGGAATGTGACATTGTATGAGAGGTGAGTGGGAAATTTTAAGTTTATTTACATTTTGTCGGATCTAATTATCGCGCAGTGTTCTTGACAAAATGGACACATTGGTTTGATGGTAGGCCGTCGGGTGGACATCGCGGACGTCCTGTGGCCACTACGAGCCAATAGGCACGTCGTTTTGTAACGAATCGTGGTTTTATTTATCGAGATTAGGTTAAAAAAGATTGTGTAACACACGCCTTGATGTTTTCGAAACTTCGACCTTGCTGAATATGTTGATGAAGAAAATATTCCATGCATGAAAACATATTATTGAGATTCTTATGGTCATTTATTTATTGTTTTTCATTTACATTGCATATTTCGATTAAAAGTATCTACATTTATAAAATTGCTAATTACATGACATATGCATTTATTGTATATGTTGGAGGTGTTATTGAGTATTTAAATTAATTTTGTAATAAGAACATACAAATTTATTTTGTAAATTTGATACACATTTGTTTCATCACTATTATCATCAATGATTACTGAAGTCTCAAATTGTTTATTTAAAAATCTCTGTTAACATGTGAAGTTTTTTATTGGAAGACAATAATTTTAACAAATGAACCTTTTATTTGACAAAATTATACAAGTGCAATATTGTTTTTAATGTTAAATTAAAAATCATTCCCATTTTTGTGTATTGGAATCATTTTAATGTTGTCCTATCTCTCTTTATTATAATATAATAAGTTTACCACTGTTGACTTATTTATTTACATAAACAAAACATAGAGAATCACCACCAATATGTTTTTAAAACTTTTCTTGTTTGAATAATTTGAATTATTATCAAAATTTAATTTTCTAATAAGCATTAGAAACTTGTATGATAAAATATTTATTGACCTTTTTTTTATCTGAGTATAGGAGTGAATTTTTTGTTTATTGTTTTGCGTGACTTTGAATATTTTTTGTTATTCACATGAAAACAAAGAAAATAAGTTACTACTGATAGCTACAGAATTCCAATTGTAGTTTTGTTATTTTGTTGAGTTTATGCATTAGAATTGCTACCAATGTTATTATTATTTGTTATTGATATATATGAAAGTTAAAATATCATACGAATAAATTAATTTAGAATACTTTCAATCAACCGATTAGCTTTTTTACTTACCGCTTGTTTAGGATGTATTTTGGCTGATAAGATGGATAAGCAAAAAAAGTTCTAATAGAAGTAACACTTACAAAAACCATGTCATTAAAAAGCATAATTATAGATCAATATATAATTATTGATATACATCTTGATTTAACAGCATCATTATTTTATGATACATATCAAAATATGTTATTGTTAGTTAATTATTTTGTTTCTATTGCTAACATAAAATGGCTCCACTGTATTTTAAAATGTGGCAAGGTTAAATTTTCTAAAATACTGTTGCTTTTATAGACAAATTCATTCATAAATAAATATATATGTATTAAGCAACTACTCTAATAATAAGAACATTGGTATATATCAATAATTTGTAAAAAAGTAAAATTGGAAATATATTTTGGGATTTTTTATTTTTATTATAAATATTGGATTTTTCATACCCTGTTTTGTTAATGAAACTTAAGTAGAAACAACATCCACTTCTTAATACAATTAAATCATCATGAAATTAGAATGATTTTAAACTTCTAATGTATACCATACATAGTCATAATTATCATATGAAGGAACATTAAAGGTCATATTGTCATTAGATTAAAAAGTTACAAACCTGATAAAGATATTGATGTTTATATTTTTATTTTTTAGTCCCAGTTTTTTTTTAATAATTTGCTTACTTTAATTACAAAATCTGATTATTTTGATGTGTAGCAACAATTTAGATTTTCAATATATCTAGTAACTTTTTATTTTGTCGATATGGTAACATTTCATATTTTAGATCTGGTAAGATACTTCAGTAACAATAACTGTAGAGGTAAACAAATATCTCTATAGAGTGAATGTATGACTTTTATTCTTCATGAAAAGTGCTTAAAAATCTACTTTGTCCCTGGTTCTCAATATAAAAAATGATATCCACGTTTTTTTTATTAAATAGAATTGAGTAATATATTGAATACTTTCAAATAAATTTTATGATGCGGTCAACAATGAAGGCAGAATTTGTCTGAAACATTGTTTCACTACAATATGTTTGGTGATTGAGAAGCTTGGATATTAAATTTTTTTCTGAGATTACTTTTTACACTATTATATATGCTATAATCAAAATATTTCTCTATTGTCATGGCCTTTAAATTCAGAGTAATAAGTAAACTATAATACTCAAAAAATAAAAGGTATTTAAAATTAATTTTGTGTTAATTTATTAATTAAGTAATGCAATCTTTAATAACCCACTTAATGATATATAAATAAATACACATAAAAACAATAAATAAAGTGCCCAATTTTTTGTTCACCAGTACAGTACAGTATAATGTTCTTTTTATTAATTTGTATCATTACTTCTATTTTCAATAAGCTTTTTAATAATTCTGAATATATGTCATTGTTTTGTTACTAAACATTTATAGATTTGTTACTGCTCTACTACCTGACTACCTTTTTTGAGAAACTTAAAGTAATGATGGCTTGTTTAATAATTTTAATTATTGTTTGACTTAATATAAAGGTATTAACTATATTGACAGAAAATTCTAGATATTTGTAGAAGATTAAGATTCCTATATTTACCTGTAAACTTAAGTATTAATTTGAAATCTCAGTATTGGAACCAGCAAAGATGCCCTTCCATGTATCTTTCACTCGCACATGATCTGAACGGGAGAATGCATTGTCATAAAAATATCTGAAACAAGATTGATCAATTATCAATGTGTTGACATTTCAGCATGGCAGCGGACAGCGATGGGCTAGGCTCGGCGGGCGGTGGGTCGTGCGGGGTCGTGGTGACGTGCGAGGGCGACCTGCGCGACCCCCGATTCCCCGAGCGCCTGCGCCGGCTGCTGCGAGAACTGCGGACCCTGCTGGCTGAACCGAGTCCGCATACGTTAAAAGTTAACAAGGTCAGTAACGTTTCCTCATTCAAGATTACGAGAGAGCGATTTTTCGCTACCGGTTTTTCATTACCGGTTCTTTCGATATTGGAGTTGATACCGGTTTATTTCGATATCGATGCGAAAAATACGGTTTTAAAATAATGTGCACTATTTTTTTTTTGCAATGATATAACGCATTCTGCTTTACCAAAGACGAATATTAAATTACTATTCGGTGAAGCTTAAATACTGTAATAAATATACACACTAAAAGAACACTAATTGGTAAAACTTACAACCAACTTACTGAATGTTTTATTCATAAAGAATAATATTTGTAACATCAATGTTAAAAAGATAAACACGTTCAATAAACATTACAATCAATACTTTTTTGAACTTTGTTCGATAACTTTTTGTCATCATGTAGTACATGGTTCATTAGGTTTCCTTCAGTGTGCACGTCAGGTATCCAAATATCCAACTTTTTTGTGTACCCACCTTTTTCGAATGCGCCAAAACTGTTTTGTGGTGAATCTCCAGTTCTTCAGCTACGTCGTAACTACTGATATGCCGCTTTTGGTCCATTTTTTCAAAAATGGCATCCATTTTATCCGTAAAAGGACGACCGAAGCGACGTGCATCAAAATTTCCAGATTGAAAACGCTCAATCCAAATTTGTACTACTCTCACAGAAACTACACTAGGTCCATAAACGTTACATTTCTTTCCCGGCTTGCATTGCGTTTTTACCTTATTTTTTATAATACAATTTTAAAATGTATCGAATTTCTTCAATAGATTCACTCATTTTGATAGTGTGAAAAACTAATGAAAATCACTATTTTTCCTAATTAAGTTTCAGAGTTGTCTTCTTAAAAATATAAACCAGCCAGAAACAAATGGTATAGCCAGAAATATTTTATTATAAGTTTATGTATATTATATACAAAAAGCCTCCCCAACCTAATATATTTTTATTTTATAGATATACTTGAAACATATTTTAAATTATATAAACACAATATTGATTTAAAATCTAAAAATAAAATTCATGTTCAAAGTTCCCCGCTCAAATGCTTACGTCTGTCATGGTGTCGATGTGACGTCACTACCCTCTGAAACTAACATAAACAATAACAACAACAAACATTGTTCTATGTATGTCAAAGTCAAAACTGTGACTCCACGCGCTGTTTGCAGTCACGTGACAACGGGTTCAAAATGAGGGTTCTTTCATAATTAATTTAAATATTATAAATTAAATTTGGAGTGCGTGGTAGGCATTATTCTGTTAGTCTCTGTTAAACGCATACCATGGATCAGTTCATTGAAAGAACCTACTGTACATTGTCTAGTTTAAAGTTACCCAAAATTTTCAGTGTTTAGACATATCAATGCTAGTGCACAAGAAAGGTTACGATGCCAATATTAATTATACCGGGTGTATTAAACATATCTAGCCGTTTTTTCGTTCTTGTTCTTAATTTCAACGTTGGGAAACTTTGGACTAGTCATCATCACGCGTGCGCTACGATACAGTTGGTTATTAGCTTATATATTCGCCATTTTGCACGTTATCGTCGTTGAGTGCCACAAGATGGCTAAACATATTCATTAGTGTCTCATTCTGCTCTAAACATATTTATTAATTTAATGTTATTAAATTGTTAAATTATATATTTTTCCATATTTTAGGCGGCGTGTGCAAACGATGGACATGGTTAGACTTATAAAAAGTCCGTGTCTGAATATTTATCGTTGACCGGTCCGCTGACCGGTACACCGACCGGTCCGTCATTACTGCAAGTGATGCGCAGGAATTTTCCCTTTTATCATAAAAATACAATATTCTCTCTAAATACACTTAGAGAGAACATTGTGTTTTTCGGAGTATGATGCAACGGAAGTAGGACCTGCCCTGTGATTCTGTAAAAATCCAGACCTGAATTCGAATTTACTCATGTGTCCGTATTCACGTCATTTAGTATAGAAATTTTATTGATTCCATTTTTTCTATAAAAATATAAACAAAAATTGATTGTTTATACGTGTCTCAGATATTAAATTTATTCTATTTCGAAACTCATTTCACTAATGCGACATGCGACATTACTAGACATCGGATTATATCTGAATAGTACAGTGGAACAACTCAAAAACCATTATTTCAAGAAAACGCCACAACATTGTGGTGGCATCCCATAGATAATTTAAAGAAAAAATAAAAAACTTAACAGTAATAATATAATATAAACGATTTAACTGTTATGCTAAAAAATTTGATTTTAATAATTATAAATACACATTCCTACAGAGACCTCTTCAGGAAGAGTTTGTCCGGTACCAGTGATGATGATGTCTAGTTATTACCAATTCAAGATCGAGCGGATTCCGCTTTTTGAAGTGAATTCGAATTCGGGTTTGGAATATAATTTTACTAAAATTATAAAAACGGTTCCAAATTTGCTGAATTTTCGTTCGAGGACAAATAGAATAGTCCATCGGTTGTCGTTTTAATTTGTATGTGTTGTAACTGTAAGCTGGACTTGTAGCATAGAAGGAATAGGGGGTTTAGTAATATGAATTAACTACGAAACGAACAAGAAAAGAAAACAGAAACTAGTTTTAATTCAGTAACCGCCTTTTTTGTTGAATATTGTTTATTTTGGTTTTCGAGGGGTCTTTCAATTCAATATTAATAAACCTCAAAATTATAATTCATATATGAGTTATAATCTTAAAATAAATTCCATTTTCAAAATTTCCCGCGGATACGCCACTTCTGTCATAGCGTCGCTTTCACGTCATGGCACTCTGAAACGAATAATACTAATAATGCCAACGAGCATAAATTATTTGGTTTTTCATAATTAGTATAAGCAATATCTACAGTTCTACACTACTATTATAAAGAGGAAAACTTTGTTTGTATGTTTGTTTGTAATGAATAGGCTCAAAAACTTCTAGACCGATTTCAAAAATTCTTTCATCATTCGATAGCTACATTATCCATTTTATTCTAGAAAAAATAGGGTTCTGTAATATTTGGGTTTTTCGGCCACAAGGTGTAAAAAATCAACCAGAAAAATTACTTATTTTGCGTATGCTGCCTAAACTTTAAAAGATAGAACCATAAAATGTACTAACTAATTGTAGATCTTATAAATATCTACAAAAATGTCCGCGACACACTATACCTATCTATGTCGAGTGAGGCACAACAACCATTTTTTTTATTTAAAAAATCTTGAATTTTTTGGGACTACATTTAAACGTGTTGATTATACTCATGCTATTAATCCTTATCAAAATAAGTTTATGTAGATAATATTTGGTCTTTGAATGATTAAAATTAGACGTTTGGTTTAGTAGTTATGGCTAAATTAAAATATTACGATTTCTGCTGCACGGCCCGCTGCGAAGTGGGCGTCACCAAGGGTACGCGTGCGGGAGGGGAGTTTAGATCTATGAGTAAGGTACCAGCGAACCACGCGGGCGAAGCCGCTGGCGGAAAGCTAGTTATAAATATAATAAGCATAACAGTATGATTATCGGTAATAGTATAATAACTACTACTAGAAAAATAATAATAGGTATTTATTTTCGTTTACGGTCTACACTCGTATTGAAGGTGCATGCAGGGTGACATCGATTAATGTTATTTATCACTCTTATTATCAGTATATCTTGTACTGGGTACGGCACAAAACAACATTATAATGACACATATAAATCAATGATGTATAAATACTAAATTAATTATTGAATTAACTCTATTTTAAATTAAAGCCATGTGATAAATATAGATGTTATATAATATAGATGTTATATCTATATTTATCACATCTCTTTAATTAATAATAAATTTTGTTGTGCTTAGTGAAAAGTTATTTGTAAAAGCTTACAGAATACAGAATTATATTTCATTTTTCTTGAACATTATGAGGATTCTTGTTGGAATTTTAATGGTTTTTATTCAATGTTTTAAAAATTATCATCACGCTAAAGCGTAGTAAGTAATATCCCAAATCCAAATAAATTATTAAAAAAACGTTTTTTTTTGTGAAATAATTCTATTGGCGAAAACTGCAATGCATTCAGTATTTTTTTATTTTATTGTATTCAGACAAATGCAGTGGTTTTGTTTTATGGTTTATAATATTGTTGATTAGTTTTTTTTCTTTTTTTGTCGCTCCCAAATCTCTATAGTCCGGTTATGTACTGCTCTAAAGAACGATCTCCTGGATTGTTTAGTGCTGTTGTTGTTCTGTCTGTTGTGACAAAGTTGGTAGTATTCATCTTCTGTACATGAGTTCAACGGGTGGATGCTGCTATTTCCGCTTCTTCTATATTTCAGTATCTTAGCTTTTTGATGGCGTAGTTAAGTCACGTCTTCAATTGTGGTACTCAAGTCGGCGACTTTCTTAATTTTTTCACTATTCCACCTACTTTTTAATGATGTGTGGTGTGTGTAGAGATTTCTCAGTAGTCCCAAATTCAGTTCCGTAACTCATCGTTAGTCGTACTATTGTCTCGTAATCTCTAATTTTGGGTGTGACAGGATATTCAGTTTTTAAATGTTGGAAATTCCTTGTGGCCAAGGTCTATGATATTAAAAATAAAGGGTATGAAACAAAAAAAAAATTTCATATCATATCTCTTTCATAAGTAAAAGGGTATGATATGAAATATTATAATAGAGTTATTTAGAAGGTGAGTTTGTTCATTGATACCGAGGCTTTAGAATTATTATAATACAATCTAGTTAATTGTAATTATTACAATATTTTATGAAATTATGTGAAAAATTACTGAACTGAATATTAACCAGAGAATGACATTTCATTTGTTGCCACCAGAACTTTATTAATATATTTTTTTATAAATATCTGAATAGTTTGAGATATATACTTGTTTCTAGAATTTTAAAAAGCTTTTGATAGCTTGTAATAAAAGTGATTGGATTACTTAGGTGTTATTTTTTGAGTGGGTCAAGTTGTATTTTATGCTAGTAAATTCTATTGTCAATGTATCTATTTTTAACTGCTGTGATATAACACGGCGTTTTCTAGGGAGCTCTTTTAGGTCCAATTTTCTTATATTTTGACTAATTATGATCTGAATGGAAACTATGCCACAGATTTAGAAATGAACTTATATGCTCTTAGGAAGGCGTGTTAAGTCGTCATTCCCTGGAGCATCTACAGATCCATTCTTGTATTCAAGGAAATTCACGCTATGATATTCTATACGATTAGGCTGTAGACGGGAGCGTTTTATAAAGTGTGTGTTTGGGGGCAGGTGGAGCCGTGGAACTCGGTGCGCGTGACGCTGTCGGTGCCGCGTGCCGCGGCCGTGCGCCTGCGCGCGCTTGCGGCCGCCGGCGCCCCGCAGCTGCACGCGCTCGGAATACTCTCTGTGCAGGTGGACGGCGACCAGGCGGTCTCCCTGCGGCTGCAGCACGGCGCCGAGCTCACCATACACACCCAGCCTGACGGTATGTCCCCACACAGTATACACATGTGTATACTCTCTGTACAGCTGGACGGCTATGTGCTGAATCGTTCGGATAATAACGGATCTGTATATACGGATACGGACGAAATTTCTCAATTCACAATAGTACGTTTTTTAATATACTATCACCCGGTTTCTGAATTGAGAATTTAAAGTTAAGCACGTCTCAAAACGGTACATAAACAGGTTATAGTTTTTGATTTTAATTTTTTAATGATCAGTTGATAGCGTTTTGATAAAACTAAGACTTTTTGCCTTGTGATTCTATACTTTTCTTTTAAAGTTATATTATTTTATAAGACTGAAATGACCATACACAAAATACTAGAAGCATATTTTTTTCGTTACACTAGACGCTAGTACCAGTAACGCGCCGAGGCCGCAAGCCAACTCCGACCTGTTATCCAACCTCGGCACGTTAGGGCGGTTGATAAGCGACGCGGACGGGGCCGGCGCCTCCACAAGCACGGAGCCCCCGCCCGCTATCAGAGACAACTTCAAATCACCGAACACCGTGTGCCCGATGGACGGCAAGATACCGCAGAACATTCCCACTCCGCCGGCAGATGCCAGGTGCGAATTCCCCTTCGGCAGCATGACGCAAGCGAGGGTCATACATCGGAAGGAGAACACGCTCGGTGAGTTTATTTGGATGACTATTAAAGATTAATACATTTTATGTCCGGCTGCATATATACTCTTTTATCGATCATATTTCAAAACTTTTATTTCATACTTCTTTAAAAAAAAAATATCGATGTCGGATTGGCAGTTCTGTTTTTATATTTAATCTAGCTTTAAGTCCGCAGCATCACCCGCGTGGTAATCTGTTATTTTTCGTGATAAAAACTATCCCATACATTTTAACATGACACCTAATGGCCTATTCTCCTACAATTTTTTTATATACCAACTAGCTGATCCGACAGATTGTTGTACGAATTTAATCCCGAAATGAATAAATATACTCCGACCGAAGCATCAGTTTTACATCCTATTTGACAACATTTGCAGCGTGCATTCTGTCAATTCTATGTCAAACATCTTAAAGGTTGCATATGAAATGTGAATTCTGTTATTGTGTTTAGGTATAACGAACTCTGCCAACATCCGTCCGGCGGAGGGTATGTTCGTGCGTCCTTCGACGTCCGCGTCAGCGTCCGGTTCCGGTTCCGCGTTCGCTGGTCCCCCGCCCCCGTACCCGTCGGCGCCGCCCACGGTGGCGATGTCCTCGCCGCTGCTCGTCAATCTGCTGCAGAACGATGCGCCCGCGCCACAGCCGAGACCGAAACCCCCGCATCCCCATCCCCACCCAGCCAAGCTCGACAGGCTCGATGATGGACAGGTTAGTTTGTTTTCATTTCATTGTTGTGATTTTTTATTTGTGATCTTTATTGTTTATATTTTTGGGGATCTGTACCTGCAGGGTGGAAACGGAAAAATAAGACTGCTATTTTTCTGTCTGCAGTCAGAATGTAGCTCATGAATTATGATAGTTCAAAATTTCACAGATAATGTATTTCTGTTCTTGTTACAACAACAAATTCTTAAAACAATAAAATAAATATTTAAACAAAGACTAACAGTCTTAAAGTCAGACTAACAGTCTTTGTTGTCACTAAAACGTCTGTGTTCGACATTGTAATGTTTCCTTAATGTTTTTGAACCAACCGAGAGATTAGGAGTGTAGAAATATCCACATGGAAAAAATTCACGGACCTTACGAAAAAACTCTCGTCCATTCATGTTAAAACTCTGTAACGTTGACTGATTTTAGCAGGTAGAGTTAGCGGCGGGCCGTGCTCAGTTAGAGTACCGCGGGGTGCGGGGCAGCGTGGGCGAGGTGCGGCCCCCCGCCCCCTTCGTGCGCCGTACGTTCGCCCCCGCGCGGCCCCCTCCCCCGCCCCCGCCTACTGTGCAGGGGCAACCGCCGCAGCCGCCGCCGCCGACCGCTCAGTCTACGGTGAGTTTTTCTCTTATCTTTGCTTATGGAGGTTTTTATCGGTAAAGGAGCACCTTCACATGTAGATTTTACACAACGACGGTTTTGTATATTCACTGTTTTATTTTGGACCCGCATTAAACGAAAGTCTTGAGTATTTTTTTTATAACGTGACATTTTAAGCACGGTTTTAGTAATAGGGCACTCTACTCTATTGTAAATATTACTTTTAAGTGTTTATTTTTATATAAATATCTTTCAATATTTTGGTAAAATAAACATGCTTCCTTGCATATAAATTAAATCATAATTGAAACTTTTTTACACTCGAAAATGTTGTCTACATGTCATGACGTTATGTACACAAAATAGATGTATAAAGTAAATAATTAACTAGATTAAAAGATGGCAAATATCAGATATTTTACAAGTTGTATCAAGTATTATGTAGTTGTGCTCTTCATGCTCATTTGCTTATTCTTCCTAATGAGGATGAAGATCTTCGTCACAACTAATAAGCTAGGGCTGGGTCCAGATTGGCCTAACTGTTACTAGAATTGTTTTCAAAATTCTCATTGCCAATCAATAAATGTTTTTTTTTCTTCCTATATCTTTGTTGACAAATGTCGTAGATGACAAATACCCTATTATACCATAATACCAATTCAGATGGTCAAGGCGTCTTTAAGCTCTTCTCGGAATGTTTTGGGTCAATTTATAGTACAACTTCCAATTTGTCTTTCATATTTGATTGATAACATACCAAGTAGTTATAATTTATCTTTACACGATCTTGAAACAATTGGATACATGTAAAGGTTCTGGTCCTGATGGTGTTCCTTCAAAACTCATCAAACATTGTTCCGAAGAAGTATCCTCACCATTTGTCATCTTTATCATAATCTTAATAAAACGCTAAAGTCCGTATAATCCCCATATTTAAATCAGGTGATAATACATCTAATAAGCAACACGGCTTTATCAGAAAAGGTTCCACATTAACCAACCTGTGGGAGTTATTAAGGCCTTACTAAAGTCAAGAATCTATCTTGATATTTAGTAAGGCCTTTGATGAAGTTAACCATCGCTTGCTGAGTTTGAAAACTTGAACATTATAGTATTCATGGGTCCCTGCTTAGATGGATTATTTCATATTTAAGTAACAGGACTCAATTTGTTACTATGAAGGATCATTATTCTGCATCTATCGCTGTCTCCTCGAGGGTTCCTCGAGGTTCGCATTTGGGTCTGCTTTTTTTTCTTGTTTTCATAAATGACTATCTGTCACTTATCCAGTCAATCTTTTGTACGCCGAAAGTCAAGGACTCAACATTATAAATGTTCCCTATAAAAAGAGCATCCATGATTATTATCATCATCAGCCTTTTAATGTCCCCACAACTAGGGCTCAGGCCTTCCCTTTGGATGAAATCGAATAGGGAGCCTTCTCCCTAAGGCTATGACCCACTATGCAGGCCCAGTATGAATTGGTTGTTAACAATAAAAGCCCGCTTTTAATATATTTTTTTGTAGGGCCATCCTAGACAATTTGCTCTATCAGAAAAGCTATATTTTATATTTGTTTCAAATGATTCCCCTTTAATAAAATGGGAATAACCTAGAAGAACAAAGAGTTTGTGTAGGTAGTGTTTTATAATTATCAAGCTAATTATCACTCGGAACCCTGTGGGAGACTGCTGCCTAAGCTAAGCATTTCAAATGCCTGTACTTCAGGTCACTTTCAGTATTTGATGTGTATGTGTTATGGTGTGTGCAGGTGACATATCGTGCGCCGGCTGCCAACGCGACGGTGGTGGGCAGGGCGCGGTTCCCCTCGGGCTTCGGTCCGGAGCCGCCGCCGCCGCCCTACCGCGCCGACCCGCGCCCGCGTGTCCGCCCTCGGCCCCCGCCCCCACCCTCGCCTGCAACTGCGTCCTCCCCCGCCCCCGCTCCCGCCCCCACTCCCTCTCCCGCATCCGCCCCACGGTTCTCACCCGAAGACCTCAAGGTGCTGCTCCCGCCTTCTACCACATCTATGGATCAGAAGACGCGATCGAGGTTCCAGGTCAGTGAGAACGTATTTTATATGGACACTGAAATGGTTACTTATTATTGTATCTGTGTTATTTATACAGTTGGTAATATAGACTGTCATCCTGATTACTTCAATATACTGAAATATTGAGAGATGTCTGTATAAGTTAAAATATTTTATTTTTAATGTTATTCCATTATCACAAAGTTAACTAGGTTGATATTCCACAGGAGTTCCAGTGGTTCCAACAACAATACATAGCGACACAACGTGCGGCCTCACAGCCGGACTGGAACGAACCGTACCGGGACTTGGAACTGCCAGACTTGCCTGATTCAGATCTAGATCAGCTCCTGCCCACACTCAGTGCAGACCTCAACCTGGATTCGGCGTTATCCGCCATATCTGACCTCGAGAACGCCGCGAAACTATACGAGAAAGAATCCACGGAGGGTGATAGTATAAGGGAAGTTTCGTACCCCAACGGGCCTTATGCAGAGCCGACGACGAGTACGACCGAAACTAAAGAGCCTGAGTCTACGTTCATGCCGCCTCCGCCGGTTCCCAACAAGTTCCAGACCCCGTTTAAATCACCACCCAATTCGACGTACAGCGTAGATAAAGCTACCACCAGCACGACCATGCCTCCCCCCATGAGGCTGCCCATCAGGGCCACCAGCTCCGTCTCTACGGCTACGGTGGGCTCCCAGGCCTCCGCCCAAGAGATAGAGGAGCAGAGCAAGAAACAGTACCTGATCAAAACCCTCATGAGGGACGACGATCCCCCGCCCAAAGAAGAAAAGAAACCCGAAGAAGTGACCGTCGCGCAATGCAAACTGAAAGAGAACGCGGAGACTGAAGTTTTTGGCATCGCGAAAGTGGTCACGACGGAGGAAGACCGGCGAGCCGATGAGGAAATGAAGCTAAAAAACAAATTGAAGAAGGAGAGGGAAGACAAGCTCGCGCAGAAAGGGGGCAAGCCGAGAACGGTGGGTGCGAAAGAAAAGCCGGTCACGCTGAAGGATAAGATAGTGAGAGATGGAAAAACCAAAGTTGCCTTAGCGCGTCCGCAGATCGCGGCCGTGCCCGCTCCCGCCCCCGTGCCCTCTCCCGCGCCTGTGTCTGCGCCCGCTTCTGCTCCCGCTTCTACGTTACCTCCCGCCCCGTCTCCGGCGCCCCCATCAGAAGGGCCGAAGTCGCCGGGCGAAAAAGAGTCTATTAAACTTCGCCTTAAATTGGACAAAAACGAGCCAGTGTATAAAGCGGACGTCAGTTTCGTGAATCAGCCGAAAGGCGACAAGCCCACCGACGGCGAACTGAGGGTGCCTCCTCTTCACATAAGTCTGCGAGGTCGGAACTCCGCCGTCATAAAGAACTCCAAGAAGGAAAAGAAGAAATTCAACCTCGGCGATGTTCAATCGAAGAAACTTAAGATCAGAAAAGCGCTAGAGACCGACGGGAAAACCCACGAGACTCCCGCCGCGAAGTCCGCTGACGTGGTGGACGACAAAACCGACGACTTCTTACTAAAAAACATCAAACTCAACAACCACTATGGCGAGAGCGAGCCGATCAAGTCGGACATAATAGCGGCCGGCGACAACAACGTTGTATACAGAATGAAAACCATATCGAAGAACTCACATATAGTGACCAAATCACATGACTACAAACTCAACAACAAAGCCCTAGATGGTCTCAAACCGAAGAAGAAATCTAAATTGCCTATTAATTTATTAGATGGGAAACAAGTTGAGAAGGAACGGGACAAAGAGTGGAGGAACGAAGCCGCAGACAAAGAGGGGAAGTACGCCCAAAACGAGGGCTACAGAGAGAACAATCACGATGCGAAAAAAAAACAGGAGACAGTGAAGTGTGATAGTGACTTGTCACAGAGTGAGGACAATAAGTGCAGTGCGAACAGTGGTAGTGGGACGGACGGAGAATTGGACAGTCTGTTGCTCAAGTGTTTAGAGAGGACGCTCGGTGACGGTGAGAGTGAGGAGAACAAGTTGAAGCGGGCGATGGAACCGGCCGCGCCAAACGGACTGCTGGCAGACAAGAGACGCAAGCACACCCATCCCTGTCCAGGTGCGTATATGTAACACCGCACATCCCACACCTCCCATCCTAAACACCCATACTCTAGAGCTCAGATTGTAGTCTATAAACAAATTCACAGTAATCTATAACCAGCATTGGCCACAATGTAATCCTTATTAACTATTACATTTAGGAACCTTAATTTTACTTTTAAGATTAGGTGGAATCTGGTATACACATCTGTTTACAATACATAAATTTAAGACTTCAACCTGACTCCATGAATTTGTGATGGATTTATGCATTTTTTAGTAGGTGTCTTATCTTGTTAAAGGCTACCGGATTTTACCCTATGAATTCATCATATATCAATTTAATTAAAAAAAAACTAAAAAGTTTTCAACCAAAAGTATACACAACAAATTGTAGTCACAAATGAAGATACATTTCATTGTTGATTTGGATTACGTTGTGCCTGCCTCTAAGTTTTTTAACTTATATATTCTGAATATAAGAATATCGAGAGCATAAAAATGATATGCATATATTTCTTATCAGTGAGTGAGTGTAATTTATAGTAGATACAAATCAGATAAAATCCTTCTCTTCTGACTGTGACTTATGTAACTCTAAATTAATTTATTGATATAGAATTGATTAATTAATATGAAATTTCGACTTGTGAAATAACAACCATTTATAATACAATTACTATGTGTCTATATGTTCTGTCTCAAATTTTTACTTCTTTATAATTAGGAACCTTCTTTTCAAGTCTTAAAATTTGTTAGTGACTGACTATAGTTGTTTTTTATTGGTTTAACCGCTACATAAAATTGCATTATTACAACATTTTTCTCTTGCTTGTCATTGTAAATTTTGTATATATGATGTAAATAATGACTTTGTAAATATTAAGAATGAAATTAATTTTTTAAAATGAGGTATTTGGATCTAAATTAATTTTATATTGTCAATGATTCTATAGCTAAATTTATTTATGTTACAATGTTTCAATCAATCACATAATTTTGTGAACAATTTTTTTTTTATTTATAAGTTCCAAGCACATAATTATTGTTTTGTGTTGATGAAAATCCTAGAAAATATAGTTGTTTTATAAAATAATTATTTAAATTAAATATATTTTGTCAAACACATTGAACAGTTACCAATTGTTAATTAATACCCTCCCCTTACCTTGTCACAACTTATTGTTACTACTAATAAATGCGACCAAATAATTTCAAATATATAAGTTGAAATAATTTTATTGCCATTGTGCTACATCCAAATAACATTAGCTGCAATAGTATTTATAAGTGAACATTTTGAATGGAGGCTGGTTTCTTGCAAAATGTATTCTATTATCTGAGCTCTAGAATATACAATTCACTATCATAACCATGGTCGCAAATTCATCACATGTGTTGAAAAATAATCATCCATTAATTGAAGAGTCGACGCACTGTCGATTTTTAACGCCAGCTTCCTTAACAATAAAACAAAGTATATGACATTTCAAAAAAGGCTTGAAATCGACAGTGCTAGACTCTTTATTGTTCCAAACATAATATTCATGACCGTAACTTTGCATAGTCATTTTACTGTTGTAAGCAATTTTTTATTTTTATTATTAAGAAGTCATATAATTTGTATGATATCTACTCAATCTATCTTTATGTAGAGCAGATCTACCAAATCTGATTGTAACCGAACCTAAGATTAAGATTTACAATGAGTCTTTTTCTTCCAATAACCATAAGGTGTAAAATACAACACCTAATGTTTCCGTCTCACTCTCACAGCGACGGTATTGATGAATAACCAATTTAGATTTCCGAGCAGGAACATCAGGTAGCCACATTAGTTGTATTATACTGTGTAGTCATTTGTTTTCATCAGTAAAATTTCCATGCAAAGTGTGGTGTAAAAATGTATCATCCAACAATTTATAAATTACCACAAACAGTAAACAGTAGTACCACAAATAGATATATCAATGGTCACATACACTTTTAAGAAAAAGAGTTATTGAAATTCTATTGACACATTATTATTACATTAAAATTGGGAGAATGGAGGCCTAGATTTTATGAAATAGATAACATGAATTTTAACTGTATGTGCAGTGCAATGTTTTTTTTTTAAAACAGCATTCAGCTTTTATTCAGATTTCTATGCTGACAAATAATACAAGTGTAGTTTATTTCTTGTGGTACTATTGTCATAACTAAATTAATGAACAATACAATTTCTCTGTTTCTACATAATAGAGAGGAATTGTGTTGTATATATATGGTAATTTTGAAGAATCAAGTAACAAGGGATAGCAGTCATATTTTTAAATTGGCGGTAAGTATAAAATCATAATTATATTACGCTCAGCATGGGTATTAAAATGGACGCGAAAGAGAGGGACAGAATGAGGAAGTACCCATAGTACCCATTTATTTAATTATTTTCATAAACATCTTATTTCAAGAGCTCCAAAGCAGATTAAAACAATATCGAAAGGGCTGCTGCATTGGATGCTGCATAGGTGTTATTTATCTTTGGAAACTTCATTCTTGCCTGTGAATTGTATTGCAACACGTTTTAAAAATTAAAATTTCAGTGTTACTTATCAAGCTGAGTTCTTACAAAATTGAGAGTGAAATTGATTTACATTTTTGAAAATGAAATTTACAAAACACTTTATTATCAAATAAAATCATACATAAAGCAATAGCATAAAAGTTTGTCTTAAACCACCTAATACATACAATGGATTATAACTGCAATAATATTGAACTGAAGTTAAAAATGAATACAGATGATTTCTCGTTTGGCAGCAACATGATGTGCTGTAGGTTTGATACAAAACATATCTTTTAACATGTCTAATTATTTAAATATATTATCAAAATATATTTGGTTTATCAATTTATTAGTAATAAACAGTGATTGTATAGGTACAATTGAAGTCATGTTCTGAAACATTTACATTATTATTGGAATCAATTAATTATAATTTTTTGTAAGAAACCATAACAATAAAATGTTTGCTTCAAAAACATTCGAATTGCAAAATGGAATACAATAGCATTGGGTTTATTAGAAGGGTAAAGAAATTTCAATAGTTTTGATACCTTACTTTCATTTTGGAATTGAGTAATAATAAAATTGCTTCTAAAATGAACATATTCAGTTGAATCCAGAAACATTTTCTGGGAAGATGTCTTGTATTATCCATGTTATTCTTTCTATGAGCTAGCATTTAGCATACAACTACCAAAATTAATATTAAAACAATTAATAACTTGAATAGGGATGTTGACTACATTGATAAAAAATGTAAGGATTATGGTTGATGGTGTAGTGCTGGAGCAAGCAAATGTCTTTGTATATCTTAGATGTGCTTTTAGCAGGGATGGAAGGTACACCGCTGACGTAGAAAGAGGAGTGGGTGCTGGGAATAGTGTGAATGGGCGTTGGAAAAACTGACAGCAAAGCCTTAAGCCAGAAAGCACAATGCGGTGCTGATCCCCACGCTAATGTATGGTAGCGAGAGTTGAGTATGTCAGAAAGATCATGTAAGTAGAGAAACAGTAGCGAGATGCATTCGTTACGTATAATTTGCGAAGTAACGCTCGCAGATCTCGCATTCGTAATGAAGAGATAAGAAAGAGAGTTGACCTGAAAGATAGCGTCAGTGTAAAAATTAACAGAAACACACTTCGTTTCGGACGTATGGAAAGAATGCCGAATGAAATAATGATCAAACTGATATACAACGCGAAATGCAGAAGATGAGGAAACCTGTGCTGTTAGGCCAGAAGTCATAAAACCGGCGAAAAGAAAGAAAGAATCAAACAAGATGAATGGGATGTAATTTATTTCGTCTGTCGTTTTCTCTTGTAATTCTGACGTTTGGTAAAGGCAGGGCTGTCTGTAAAAAGTTCGCTTTCACGGACAGCCCTGCCTGTCTGTTCGTGCCTGTCCGTGAAAGTGAAGGGTGTAAGAGTCGTTAAAACTGATCTCAAAGATACATGATTGAGCAATACTTCTTTTCAATGAGTTCTTGTGGTTCATATTGAGGTTGGGAATATATACTGTAAAGACTCGCTGTAGTAAAGACTATCATAGTGATTTTAGAAAAGTTGGAAGTCAAAATAATCGAAATTACCACTATAATATATGAAAGTTTTATATCTCTCCAAATAGAAGAAGTTGTGAAAAATATTTATTTGCATTAATTTCAAGCTGATGAATTTACCAGGATCAATATTAATTATTTATTTATTTACTCTTTATTGCATTAAATAAAAAAAAATAATACAAATAGCGGACTTAATGTCAAGAGCATTCTCTACCACCCTACCTGAGCGAATGTTGGATTTGCATGTTAGGCGATAAAGAACGATATCGATCTATCCAGTAAAAATTACAAATAAAAAAAACTCATTAACTAAAAATCTCATAAAAAAAAATCATTAACTAAAAGCATTAATTGTTACAGAACCGCCTGGATCGACGAATGTCGGTACTATAGTAGTACCGACACCTCGAGGGGAGTCCCCGCCCGCGCAGCGGTCAGGGGGCGTATCCCCACGGCGCAAAGAACGACCCAAGGACAAGTCCTACTGCAAGCTGGTAGCGGAAAGGCGACCAGATCGACCGGACCGGCCCGACGATAAGTTCAGCAGCCGTTCACCCTCGCAAGCGCAGGGCGAAGACTCCGGCATCGAGTCGATGGATGCTCTATCGGAAAAATCACCGAACCAAGCTAGCCAATCGCCCCCGGATCAGAGGAAAGAGCGGCTAGACATGCCCAGGTCGACCAGTCCAACGTCCGTGCAGAGAATCATAGGCGTGATAGATGCGCCACCCGCTTCCGATGAGCTGCTGGAGCGGCTCCAGCTAGCGGGCACGCCGCGGTACGAGCCCGGCCCCCCCGACATCGACGACCTCGGGGACATCGAGGCCGAGCTCGCCAAGATGCACGCCGACCACGTCAACGGCGACGACGCGCCGCGACGACCAGACGACCACACCAAAGACGTCAAGCGAGAGCCCACGCCCATACTCAGGGACGACGACAAACCGCCCGAGCAAGCCGCCACCCCCGCCACCGCCACCAACGCCGACTCCACCGAACCGACGTCCCCGAACAAGGAGAAGGAGGTATTCGATCCGCTGCCCAGCAGGGTTTCCCCTCCCTTGTACACGTACTCGAATCAGGAGAAGGCGGCGCCGTCGGAGCCGGACACCGATGAGAGGAGGCCCGCGGAGAACGGCGACGTGAAACAGGAGCCCCCTCCGGATACGAAGCCCGAGAAGATGGAGAGGTTGCCGATGAAGGCGGATTTTCCCGATAAGAGTTTGCTCGAGCAGCTGCTCATCGAGATCCCGCCGGCGGAGTACGCGACGAAGAGACCGGAGTCCCCGTCGCCGTCCGCTTTGGAGAGAGTGGCCAGGAGTAGTGTTAGGACGCGGTCGAGTAGCAAGCTCAGCAGTCCGGCGGACGGACCGAGGACGCCGCGGTTGAGTCCCGGCCTGAGAGCGGATTCGCCGGCGCTCCACCGGAACTGTCTCCGCGCGGGTTCCGTCGATAAGCAGAGTCCGAAGCCGCTGCCGGCGAAACCCCTGCCGATTAAGAGGAAACGCCGCGAATCGGAGAGCTCGTGCGCGTCGACGGTCAGTTGCGAGGAGGGTATGTCGCCCGCGGGCAGACCGAAGAAGAAGCCGAGACGAGTGGAGGGACAAAAGCCGCCGGTGCCCGCGGGGGGGAAAGCGAAGAAGGACTCGGACAGCGATAGCGATGAGCCTCTCATATGTAAAGTTCGCGGAAAGACGGTGAAAGGGGCGAAGGTGGCGGCCGTGCCCGCCGTGGTCGGTGCGATGGCGGTTGGGGCGGGAGCGGGGGCGGGGCGGGGCAAAGGCGTGGGGGACGGGGTGGGCACGCGCAGGTCCGTCCGACACGGACCCCCCACGCAGGCGACCCCCGTGGCCCCCGCGCCGCCCAATACCACGCCGGTCAGACGGAAAACTAGAAGTGCTGGTGAGTTTAACCTTTCATAAGATGTCAATAGCATATCAGTTGCCCGCTGTCAATTAACACATATAAAAACGCGATTCTTAGATATAAACAAAAGTGGACAATTTAAAACAAATTTCTCCTTACTTTTTGTACAACAACACTTTTAAAATGACGAATATTAACATTGTAAATTAATTTTCACACATTTCTTAAATACACTAAAGTCGAAAAGGTTGCGTTGTGTCAATTCTAGTGTCGACTATATAAAATAAAAGTCATGATCAATTCTGAACTACTGAAAGTTTCTAGACCATATATTCAAATCGTTCCAAAATTCAGTTAACTGCATATGAGCTTTGGAATTAATTTTTAATTTGCTATTTACGTGTTTACACGTGCATTATCACTTATAATTAAGTTAGAAATCCACTGACTACTTTTCTACTCAATCACGTGTAGACCAGTCATAAGCGAGTTGTTTAACTGTATTGTATCGTACAGTGGGCGAGGGCACGCCGACGGCGGGTGCCGTCAGACGTCGTCGGGCTTCGCGCGACGGCAAGTGACGTCGGCGGGTGGCGGAGCCGGTCGCCCCGCCGCTGCTACTGTTGGACTGACATCACCACGCGGTACTATACACACTGTTATATGTTAAAAGCTCCCCTTGTTGGTTATTAGCGGTCGAGTGTTACCAGGTAGAAGCGATAAATTTGCAAATTTAAGAAATATATTTTTTTTGTTGTGGTCGAATTGGAACGCCTTGGAACCTTCTGACTTCTGACTGGTAGGTATTTTAATAAGATAATTTAATTATATGACAGTTTACGCAAAAGCTAGTCTTTTTATTCAGAGTTTACGATCATTTCAAGCCTGACGTCAGTGAAAAACTTCCCAGATAGACAAATACACGATTGTATATTTCAACTCTCCATAAATATATTTTCCTATTTAGAAATTTCTTATATTTTAGAATGAATATGATTACTTATGATTGAAAATGATGTCCTCTTTGAATTAAATTCAACATTCTTAGAGTAAATTGACAAGGAAAATAATTTTTAATAGAACATTATGGATGCAAAACTTATATAAAACTTGTATATTTTTTAAGTTTCATTCGCTTTCATACACCAATCATGTAATTCAATCTATTACTGTCTCCTTTGCACCAACTTAGGTTATTTGATATGACGTTCTGTGGAAATATAAATCTAGAATTCTTCAATTGAAAGTGATATTCTATGCAAATTATAAAATTTTACCTGGCAACATCGGCACGTAATGAATTATACAACTGGTAATAACATAGCCGCGGCAATTTAAGAATAACATTATTTTATAATTAATGATTTTCGGGAATGACTTGCATTGTTCCGAATGTACGCTGTGAGAAGCGATACTTAGTATAATTTGTATTAAAGAAAATTGATATCACAACTGACATGTATTCAGATTCCAGAGACCATTATTCATATTCTCTAATCGAGTTGACGGTTTATCGATAATCGATGAAATGTCGATATGATCGACGTCGATATCGATAAGCCGTCCTTGTTGATTGTATACGGCAAACTGATAGATATTTTTGGTACTATGCTCGAAACACTGAGAAATGACCTTATTTTTTTTTGTAATTATTTTTTTCTGATTTTTTTATTGTAGGTATGATAAATCTTAACTGATCATGACCACGGCATTATAAAAACTTATATCGATAAAATAATTAATTTGTAATTTTATTTTGATAATTTATTTCAGAAAATTATACAAAAATTGTGCAAAATATATATTTTTTTATTCGATCATGGATAGCTTTTCTTTTGATGCTTAAACTATGTGTGAATCTCAAAGTTTTGTTTAAATTGTGTGAAAAAGTGCAATAATAACGAATATGACCAGTGTTTTGTTGTCTCTTATTGGAAAATTTACCCCTTTTTTGACGAATTGTGTGAATAGAGTTTTGACTAAATTATTATGATATAGGATGTTTTGTCTACGCTGTGGTCACGTATTTTATTTACGTGTTCGAAATTCATTAGCACTTACATAGTAATTTTGTAGTGTTGTTCAGGAATTTCTATACTAATTAGTGCATTAGTGCCTTGATTGGAGGGATTTATTTGGATGGGCGCTTATCGAAGCATCATTGGTGTCTGACCTCTTTTTGCGTAATGGGTATGGAAAATTAATAGAGTGAACTTGACTATTTCTATAAATTCAGAGGCAATGAAACCATGGTGCCAGTTCTGTTGCACCAGCTGGAATATATAAGATTGCAGAAGTGAACTTATTATGTCTATGCTATATTTTTTTTTTATTTGATGACAAGTAACCACGGAAATCGAATTTAATATATTGGATTCCTGTTAAGTGTACTACAGAATTGGCAGCATTTACTACTATTTAAATCTAATAGTGTTGTACTAATGGATTTCGGAGATGTATAGTATCGCAAATAATCGCTGTGTTACGTTTTAAGAGTATGTATAAACATCAGAATGTATTAAACATCAGAATGCAACGGATCCAATGATGACGCATTATTTTTATACGATTTACTTAGTGAACAAATCATGTTACCATTCACTATTATTATCGCATCGATTTTTTTTTTCTCTATAAGCATAAGTTTCTCGATGTAATTTTAAGACATAAGACTTTTCCGTGTGACGACGCTACAGATAATGGGAGCTGTAGTTTATTAGTGAAATATATAATGTATCATTATTGTACAAACGAAGCACTCGTCTTAGGCACATCTTTATTATTATGAATAGTATAAAAACCCGAGAGATATAAATAAATGAAGCATAAAGTAAAAAAAAAAGATATTTTCATACCTTTTTGCACTTGGATCGTATGTCGGCGGAAGATCGACGCCGCGTTCGTAGTTTAAAAATATAGGTCTTGGCGATGAAACGTCATTTTGAAAATTAGGGATACTTTTTTAATAGTTATAGACTAAGCACCTGTACACGTCATTTCGAATTTTATACACCATACTCTTCAAGTTCCGTTTTTAAACGTGTGTGATCAATATTGCCAGTGATTTAAATTTCAAAATGGCGCCTTTATTGTCGAGACGCTGGCTGCTATTACGATTAAATTTAGCATAAGTATAATTCACGACCAATAATTGTAATTTAGTGACTCGATGGATAATTTTTTAGTGAAAAAGATAATAATTGTGACTGAATGTTTTCAACAGTTGTCTGTTTGGGCTTCCAGTAAACTAAAATGTGTTTATTTTGATGCCCTACTCCCACTCCCCCCAACCCTGCCTCGTTTCTGACTTGTTTCGCCCACAATTCGATCTCGGGCCTGATGCAAAATTTACTTTTTAATTAGTACCAAATTAGTGCTCGTCAACCAGTGAAGGTTTTAGATTATTATGATATTTTTTTTAAGTTAGAATTTTCCTTTTGCACTGTACATATAAATGAAAGTTTTCGATGGAATATTAATTTTTCCTAATTAGATTTTAGTATTTATTAATCATACACAGTTTTTTTTTCTTATTCAGTCACTTAGTGCGCCTAACTAATTATTCGGAATCGGTATTGGTATTGCACGCGTCGAGGAATCGTGTCCATTGAACTACGATTTGTTGGTTTTTAAAGACGAAATTTATTGCAATGAATTTTTTCAAAAGTTAACATATTTGTTTGGACACGACAAGGAGTTTTCTCATTTGCGATTCCTAAGCTTTTAAGGATGTGTAAGTCTCAGAGCAATAATACGTGGATGTGACGCTTAGTTTTACATACAGAAAGTTGGTTTTTTGATGACTTTTTCGAGCTTTCTATGTTTTTTAGATGTTTCTCTCCGTTGTTAGTGCAGTATTTTGTACCTTTATATAAATAAATTGAATAAAAAACTTACACTTGACATTGGCAGGAGTTCAATTTTAATATTAAAATAAATAAATATTTTTTTTAAATAAAGGTCGGACGGTGATAGTTCAACAATACAAATAAAAAAATCTGTTAGTATGTGCGTAGTGTGAATAGTGTTATATTAATTATATAGTAGGTGATACATTGCCTGATAAAATTGTGCCCTAAATGTGCAGTGGAAACGTGCTGTGCTTTAGTTTTAGTCGGGACGATCAGAACTTAAAAATAAAGAATGAAAACTAATTTTGTTTCTCTTCGTTTTTATATTATTAAATTATTAGTTTAATATTAAATTCAATTGTCGGTCCGGCCGATGATTTAATCTCTTGTAAATTTCTATGTATAGATGGGGAAATTTAATATAATATGTTAAGCGTTAAGTATTTGTTTTTTTTTTCGAAACTGGGAGTTAACCTTGTACATAAGATGGCGTCAGTTGATAGCGACCTCTAGGAATGCAAAAGCCTTATACTGTAATATATATAAGTATGACTTGCAAGCTTGTAAAATATAATATAGTGAATGAACTTTGGAAACTAGCTATGTATATTGGGTGTATAGTTATCATTTTAGTAATCTTGTTTTTTTTTTTGTTTTTATATTTCAAAGTAATGATAGTAATTTATGATGCCGATAAAAATATATGTAATACATTTATATATCTATGAATAAAGAGAAATACAAAATAGTTTTAAACACTATAAATATATAGGGTAATACAACACATGAGATAGCTTATAGTTTTGGTATATAAACATTATATAACTTGTAAATAGGTTGCAGAAAATAAAACAATTGATACAATAAAATTTAACTTTATGTTATTGTAATTATTTTCTTTGTCTAGTTGGTGTTGTTAGCGGGGTCGTTCATGGCTCCGTAATTTAAATAGGACAATCATATGATCAGCCTGTACATTGATTTTTGTTGCTGGCAATTTTATATGTTTCGTCTACCCCTACCCCCTTTTTTATTGTGCATTATTTTTTTTCTGTAAGTTGCTTTCACTGTCGTTCTAGATTTATTTTTAAAATCATATAATTATATTCATAAAGTACGATGAGTCATGGTGAATTATTATCATATTATTATGAATGAAAAGAAATAAGGAATATTATTGTTCTGCTATTATTAAATTTGTAAAGTTAGTTTATTAATAAATGAATAAAAAATATTTAGTTGTTTTACTTTTATTGTTATAAATTATTTAGGATATCCCTGTATTATGGTCACAATAATGTGATTCGTAGAAATGTATAAAACCGGTCAATCAGGCAGGCAACACCACCGTCTTGGATTTTGAAATGAATTCTTGACTCATTTCAGTCCTTTGTTTGAACAGCGTTACGAAATAGTGAAAAATAACTAAGGTAGTTTCATAGATAAACGAAATTCTGTGGTGCTGCTGAGACGACGTCAGTCCGCCAGCGCCAGGCTAGAACCTAGAACAAACCAAGAACTGTATTTATAATGAATTCAAAAATATTATACAGGTTATCCCCTATTTGTCAGCCTAAAATTTTTAATGTATCCATTTTATTTTAGCAGTTGCCTTCTTCACGAGTCGTAAAACGCAAACCGGAGAAAAATTAAATTAATTTCAATACAAAGAAGCGAGTTTACGTTTAGTAATGAGATTCAGCCATGTAGCAATGCGCTGCACGTAAGTCGAACCTAAATTCGCAGTACCTACAATAGAACAATTTCAGATTTCCAACGAAGTGCTGAGGTGAGATGAGGGCATAACCATAACAAGACTAAAACCTGACTGAAAATTCAGCATTTTGGTTCAATTTAAGTACTTCGCGCGCATTATTATAAAAAACGTTTTAGTGAAGAGACAGTTATATTACCAGAAATTAAGCCGTATGAACTGATCGTAAGATGTATTTCATTTAAAAGAATAAATAAAATAACTGTATGGGCACAGACTTAGTAGGTATCAGACGACCAACTTCCTAACAAAAAATTTCTTCGTAGAACGTGATTGGGAGCCAGTGATACATGACAGCTTCATTCGTTTTAAATATATAGATCTACTATCGGCAAAGGCATTTAGCTATACAGCCCTGTTTTGGGTAGGTACCTAGCCGTCTTCCTAGTTTCCACATTATTTTTACTTTAATTAAAATTCCTTTTTTGTTTTAATACAACAATAATAATAAAGCAGACTGATAAGTCTAGCTTAATATTATTGTTGTATTAAAACAAAAAAGGAAAAATGACCACGTAAATGAAACAAACATTTTTCCAATATTATTTATTGAACAATTTATTTTTTAACTTATTATATTTTTCACAGCTTCATTCTGCATTCTCAGCAATTCCTAGCTACGTTTTTTTAGTGGCACAATCTTATGAAACTTTTCAAGGTAATCACAATTTTTTTGAAAGAAGGCACTGATTCTTGCATACCTTTTTATACACATATTTAAGTTTTTCTAAAATTTCAATTGCCTTTGGCCAGAAAGAATGATGGTGTGTCTTATCTGTCACAGCTCTTTTCCTTTATGCTTTTTTTGTTTGTCGATGCTCCATTGACACTATCAAATAATTGGTCAAAGAATGAAACAACATCAGCTGCATTTCTTAATGTTGTGCACATCCTCATAAGTTGCTGCAAATTAAAATATTCATATAATAATTGTATGAAACTTGATTCAAAACAATTAACTGTTAGTAAATTTCATCTAATACTCACAGAAATTTGCAGTGTAAGACAAAGCTGCAGACATATTTTTACACAATTTTTTACCTGCAAAAAGAGATATCATATTTAAAATTATCTTCATTAGAGAATCATTATTGTAGTTTAAGTGTAAACTATATTAACTACTTGTTACATAATTAAAAATACAGGTCATTGAATCAACACTTGCTCCGATAGAGAATATAGAAGCTGAATACAAATTATTTATTTTATTTATACTAATTTAAGTTATACTAATATAATAACCAATGCATTACCTTCATCTTTTTAATTTTATCAGGTATAACTCATTGGTCATTTAATTTATAAAATAGCCCAGCTTCAGTGTGTTGACAGTCTGTCTCATAGATATCATGCCATTTTGCAAGTTTACCACCAAAATTATTCCTGATACATTTTATCAAGTGTGTAGAATCATAATGTTCAAATCCACCCCACATATTTTAAGAATGCCAACTGAAACAAAAATTTAAGAACTTCTTAAAACATAGATAACAATATAATAATAAGAACCTTCACTGCTTTCATTAAATCTATTAGTTTTCTTTCATATAAATATAATTCTCTGTACCAACCTGTGATTTCATTTTAAACTTTGATCACACTTAGTGTCTTCTTTTAGATTTTTGAGTGCTGATTGGAAAGCTGAGCCTTGGTCATATATTATTGCGATGGGATTAAGGTCCAATTCAATAACTTTTTCTACTACTGACTTTAAAATATTCTTGATGTTTACAGTAGATGTAGCTCCTTGACAGAAATAGAAACATAAAGGCTGTTGCCACTTGTAAACAGCACCAACATAGAAACAAGAGTATGATCTGCAAAATTCACTTTCTTTTCTTGGTGTTCTACAAATCCATTAATGTTATCTTTAATCCTTATTACTTTTATTATACGAGAGTGCTGTTTCTAATGACATCTCATCAAATATAATGGAGCATATTTTTTTGGAGTTTCATTTGTCCTACTGAAAAAGTAAATTGAAATAGTTAGGTAAATATTATTATTTAGTAGTAATACAAAAAGTCATAAAAGTAGTATGAAAAACCTTATATGGAATATATTTACCTCTTACATGAAGCCTGGTTCTATGATCAATTTTCCAATCATAGTATTCAGTGTGGTTTTGGATGATAAAATAAAAAATTTTGCTTAAAATTTTGGACTCTGCTTTGATATTGATAAAGCAATTATCTTTTCTTCGGTAGTGAATCACCTCTCATGTTTATTTTTAGAGCACATGCTCACTTGCATTTCAAAAATATTTTTTGCAACTGTGTTCATTTTTTGTGTGAACTTTTCAAATGATAACTTTTTACAAAACTTAAAGGTATTTAAGTATTCTTAACTTTTTTATGAAAGTTCAACTACGTCTTTGGCTTGTTATATTCTTCATAAATTCTCTGGTATAAAGGTGACAATTGGCTTTATTTGGTAATAAGCCTTTTCCTTTTTGTTTGGGTACATTGCACAGGGTCTATAACATCAAAAGTATTCAGTGAATTTCTCTATTAGAACTACTATTTGATTGAAATAAAGATACACTAAAGAAAGAGACAGGTCTTACCAGATAATTTAGTTTGTGTCATATTTTAATCTCCAGAACAAGCAACTAATTGAGTAAACTCAGTGGCTGCAGACACAGGAGTCTCAATTTGTTCTTTGAAAATTACACCACCTATGAAATCAATATTGATTATGTTTGTAAGATTAAAAAACAGGATATAATCTCAGATGATATTAGAAATATGTTATTTATATTATAAATTTTTTCTCTGATCAAAATCACTTCTAGCATGCCCGCTAGAGTTAAATCACTTGATGTAATTTTTCTTTATTTGTGTAAGAAAGACAGATCTACTAGACTTTTTTAAAGCAGAAATCTATGTTAAAATACACCAAAACTGCAGCATGAACTTTGTTATCTAAATAAAATAAATTAAAAACAAACCTCTGTTCAGTTCCACTTTCTAATATGTGTGGTCAACATGACTTTTTCTTGCATAGCTGTGTTCCGAAGTGAATATAATTTCTGTAATAACAAAAAAATCTAATGAAGAATAGCGGTATTCCAAAACACAACATAAAGTGAAGATACATATCATTTTAATTACATTATCTAAAGGTAATAGCAGATTAAACCAGCCTTACCAGTATTGCTTGAAGAGGGTAGGCTGATTGAGAGCCCATCATCATTAAACAATGATGGATGTGCGTCACCCAAGAGTCGTGATTTTGGAGTAATGAATCTTGGTACAACGTGTTTGCTACAAATGACACTTCTACCTGGATTCAAATTTTCAGTATCACACACAGCACTAAGACATTGTAACCACTTGGAGAATCTTTTCTCGTTCACTAGAATTTTACAAAGAATAGCATCCTGTTCGTACTTTAACAATGCGTGTAACACAACCATAACACAACACACCAATATCCTAGGCATCTTCTACAAAGAAAAATACTTCGAAAAAAGGAGAGTTTATATTACAAATAAAGCGAAGAGGGTAAGCACAAACGAAATTTTACTCAATCACTTGTAATTCCCTGATATGTAGGTACATACTTTAGTCTCCTTCTTCTTTTATTAATGGCATATCTGCGCATTCACACAATTTTGCCAATATGAAGTGAATAAATTAATTCCAACATGTAAAATAAAAATGAAATGAATTAAAGATTAATTAAAACATTAGTATCTTTACTCTTTGTTGTAATGACAGTTTCTGTCAGGTGTCATGTCTCCATCTACTGACAGGGGTGAGGGGCGTGTGGAAATGTCATACATCACTGGACCCCTACGCGATTGGTTTCTTGTATGGAGTTGACGGGCCGTGCTGTATGGGCTATGCTCAAATAGGAAATTAAAAAAAAACGACGAAGGTACAAAAAAAGTTGTAAAACAGTGCATTTAGAGTACACAAACGAAATCGATATCAATAATCGGCTATATTACATAAACAATTTAGGAATCAATGGTGTATCTTATAATCTGTTTTGCAAGATATTTTGTATGATAAGCAAATAGCAAATAATGCTAAATAAATTTTGCTGTTTTCATTACTTTAACTTTCCTTTTATATAGTAAGTTTTTGTTTGTAAAAATGGCGTCATGTCACAAGAAAAAGTGAACATAAAAGTGATAAACATATCGATTCAATGAAATATAGTGCGTCTGTCATAAACACGAAGTGTTCTGTGAATTTAGTTTGTTCCTGTGAAACGTTCACTGCGTTATTTTATTTCTCCTACGTCTTTCAATGGCTTCAAAAACTTCAAAAACACCGATGTAGTAGTGACAGATGATTAGTATTACGGAAATTACTACTATAAAATTTAAACGAATTTTTTGAAATTACTACTTACTTTATAATAATGATATAGGAGGTAATTACATTCTATTCTAAAATTGTTTCTGCCATTTAATGGTTTTCTGAAGAATTATACGTAGACAATACAAACATATACTAAAAAAACATATTATATATTTATATAAATGTATGTATGCAGGGTCATTTCAACTAGTCTCTTTCGCAGTATATGGTGGGCCCACGCTGAATATATTTTAGTTATAAAATGGGAATTAAGTTAGGTGGAATAAGGCATCAAATATTATCAATTTATCGCGTGATGAATATATCGTGTAATTACTCGATACTTATTCACTTATCAATATATCGGTATTTCAATAAAATCAACACATCCTTAATTTATATATTGACACCGACCGTCACCACAGAGTTTTGACGTTTATCACACTTTCTTTGCCTCATCGATTTCTATAAATTTTAATAAATAAAGTAAGTATTTTCATCTTATTTCTATATTTTTTATAAGAATATTGCTTAGGATATTTATTTAATTGCAAATCAAATAGTTAATATGGGATTATTTCTAAATTATATTGTTATGTAAGAAGGATATTAGTCAGTCAAATCTATGTAGATAAAGAAATGGAAATGAAATAATATAAAAAAAATATTCCAGTGTTAGAATAATAATTTAAATACACTACGTTAAGCTTATCTTCAGCTTGTAAGTGCACACTTTATGTTCGTCAAGAAAAGCGTATTAACCTACAAAAATTTGAAATTATAAGTTTTACTTATCTAAGTTTGGTTAGATTAAGAATATTGGTTTAAGTCCCGGAAATTGCTAATGCGCTGGAATTTTGTCTAAATAATGTGACGTCATTTGAAAATAGATAGTATGGATAGCACAAAATGCAAGGGTTAAATTAATTATTGAAATATTTATGAATACTCCCCAAAAAATATTGTAATAATTGAATAAATTTTAGTTTGTAAATTATATCACAAGAATATTCGAAAATGCCAATTTATATGTAAATATTGATGTATAAGAAAACAAAAAAATTACCAAAAAAACATATACTTTGTAATAACACTATAACAAAAGCTAAGGATGACTTTTTAAAACATCACCAAAAGTAATTATGAGATAAGATACCTTAGATATATTTATTTTTAATGAAATCGGGTTTGCTTATTGTGGAAATCATAATAGATGTTCCTTTTTTAGTCAACCATAACTAGTAACAACAATACCTAACAATAACAATCAAAAAGAACAAAAATTGTGTATAATCTCAACACAACCCAACTCAATAAGTGTTTATGCCGACCAGTGTTTATTTGTTAACGGTACTGATTTTTTAACACAATTATGTCATCAAAATGGTCGCCAAGCGCATTAGCAGTTGTCGGGTATTATATGCATTCAAGTTTTAGTTCATACAGAAACCCATAAACAGATAAACTTTAAAAAGAAGACAGAATTAAGAACAAACATTATTAAAACACTAATTTATAGTTTTTTTTTCTACCATATAATAAATTTATCCATTAGTGAAGGTGTCCAGATGCGCTAATATTGTCTATAGTAAGGCCACTCTATAAAAAAGGAGACAAAGATATTTGAAAAGGCTATGTTAACAAGACTGCAGTTTTATGGAGAAATTTAATATCCTTAGACCAGAATAGAATAGGTTTAGAAAAAATCATAATAAAACTAGCAAACTTTACATTAGTTAAAGCGGTAATGGAGTGTCTTAATGATAAAATACCTGTAGCTGCTCTATATTTTGGTAATGAGCCAGGCATTCGATTTAGTAGATAAACTTATTACAAAGTTACAAAAATATGGTATCAGAGGAACAGTAAAAAACTGGTTCTTGAGTAATCTTAAAAATCGAAGACAGTGTGTGGAAATCGGCAGAATGGAAATAAAAAATAAGCTTTATAGGAGAGCTTTGTACAGATCAAAGTACAGGGTGAACCAATATGGTGTTCCACAAGGAAGTATTTTGGGACCAATTTTGTTTACACTCTACATCAATGACTTGCCCAGTGTAACTAACCACACGTTTTTGCTTTTTGCTGATGATTCTTGATTATAAAGGCTAAAAAAGAAGAACATCTAGAACATGAAATAAATATAGTTGTAAAACAGATAACTCAATGGTTAAAGGATAATAATTTAAAAGTTAATGTCAAGAAATCAAAAATAATGCTTTTTCGTACGTACCAGTCTCCAAAACTTAATTTTAAAATATACTATCAAAGACAAATTATTAAAAAAGTTGAAGAAACTAATTTTTTAGGTATATCAATTGACGAAAACTGTAATTGGAAATCTCATGTAGGTCGAGTGTGTGACAGTGTGTTAGGGCAATTAGCGTTGCCGATTATACCGAATCCTGTAGACCATTATTTAAAAAATTCAAACTACTTACGCTAACTGGCCTCTATATCAAGCAAATTTGTATATTTGTTAAAAACATCCTCACTTTTCCCTGCTAAACTCTGCTAAATCGGTCTCAGGTAAATCACAACGAAAACGACGTACAAATTTACTAGAAATTCCTAAATGTAGATAGTTTTTGGTTGGGAAAAATGCTGCTGTAAAGACAGTAAAAATATTTAATTCACTACCTGATGAGATACGATCACTGACTGGATCTATTTTTAAAATAAAACTACATGCATGGCTAATTGACAGTACATTTTATACAATTAATGATTTTTTTACCCGCAAATGACATATTTATTATTTCAATTGTGACCTATACCTATTCAGAAATAACTTTTACGAGTAGATTACAATAAATATATAATTGATTTTATTTTCAAAATGTGACATGTAGCATGTGATAGATTCTTTATTATTATTATATAATTTAAATTGACATTCTCAATGTGATATAGGTATTGACATTGTAACTTCACATAATGTAAATATTTGCATGCTAAATTACAATGAGCAAATTCTGGAGAACAATATTTTAGATATGTAAGACCTCATGTAATACCCAGTATTATGCAAATAAATTGTTTGAATTTGAATTCTTATAAAGAAAAAAAAATTGCTTTGAAATAAGAACTTACAAAATAGTTGCCATCTCTACAAATAAAGTTAGCTGATGGGCCACTTATAAACATGATGCTTTAGAAAATTTTGTCTGAAAAGAATAATGAAAATTTAGAGCTTTATATTGACGGGTCAACCAAAGTTTTTGTTATGCAGTAGAGCTGATGTTATTGGTTCAGATATGTTTCGGCTGTCATTTTTTTATGTTCCGTGAATTCTCAGAATTTCCATTATGTTCTCCATTGATTTAGATTCAAGTGAAAGGAGACAATTTGAATTAAGGAAAGAGGTATTTTATAACTACATACAATTATAAACAGGAAAGGTATTTCGGACAGTGAACAATTAACAAATCTTCATCAGAGACTATAACTTGTTTTAGTTAATAAGAGAGAAGTAGAAGTGTATTTTATTATGGAAAATAAATATAAAATAATATATGAAAGAGTTTGATTTAGGATAAAAAAATTGTATTCAGATGGCAGGAGAGAAGGCTGTGTCAACTGTTGCGAAGCCCCAGATGCGAGGTCTCCTCAATTCTGTCATCAAGAGGAATTTGATTGTTGCCATCACCCTCGCAGGGATATCTGGTTTCGCTTTCAAAATTTTGGTTGGCGATGCGCGTAAGAGGCGTTATGCTGAATTCTACAGGTAAGAAAATTAAGCCGGTGTGACCATTTATTAGTTATGTAATAAAAAATTTGCAATTTTTCATCCTTCTTTGTAATAAAAAGTAAAGCTGAGTACATTACGAAATAAGTGTCAAGAAAAACAATCGTCGCGAAAATAATTTCAGCACATGTGAATTTAGATTCATAATGGCGTGCAATCAGCAGTACCTCTGAGATACTAGTCTCGCCTTGTAAGATGTGATGCGTGCGTTGCGTGACTTTAGTTTGATCAAGAATATGCTCATGACACAAAACTACAACAATTCACACTTGGCAAGCGAGCTATTTAACATTCTTTAATTCTTGCTAAAAACGGATACCTTCACCAGTTTCTGGCAACACACAACTGGTTAATGTTTGTATTTGTTGTTTGTGTTCATTATTTCCCATTATTTTATGCCTAGCTCGTGGAGCTGCTATAAAATATAAAGATATAATTACAAAAACCTTGTAAAATTTTCCTAATAATTTGCTGGTTTTTGTAATTTAAAGAACTATAAAAATTTTACTACTTACTTGTAAGAAAATATAAGACAAGATTTCCCAAAACCATCTTTTATTCTAAAATATTGTTAAAATAATAAAAAGAAAGTTGATTTAGTGTATAGAAAATAGACGAACCGTCGTTTTTGGAATAAAAAAGGGTTGTTCCACTTAGATTTTACGATGTGACAGGATGTGTTGCAAATATATTATTATTAGGAAATACTGCTTTTTACAACAAAGTCATAAAAACATATTAAAAACACATTGGACTACCGCAAAGCCTTCTCAAGTCGTTTATGACGCAAGTTTTCAAACATTTATATTATACAATGTTTTGTTCTCAGGACATATGATGCTGAGAAGGACTTTGAAGAAATGAGGAAGAAAGGTCTCTTCCAGTCTTGCTGAACATTGTCAATCATAGTGTAGTATTAATATGTTGCCGTGCATATTATGTTAATATATATTTAATAACATTACAATTACTTTTATTATGTGTACCTTAGTCAAGGTGTGAGATATAGCCAAAAAAAAATAAAAAGGTTGCTCCATGTTTAGATTAAAGAAATTGCAATTATTTGTGTTTTTCGTTTCATCAGTAAACCAGTCATATTTTTCTTTTAACAATTATGAGAACACTTAATATCACTTTGTATTTTGTTGTAGCAAGAAAAAAGTTTAAGAATCATTGGTTCTTGCTCGAACCATTGCTAATTACTGGGTGAATAATTACTCGTGAAATAAGCAAATTGCTATAAAAGTACCACAGGGGTGTAAACTTTGCCCACATTCTTTTAACCCGACTTTTAAGTTTTTAAGTAATACAGAACAGAACGATTCACAGTCGGGGCCCCTTGGGAAGATTTGATTGGTAAAATTTGAATGGGCCCCGACTGTGAATCGTTCTGTTCTGTATTACTTAACAGAATACTAAACTACTGGGTTTGTTTCTTCCTTTTTAGTTTTTATTTAAGTTAATTTTTTCATGTATTTTTTAAAATTCGTTTTTACGCAGTCGGGCTTTTTGTTTTTCTTTGTAAGTATATAAAGGTATATTATCTGATGTATAATAAAAGAACTGTATATTTTCCAATAATTTTATCAGGACATCAAGTAATTACGTAACTTTCCAGAATACATAAATAATTTTAACAATTCAATTGATTACACCGTCTTCTTATTATTTTATTTTACATTATGTACTTAATCGTTAAAATATCCAAATTGATCTCTATGATTGTTACATTATTTATGCTTAACGTACAGAATATCAAGAAAGTCAGGGACCAGCCTGTTTAATTCCATCAAAACATTATATATCCAAAATTAAAATATAACCTAAAGAAATTACTACTTTATACAATGTCTTAAGTATCGATTTCCTTTTATTAGTTACAAATGATTTAACAAAACTCTTGTAACAAAATCAATTTAAAGTAAACACCATTCGAGAACATAGATTGTAAGACACATATTTGAAACATGAGCGTAAGTATAGAAATTAATAGTTATATGAAGAGTAAAAGCGAGCTTTTAGCTTCCAATGGGTTGGTTAACAAAATAAGGTTGTCTTATTTATCAAAAGTCAATTTTAGTAAGTTCTTGTTCGTTAACGCTGTAGGATCCCAGCTTGATATTAAAAATGCTTTGAATCATATTGTACTTAACACAATATAATAAAAACATAGGTCAAAACTAAAATAAATATGAAAACAAAATTAAAATCCGCTAATAAATGACCAAGCTATAGATTATTTAAAACTACGTCTTTTCGCACGGAACGTCTGGCGTGCGAGTTTGGCCTCTAACTCGCCTGTGACGTCATAGTACCGAACTCGAGACGTCGTACTAATACCTAAATAGAAGTCTTTGCAGGACACTTTCTACGTATTGGGTACACTGGCATTGTTTTTGTAGTTGTTAATGGTCATTTTTTTTATTTGTGTATAATTTTTGTTATTATATTTCTATAATAAATATATTTCTATAAAACCGTATATATTTTTCTAACCTAGGAAAGGTAAAGATATTATTTTCAATGTGTATTAAACTTATTAAGATATCAATCACTTTAAAAAACAAGTGCGAGTCGGACTGGCGCGACGAGGATTCCGTAGAAATTTTACATTTTAATACCTATCCAATACTTACTTATTTATAATATGTACTTTGTTTTTGTTGTGTTTTTCTTAGTGACTCTATGATATGAATGACTAAGTAATATTTGCGGTTTTCTGTAAATGTGCTTCCTCTCAGAATGTGGCTATACCCATTCAAATGAGTTTTCGTTCAAAATTTTCATTGGGGTCTACAGCTACTAGTGGGTAAGCACAGAAATCTCCGCATTCGTGACCTATCGCCCTATGTACATAAGTTTGCCATAGTCGAAAAACTAATGGCAGGCAATTATCGCCTACTGAAAATAAGCACAAAAATCGTCTGCGCATGCGGGCACTATCAATGTAAATGAGCTTGTACCAGTACCTCCTATGGTCTGTTTTGTGGTTAGGCTTAGGACCTACTTAATGAAACTATAAGTAGATGCATTTTATTAAACCTTTAAGATTTTTTTGTTTCTTTAATACTTTAATATGGTTCTTTAATAAAGAAAACGCGACTGTAAGATGCAGGCGATGCTCAAAAACGAACTTATAACATTAATGAGTCCCTTTTTCGCGGTCATGTCCGGTAGCGTGACGTCACACGCTGAGGTACCGCGTGAAGTGAAGTTGTTCTTGTGAGCGCAACTTCAAAGTTCCATATTTTTTTATTTACAGTATTTTATTTTCAAGCTTATTCTTTAGTTTTAAATTAAAAAAATAATAATAAATAGTAAACTTCTTCATCATTGCTATTTGATACCACTCACAAGGGAACACTGGTAAGATAACAAAAACGAAGATTAACTTAGCTGGGTATCCTACCAAAACATTATTGAACTACAGCTTTGTATGTGCTATTAACTGTGGGTACTTATGGATCGATACAAATCTGATGGAGGATCCGTTAAGCAGCTCACGGAATTATGCGTTATTACACGACGGATCATCCGTTGAGTGTGCAAGGTTATCATATATATTTTAGTTCTGACGTTCTGAGATCGACAATAAACGACGTAGTTCCGTCTAATGTGCGCCAATCTTACGATCTTGTTTTGCAAACAAAACAAGATTGGCGCACATCAGACGGAAACTAATTTTCAGTATTTACAGTGAAGTAGGTTTTACAGGTATTTTATTTACATATTACATCTATAGCAACACTGGATATATATACTTATGTATATGGTAACGTGATAAATTATACCATTTACTGGATGAACTTGTATATTTCTAGAAAACAAAAAACTCGAATCTTGTATCAAGTATAATTAATAATTACTTCAAGAATCTCATTAAAATCACATGAAAAATATTACAACGAGGTTACAAAAAAACCATAGTAAACATCGATTATTCAGTTCATTTTCTTATTAGAAAAGGCTTGAAAGTTTAGCCTAAATATATTATAAGATTGCTTTGGTCGATTCAAAATTTTTAGCCTTTTATGAACTTTTAAAAACTTAATAGCTATTTAATAATGTAATGTAATGTAAATATGAAACCATTTATAAATTACAACCTAAAACATCGACTTTGCATACAACTGATTTTGGCTCATCGATGTAGGTATCTGTGCAGAAGGCGAAATATCGAAACGCGGCAAATGTCGACCATTTATAATATAATGACAAACAAGTTAACGTCGCGCTTACTAAAATTTTTGAATGCAAGAGTCACCCATTTCCCTCTAGGTGTGTAATTTTTTTCTCAAATATTGCCTAAAATGGCCAAATGTTACATGTCAGTTGAAATTCTTTTTCTATTATTAAGTTGAGCTTTATACATTGACAATAAAATACAACAAGTCTATGGCACAGAATTCTAAATTTTGAAACGCGGTAAATCTCGACCAATCAGAATGATTCAAACATCACATCAACGAGCGATCCAATTTACCCATGCTCATACCAGCCGAATGCGTTTTTAACACCTTATAGTTCTTGAAACAAAACTCATTATAAATATTAACTCTACGTTCGGTCATTAAAGATACACAATGCGCCATATTAATTAGAACTTACTGTATTACAAGTTTTCCTGATGTAGAAATTACATAGATAACTAATGGATTTTATTAGCAAAATTATATTTATATATCTTATTTAAGTACTTTTTTTAGTATAAAATCGGATAGAAAACTTATGTTTACAAAAAAAAAAAAAACAACTAGAATATCAGCTCAAGTTAAGCTTAAAATATAAAAAGCGTAATAGTCGTATGAGTTACTTTGTGCAGATTTTTTATAAATAGCTCTATTACATGAACATTGGCGCTAAAATTGAATGTCCTAGTTTTCTGTATTGATTTAAAATATACAAGGACAATTAATAATTAGTGCACAACTTTTTTTCTACGATTTGGTATCGCCAAAAGAACATATTTTAAAGTTTTTGCATTCACAATGCTTTATTTGGAAATATTCTTAGTGAAAAATGTTTTACAAATCCACTTATTTTTCTGAGATCTCAGATTACCAGGGAGTAAGTGGATTTTTAAAGCATTTTTCATTAAGAATATTTCACATGAGCGATGGGCGATTATTACGTAAACAAATCGATTGTTCAGCTTAGTCGATAAAAGTCGATTACAACTGATGTTATTCGATTTTGTTCCCAACTAAACCTTGCAATCAACGCAACACCGCATGCGCATAGCACAGAATGATCACATAGTGTGCGTACAGTTAGTAGTTAAGACGATTGTTATTCGAATAATCATGGCGGGGAACTACTAACCCGACAATCGAATGCGCAGTAGCACAATTTTCGATTCAATCGATCATTTTATTTTGCAACAATCGTCCATCACTATTTCACATCATCAGCTTTCCATCCATAGTGGATTAAACGATTTTAAAACCCATATTCAACATCCTTAGGGGTTGGATTGTTCAAAATACTTCCTTTAAAAACCTCTACATCATATTAACTATTTGTGTGCCTTAGCAATTTGAGCTTTGTTTATGTCGACGCAGGTTGCCGACCTCTATGTTACAATCCTACCTTATAAAAAGAGAAAAAAAGGGAATAAACTTCAGCCCAACGACACAATACCAAAATTTATGCTCTGATTATTCCTGTATAATTCCTAAATTTGACCTCGAATCAAAGTGTGGATTGAGGCGCCAAAGATTTAAATGTTCTTGTGTTAGTTCATGTAATATATTTCTTAATAATAAATAATATATTGTTAAAATTATTCGCACTTTCATTTACGAAAACTTGAAACCTAAAATTAGAAATGAAATCACTTAATTTAAATTAAAACTTCTTATAAGTATTAGGATAAATTAATAAATTATATTCTTAGATAGTATATACATATTAGTATTGCAATAAAGTAGTAAATGTATCAAAATGACAATACTATTAATCTAAATAAGTCACCGATTCATCAGAATGAAAGCCAGCTTTGAAACAAAGATACTGCAGCTTGAACGCGATGCAACTTCCTTAATAGTCGATTGAGTAGAGTTGATTTTGATGTTTAAAGGTCTTTTTTCTTTATTATTTCGAATAACCCGCACCCCATGCACTAAGTCAGCTAAACTATTCTGCTAAGAACAACCATATCTCTGCGTCTAGAACAGGGCTGTGACAGTCATTTTGGTAACTTTTTATCGTTTGGTGCACTCTTGTCGAATAATCCCCGTAAATTGCTAATGCGCCTGGCCGCCATTTTGATGACGTAATTGCGTTATCTAATAAACACTGATTGACGAGTACACATATTGAGTTGGGTTGTGTCGAGATCACACATTGTTTTTAGTTTGGTTATGTTGATTAGCTCGATGGCGTAGAGGATAAGCGCCGCGGCCCACGATCGTAGTCGTTAAGCAACTTTCGCAAGGGTCGGTCACGGGATGGGTGACCAAAATATTATTATCGAGATAATAATATTTTGTTCACCCATCCCGTGCTTCGGAAGGCACGTTAAGCCGTTGGTCCCGGCTGCATTTGCAGTCGTTAATACCCTCCAATCCGCATTGGGCCAGCGTGGAGGGTCATGGCCTATCCTCCTTAACCATCCATAAGGAAGGCCTGAGCCCCTGCAGTGGGGACGTAAAAGGGCTGGTGGTGGTGGTGGTAATATGTTGATTGCGATTGTTATTGTAACCAGCTATGGTTGACTAAAATAATAGCAGTTATTATGATTTTTATAATAAGTAAAGATAATTTCACTTGTTTTCCCAAAATTCATGCAAACAAGCTAAAAGTTATTAAATTATTATGTATAACATTATTTTCGGGATCATTCATAGATATTTCAATAATTAATAAATATATCTCTTACCTTGTGCTATCTATATTTTCTATCTTCATATGACGTCATGCGTGTATTATTTAGACAAGGTTCTAGCGCATTAGCAATTAACGAAACTTATACCATCATTCAAAAAGGTCCTAATTGCGTTTTAGCATTCCATAGAATCAGTCTCAGAACAACGTATAAGTACGTTCGTCCATATATGCATTTGCATTGTTTAGAAAAAAAATTACGTTCGAGAAACCAGTTCGAATGAGTGCTTACAATAAAAATATAAATAAATTGACAACGAAAGCATGCTTATTCTGCCAACATTATTTCATGGCGAAACGCAAGAAAATACAAAAACGCAAAATCTTAAATAAAAATTGACATATATTTTTTTTTACATATTTTCATTCATTAAAAACTACTCCTTCCACAAAATTACGTCTAAACATCAATGTTATAGATAGGTAGGGAAATTCACTAAATATAATTCATTAATTTTTAATGTAATTAATAAGCGTAATAGATCAAAAACATTAATGTTTTTCTTATTTTAAAAATTTTCATGTACATACAGCAGCACGTCATGGTATTACAAAACGGCCTTTCTTCAATCAATTTTGAACTTAACATCAACACGTTTACGTTAAAAATTGATCGGAGTTTGTCCTGTATAATAGTAATCTGTCGGGCTGTTGACAGGCCTGTCACAAATAAGTTACCGTTAATCGACTCTGCTGACTAACCACAATTTTATCGACAAACACGGCATCTTTTTTTATTGTACATTTAAAATACTTTTGTTTGTAATTACCATTAAACATTATTTCAAAATTGTACGAAAATTAGAAAAAATCCAGTCCGAGATAGTCTTTCACACTCTATACAATTTAATTTTAAGATCAATCAAATACATCAAAAAGAATAAATATTGCTTTGTGTAGGACAAATTAATGATACATGGCTCCAACTAGCATTTCGAGTTTTTGAAGTCGAGTGGAACCTAAACGTATAAAAAGATCATATTTGTAAGGTGTCGGTACGCATTTTACATTAGTTTTAGCTTGTCTTCTGCGCTAAAGAATTTTACTAGAGCTCTACTGCGTGGCTAAAGATCTGGTATGTTTTTATTGAATCCTATACCAATCCTAATTTATTGGCCATTGATATGCTAACCTGACAGATAAATCAAGGCTTTCGTTACCAGCATAGCCACCGATGGATAAAACTATAAAACGCACTCTATAAATAACAGTATCAGACTTACTGGGATTTCTTGTAGAATTCTACATAATATTTAACAATTCTGAAAATGTTTAATGTTAATTAATTTACATATCATTTGGCCTTATAGTTTATGTCATTATTCATTAGCTTTAATAATAAAAGTAAGTATTTTTTACCTCAAATGGAAATGGGAAATAGAAATGCACGGGCAAAAAGTATTTTAGATATTTAAAGTTATTATCTTTTATATCAGTGTATTATATTTTATGTAAATTAAAAATTAAAATAATTAAGATTTAGAGTTCAGTGTAAAAAATTTCGAGTTCAGCTAAGAATTGGCACGTAAAACTTTTATAAATAAATAACGTTACTTATCATATTAAGCAACGTAATTTAATTTAGCAACGTTTTTGGTAGTAATTTATTGATATTATTTAAATCGGCCCTCAACGGCAGAATACATTTTCCATATATTATAATATACAACGAACACCAACGTCTGCTCCGACCAAGCTTTCAATCCACCAAAAACACTTTCTATCCGTCAACAACACTTTCGATCCGTGCCAAAACGAACAAATGTAAATCCCGAATTCCCATTTCCATCACATCAGACGGTCAACACGTCACTGCTATCAGCACGCTTCGTTTTTCACAACAAATGTTTTGCCTTCGCTCGCTTCGTCGCCGTAGCCTTCGTCGTCGTTTTCACAATCACGACCGGCACGTACGGAGTCCACTAGTGGACCTTCTAATTTAACACACAATATCTCCTTGTAGTTTTCGAGGGCCATCGCGAGAACGGATCCACCTAGCAACACTTCGCATGACGTTATTCTTTCCGGTGGTGTATATACTGCTATCAATTTGCCTGGAAAGATAAACTTTATTTAATAATATTAAAATGAATATCAAATGACTGACTTTTGTGCATTCTTCACAAAAGCCGAGCAGAGCCTGCGAAAGTACCGTAAAAGGAATGTTAAAAAGGGCGCAGCTAATAGTGTAAATGGGAGCCTTTGGGAAACTTCTCGACATTAAATTGCTTTATACAATGCGATGTCAATTCTGACAGTAATATGATTCACCGAATGTTTTGGGTATTTATTTATTGGTATATAAGATGATATTTAATTTATTGGTAAGTTAACTATATGACTCTATATAAATAGAGTATTATATATCGTATAAACGAAAGGTCGGTAAAATAACGGTATGAGTTTACTGTCAGACTGTTTCATGTTGAAGACTTGAAGTGCCACTTACACTTACAAATGTCACAGATTACGTTGCCACAGAGTGGCCGACAAAGATTATTAAACGGATGTGCCACAATGCGAAGAGACAGTTGGGTATATTTTCGTAGAATTTAAGTAGTAACGCTGCATATACTGCATTTGTAACGAAGTGGTAAGAAAGACAGATAATGACAAAAATGATATATAATACTAAATTGGAGGAATGCAGAAGCCGTAGAAGGCTAGGTCACATCTTACACATTCAAATCGAATACGTTCTGTTGGAAGGCGATGTCAGAAGCTATAAAACTAGTGAACATGAAGGATAGATGGCCCGAATTGGCCATATTGCGATTATGACATGATTTTGGCTGATATATTATAAGATAAAAGGGAATTAACTTGGTTAAATCAAATTTTATTAACTCGTTACTTTTGCCATAATTCAACATTGTGAAGATCGTACACGGTACAGTAACATATTTGTTTAAGTGTTAATTAGAATAATCCTTGGTTTCAAATTCTCAAAAAGGGGCCATTGGCCAAGACCGGGTCTTGAAACATATAATAAGTAGATTAAGTAGCTTGGTGGCGTAGTGGATAAGCGCCGCGGCCCGCGATCGATATCGTTAAGCAACTTTCGCAAGGGTCGGTTACGGGACGGGTGACCAAAAAATTATTATGTCGAGCTACTCCGTGCTTCGGAAGGCACGTTAAGCCGTTGGTCCCGGCTGCATTTGCAGTCATTAATACCCTCCAATCCGCATTGCGCCAGCGTGGAGGGTCATGGCCCATCCTCCTTAACCTGGCCTGAGCCCCTGCAGTAAAAGGGCTGATGATGATGATGATGATGAATAAGTAGATTGATTTATTTATGTGTAGGACGTGTAAGGAAGATAGATAGTTTAGCTAGCGGGACTGGGAGGGCTAGGAATGTGTGCGGGACACGCGTACCTGTGAGCAGGTCCCACAGGCGCACGGACAGGTCCCGGCAGGAGTGGTCGGCGGAGAGTAGCACTCCGCCCGCCTTCGCCAGCCGCAGAAGTCCCGGCGCCGCCACGTGTCCCCGCAACGTCAGACGACAGTTACCTGGTGTAAATATATGCCATTGTATACAAAAATTCGAAGTAACCTTGCTTCGTAGTAAATCGTGTTTTTTTATTATGTGTTGTAGAGTAATAAAAATCAACAAATACTGTGTTTTTCATATCAAATACGATTAACACCATGAAATAAAAATATACACTGTCATAAAAAATAACACCAGACTTAGTAGTTGTGTCTCAATACTCATTAAGTTCATAAATCTTATATAAACTTTTAACAGCACTCATGGATAAATGGGGATGTAGAACCAAAAGGGTTGTGTCCTACAAAAGAAAATAGAGGTTTCTGTTATATGTTCGGAAAATATGTACCATTTTAACTTATAAATAAAAAAATAATTTTCATAACCTAATTTGGAAAATATTAATTACACTTTAAAAAACTTGAAAAAAGTAGATATAATATACTACCAAAATTTGCTAAAATACATCCATATGTATTAAATTAGTTACATAAAAGGTTACAACTTTCATTATAACAGCTATAAACATGAACGCACAAATGACAAAGATATTACAAAGATTGCCCAGTCGCCTATCCGTTTTTCCCTACCGTAGCACTATGTGACGTCATTTAGTGGGTTGAATTTTTAGGGAGCGTTTCCGGTCGACTAATAGCAGTTCCACAAACATCACCGACACTATTAATTGCAGACATATTGATATTTCTAATTATTTCTCAGATCTTAATGGACTACTTATAAAATAAAAAGTTTTCAACTAGTCTTTTGTACTTAGTTTGGGCTTGCGCACTTATATACTTTTGGAGAAATAGTACATAAAAATACTATATGTATTTTTATCATCGAAATCTATCAAATAATAATATAATTTCCAATAAGTTTACAATATTCATTGTGCCCTGTCTCCTATGGTAGTTTAAACTAAGTTTAAGGGAGTGCCTTCCTAATTGTTGGTACAATTTTATATTGAAAATAAAAAGGTGCCTAATACGTTAACTTTTCGTTTCCTGTGGAATTTGATAGGAACCTAGTATTTTTAATGACTTAATTTTAAACATAGTATTTTAATTGAAGAAATATTGGCAACCCTAGATGGGAAGTAGCTCGGTGGCGTAGTGTATACGCGCCGCGGCTCGCGATCGTTGTTGCTAAGCAACTTTCGCAAGGGTCGGTCACGGGATGGGAGATTTTCTTTTATCTCGGGCTACTGTGCAACGGAAGGCACGTTAACTCGTTGGTCTTGGCTGTATTTGCAGTAATTAATACCCTCCAATTCGCATTAGCATGAAAGGTTATGGACCATCCTCCGTAACTATCCACAAGAAAGGTCTGTGTCCCTGCAGTAGGGCTGATGAGGATAGACTGGACACGGGACAGTTAACCCACCAGTGACCAAGTCCCACACCAATATCCTGGTGTCCGCGAGCCCTGACACCACGCAGCCGTCCGCGGAACTGATCGCCAGCGCGACGGTATCGCATCCCGGCTTCCACTTCTTGAACAAAGTGCCAGATTGGAGATCATACACTACGATGAAGTTGGGACTCGGCTCGTCCAATTCGCGGGACACCACACACACGTATGATCCTGAAAGAAAAAGTTGTTTTCGATAAAACTTAAATTATAGCTTCTAGCACAAAGACAGTAGTAGTTCGGTGATTGCCTAGCAATTTTCGCAAGGGTCAGTCACTGGTTGGGCGACCAAAAAATTATTATCTCGAGCTACTCTGTGCTTCAGAAGGCATGTTAAGCCATTGGCTGCATTTGTAGTAGTTAATAACCTCTAATTCCCATTAGGCTAGCGTGAATGGCCCATCCAGTGGCGTAACTGTACCGTTTGAGCACCGTGGCAAATTTGTTGGATATTCTATTTTTTTTTACTAATTGTGTAATAATAAATATCAGAAGTAAGTCGGATAGACAAACAAAAAATAGTTATCATCTCTATTATAGGATTAACTGCTGCATGAATACTTAAGTCGAGACGTGAAATAGACTACCGTTAGAGAGAGAAAATGATTTCGATCCGTTTGGGAGTAAAACTATTGAGTGAATAACATCTGTTACAATCTTATATTAGCAGGAATACATACCTTCATATGTGATAGCGGCTTTAGATGTAATGAAATCATGATGTGGTATACGCAGATCGTAGAGCAGCTTACGTGATGTTAGAGACCACACTAGTAAAGGGAATGGTTTCTGTGTTTCATCACCGCACACCAGCACCCTGGAGAGAGGATACTACTTTAGAATTTCTGGAAAATAGTGCATTTGAGACAAAAACAAACTATACTATACGAAATAGAATATCTTAGACTGATTATATCTAGATTCTCAATTACATATTTTAAAGTTAAGAACGTCTCAAACTGTACTTAAACAGGTTATCTTTCTGTTTTTTTTTAATAATCAGTTGACAGCAGATAAAATTAGAGCTTTTTGACTTGCGAAACGGAAGAAACTTCAGTTATAGAGATTAATCTGTTGAGATTTTGTACTTTTCTCAATTCAGAAACCGGCTGATGGGTAGAGAAATTCTGTTAATGTTAGCGTTATAATGGAAAGTCAATTCACCTTCAACCCTATATAACAGTCTTTTTTTAATGCTAGATAGGCAAGAACTTGACCATAGATGGTAAGCAATGCAGTGGTCTAAGATGGAGCGTGCTTGCCTAGAAGGAACCTGTTATTATTATTATTAGTTCACAAAATAATAAATATTAAGATAGAGGAAGACATTGTACTAATAATATTGAATTTCAGGTATAAATATTACAATTAAAAAATGTAAGTAGTAATTTAACGTTAATACTCTTGGTTGTAGACTTAGATCGTATTGCGATTATACGCAAGTCTATATCTTTGCGTGGTTTATAACACAATAGCCTACAAGAATCAAGAATCTTTATTTCTGCATCAATATGCGCAGTGAATGTACAAGATGTAATAATTTATTTTCTAATTAGCACACACATTACACTAGAATCCAATAATTAAAATATTATAATATAATGAGATTTAATGAATATATTCATTAAATGTTATAAGTATAAACAATAAATTATAATTCTTAGTATTAACAATTTATAATTAAGTATTAGAAAATATGTCAACATTTTCATGTACCTTTAAGCTATAAAAACATTTCGCTGTAGTAATTTATTTAATTGAGACTTGAATATAGGTATGTATAATGTAAGTATTTATTTTTCATTCGATTTTAAATCTTAATCTTATGCTGGTAAAGCTTAAAACCAACTGGAGAAATTTGAAATTGCGATAACCTGATGTGCTGCCGTGTGTTTCTAATGTAATGTATATGGTTTTGCGTTTTCAGCTCCGCCTCGATATCACTAAATTTTCTTAATATTTATGATAATAATGATTATTATTTACCTACCTTCCATCTCCTGAGACGAGCAACGAATTTAGAAATCTATCCTCTCCTGCTTTGAATGTTGTAACACAATCACCTGCAACGGAAGACATTAAAGTGGATCTATTATAATTTTGTTTGTTTTTCCTAATACTAGGTGCATTTGTTTTTGTTTCGAAATTCATTTTAAAACATTCGGGGTGTTTTCTGACAAATAAGTACTGCTCCAATATATGCATAGAGGGCATTATTAAAACTTTCGCTTACTGCATCGTGGAAAAGGTTGGTGGCGCAGTGTTTAGCATGTCCAGTCTGTGAATCGGCAGTTAAGCAACTTTCGCAAAGGCTGGTTATGGGACGGGTGACCAAAATGTTTATAACAAGCAAGTATGTCGTCGTAAACTATGAACAGGTTTTCTCTATGGATTTAGATAGGGATGATTAAGTATAACCCACTACGCTGGCTCAGTGTGGATTGGTACGTCTTAACGATTGCAAATTTAGCCGGAACCAACGTGCCTGAGAAAACCGAGCATTATTGCCGATATAACTCGGTATCTCGAATCCACGATTCATATGGCTGCATGTGACGATTTATTTTGTCTTTGTTGTAATGAGTGAGCCAAATTATACTACAACTAGCAAGAGCGTAAACAACACAGAATATGTTGCGCTGTATCTGTCTCGCTCTTTTTATGATGAAATAGGTAATAAACATAGAAACCTTTTTAGTCGATTTTAAGACTTAAAATTACGTTATCTTATTAACTTATATTTAATGATTTTTGTTTATGTGTCACGTCACGTGACTTGAAATACGAACCGCCACTGTCTGACGCCACTTTGGCAAAAGCTGTAAGATTAGTCAATTCCTAGATGGCGCTGTCATTTATATATTTTACTGTTATATCTTATAGATGACATTGTTCTTGTTCTATTGACATCTTTTGTAGGTCGGTGGCGTAGTGGATAAGCGCCGCGGCCCGAGATCGTTGTCGTTAAGTAAATTTCGCAAGGGTCGGTCACGGGACGGATAACAAAAAAAAAAATTATCTCGAGCTACTTCGTGCTTCAGAAGGCACGTTAAGCCGTTAGTCCCGGCTGCATTTGCAGTCGTTAATACCATAAGGCCAGAGTGGAGGGTCATGGGCCATCCTCCTTAACCATCTATAAGGAATGCCTAAGCCCTTGTAGTGGAGACGTAAAAGGGCTGATAATGATGATGATATCTTTTATTGTTCTACTTTATGCATCTGTTTTGTGCTTAGGTTTAAGGTTTTGTATATATATCACAATGACGTCATGAGTATGACGGGTAGCATTTTCGCGGGTATATAAAATTGAAATTTTGATTTAGTCTTAAGGCAATTAAACATGTTTAATTTTCCGAAATATTTGTATTATGGCTTTTTAAATTAAAAAAAAAAAACAGTTACAAGTATTATTTCAAACAGAGTAGAAAACCCTATTTATTTCCTTTTTCAGGTTATGATCGGAAATCAACTAAAAATATGTACTTTATGAATAATATGTGATCTCCAGACCCTTGGGAGTCTTACTTGTGAACTTTCTTTAATTTCGCGTGACAGAGCACAGAGGACGTGATTATCGGTTGCAAACGCACCAAGTAAACACTGCCAACGCTTTTGCCAGAATGCGCTCAGGTGCGCTTAGTTTTATGGTGCCACTTTTTTCAAGTAACCTATTTACTTTTTTATTGTTATATCATTGTATATTTACTCACCATTCTCTATGTTCATGAGATTCACATACATCCTGTTTCTGGACAGTGCTACCAGGTGCTTGGAGTCGTGGAGGCCGTAGAAAGGCATCTTCTGGTTCATCACACCCTTCAAAGCTACCAAGAACTTGCCCTGTTCCAGAAGTAATTAAAGAACGCTACTTTAATTAATCATAAAACCCAGTCAAGTGCGAGTAGGACTTGCGGTGTGACTGTTCCGTACATTGAGAGCCAAATAATATGGCCACATGATGAACCGTTTGCGCTGAGCAAATCTACAAACATCGACTATAACCGAACGTATTATTATAATTTATAATGATTCTTGTTACGAGGGTCAAACTGAAAGTTCTTAGAAAATCAAAAACTGATTACATTAGCCAGTTATTAGTTTTATTATATCTTTTCAAAATATTGTCCATTCACGTCAATACACCGCTGCATGCGATGGAACCACTGGGAAAAGCACTTTGCCCACTCGTCCTTAGGGGTCTCTTCAATGGCATCGCGATACGCAGCCACCGCTTCTTCAGCATTCATAAACCGCTTTCCTTTAAGTTTTTCTTTAATTTTTGGAAATAAATAAAAATCACAAGGCGCGAGGTCGGGGCTATACGGCGGGTGACCCAGTAATTCAACGTTTGATGTCGCCAAATAGTCGATCGTTCGCTTGGCGGTGTGCGACGAGGCGTTGTCGTGGTGAAGGAGGATCCTACTGCGAGGTCGTTTCTCTCGAACTTTTTCCAAGACAAGTGGCAAACAATTGGTAGTGTACCATTCTGCAGAAACTGTTTTTTGATCCTCTAACACAATTGTTGCAAAATGACCTATCCTTCCAAAGAACGAGGCCACCATTTTTTTTCCCGCACTTCGATCTCTCTTCACTTTAGTTGGCAACTCCTCGAAAGGAAACACCCACTGAGCAGATTGTCTTTTGGTTTTAGGATCATAACAGTAAATCCAGCTTTCGTCACCTGTTAGTATGTCGAACACAGCATTTGAGTCACCTCCGTTAAATCTTTCAATCATTTTACGACACCAATCCACACGATGGAGTTTTTGAGCCTCAGTCAAATTATGAGGTATCCACCGGGCGCAAAGCTTCCTGACCGCTAAATGTTCGTGGAGGATTTTGTGCACTTGACTCATACCGATGCCTAAGCTTGTCCGAATCTGTTGATAGGTCACTCTTTTGTCAGTCTCTATCATACGCCGCACAACACAGATGTTATCTTCAGTCGTCGCCGTAGAAGGCCGTCCCTCACGTAAATCATCAGTGAGATTAGTGCGACCACGTTTAAACTCATTAAACCAGTTGTAAACAGTCGCACGAGATGGGGCTTCATCGTGAAAGGCCAATCGTAGTCTATCATAACTTTCTTGTTGACTTAAATGACATCAAAAGTCATAAAAAATCATTGCACGAAAATTTTCTCGTGTTAAATTCATGATGACGTGACACAGACAATTTTCAATTTGCCGCCAAATCGTAAAACAAATGACAAATGAATGAAATATATACTCAGTAATATTGGCAAAGAGTTATATTTTCAAATTTTAGAATTATTTTTTTTTTATATTGTTTATAAGTGGCCAGTTCTAAGAACTTTCAGTTTGACCCTCGTACCTTAACGTTAAGATGTAAAATACAAGGCATAATTGTCAGTCATTTGCCGCATTTTAAAATATATCCTCCTGCGCAGGTACATCGATGAGTCACATCAGTTGTATCTAAGAAATGTAATACCGGGTAACCGGCGATTCATCGTGTTTTTTGCGGGATGTATCTCAGTTCTATTTTGCGTGGGATCCTGTGTGGGATTTATGGGATCGAAAGGTTGCGAAATTCATATTTAGCTACTCATAGCGCTGCTACTCGCCGACATATAATTTCTGAAGTTAGGAGTCGTTTAAATGATGATAAAATAAATACCATAAAATTTTTGCGTAGTTATTATCAAAACTAATGTATAATGATGCCTCCTAGTTTTTCATCCTAGGGAATGAAATTTCTATTTGTATCTTAGGGGGCGTCCATAAATTACGTGAGGTGATTTTTAAATTTTCTGTCCCTCCCTCCCCCTCTGGTGAGATGTCGTGAGATTTTATTCAACCCCCTCCCCCATCCCCCAATCTCACGTGAGATTTTTCAAAATGCAATTTGATGAGTACTTGCGAGTATTTGCCCTGTTGTAGTATCGAGTACTCAGTATCGAGTATCGCTTTTGAAAGTATTGATACCTACTCGGTATCGAAAGTATCGTTCGAGCCCTACTAATATGGTGGTTTAACATTCAGTAGATGTATAGCGTCGAAGTATGAATGAAATTATTTTCTTTCGAACGAATTAGTGAATGATCTTAATCGTATACGATTACGCTTAAGATTAAATCTTAAGCATGTACAATCTAGATTAAATGGACCAAAATAGTATTTTTTTTATGTTTCAATCAGAAAAAAAATTGCGTTATATTTGCCGAGACCCCCCCTCTCTCCAACGTAAGATTAGATGAGATTTGCCTCGACCCCCTCCCCCCCTTAAACATCTCACGTAATTTATGGACGCCCCCTTACTGTACAAATATTGAATATCCAAATCGGAAATTCTAATCGCGAACCTTACCTGGTCCAAATCATATACTCGGAGCTCTCTACGACTGAGTACCACACATCTATACTCGTCGATTGGCACCAGATTAATAGGATGAGTCACTCCCACCAGTTTTCTTACTAGCTGACACCTGGAAAATATATTGTTCAGTTCAAGAGACCTTACTGTATTAGCGGGCGAGTAGCTACCGTTGATCAGCAGTATGACGCCTTTATATAACGGGGGCCTATTGATGAGTATAAGCAGAAGTTTCTAATATTATATCCACGTTACTCCAACAGTATGTGATTAAGTAGGGCGGGTACGCCAGTCTCACACCAGGAACCGGTATTACACAATTTAAATTCTCAAACTTAAACAATAACTTTTTGTGTTTTTCGGACATATTTTACGTTTGGTGGCATTGCCGTACTTCTACCGTGACTAAATGCGTACTAGGTCTACCTTACGCACATTGCGACTTGCCACATTCTTTTTAATTAATTTATTTCATTCATAAAAATGTTTTTGCAATAATTGAATCAGATAATCAAAATTAGTTTCAAAATGTTGCTTCAAATTCTATTTTGCCTATTCACCAACTAAATACCACTCACCTCGTGACGTCCCAAACGCATATCTCTTCTCTCTCCGTGGACACGGTCGCTACAAACTTGCCTCTAGTATCGAAACGGACAATCAGATCATAAGTCTTACTATCGAACCCTTCCACCATAGACAAGTCTTTCTTATCTTTATCTTCACTAATCTTATAAAACTCTTCATTCATTGGATAGAAAGTAGGAATGGGAGGATCAAAGATGACCTGCATCCAATTTTGTACTACTGTACTTTTGACCTCAACACCTTCCCTCTGTCTTTTCTCCATGGTCATTCTCAATAGTCCGTAGAATTGTCTATGGTCATAATCGAGAGCATACGAATGAGTTTCGAATACTTCCTTCAATATTACTATGTGTTCAGGCAAGTCGTCTATGTGTATTAAAGCTATGTCTTCCAAGAAATGGCAGCAGTCCGTGGCGGCTAGTTTATCGTGGATCCAGTCCAGCTCTACGAAGTAAGGTTGGTTCGCGAACTTCTCTGGTTCATCTTTATACAAGTGGTAGTGTTGGAATGGTAACTCGTCTAGTTTCCTCGTATTATAACTGGAAAAAAGTATGAGAAAAGATGAAACTGGCGATATAATTATAGCCGAGCGTAATAAATGAATCTGAACCTGATAAATTCGTTACCTATTATTTTAAGGAAATCAAACAAATACGTCTATGTGCTCACTTGTCTTGTGCAATTTGCAAAACTACCACTTTCGCCGTCAATGGCACCAACTTCACAATAAAATATATGGAAACTTGGAGTTCGAATGAAATGAAACTTAATGTTTTATTAAGTTATATAAAATAAAAGTATACATAATGATTTTCTGATATATTTCCCGTTTGTCAATTGCTTTTTTAATTTAGTCTAGCAACATTGCTGAACCGTGGCACAATTTTATTTCTTAACTAGTGGACGCCCGCGACTTCGTCCGCGTGGAAGTCGGTATCCCGTGGGAGTGAGAAGTTTTCCCAGTAAAAAGTACCCTATGTGTTATTCTGATGTATAACCTATATTGCTGTAAAGTTTTATCCAAATCCGTCCAGTAGTTTTTTCGTGAAAGAGTAACAAACATCCATACATCCATACTTACAAACTTTCGCCTTTATAATATTAATAGGATAACTTATACATTTTGGGTTCATTTTATTATGACAATAATAGATCGATACATCTGTGCGAGCGGAATAGCAATATTTTTGCGTAGTAATGAAAGAGATACGCAATGCCGTGTCATTCGCTGTTCGGCGACCGTGTGGAAGTCTTCGAAATTAAATGATGAGGTGACCTTCTTAAAGTGGAAAAATTACTATAATGAAATAAGATTCATCTGTGCGAGTGCAATAGTAATATTTTGCGTACGAGTGATAGATATGAAATGCCGGGTCTCTTCCATGGCTAGATTTCTAAAGTCCACTTGCAAAGAATTTCAGCAGCAGAAGTATGACACAAAACGATCTTATTCAAAACAAAATCGCCTACACTAACCAGGATTCGAATCCGGCAGTAAGCCGTGGTAGCAAGATGTTTGACAAAAAAAAAGATTACATTTATAGATGGGGATGGACTATGTGAAAGAGATGACTGAGAATGAAGCAAGGATATTAAGTCGATCAGAAGTAAAATTGAAAATATGAGCTAAAGAAGACCATAAGCAAAACATAACTGTAAGAAGGTGTACATACCATTCATCGGAAAATTTGTTTTCTTGCGAAACTAATCTGCCGGCCATTTTCGGATCGTTTTCTGCATACCACGATCCCTGAAAAGAATTATTCAAAATTAATATAAACGAGTTGCTTGGAACTTTCGTCGTTGGAACTAAAGGCACTCCATCACCAAGGAACCACTAAACTCTCAGCCGTGACTCTAGCCATACGCCATCTTAAAAATGTTATGGCGATATTTCATTTTATTTTTCGTTCGTAACTCAGGCTATACAAAACTGACTAAATTCTTTAATTAATTTTAAACTTTAATGTATTGAAGTCTTTTTCTTTTTTTATTAATAGCTTATCTGCGCGTTTCACACAATTCTGCCAATGACAAGTATATTAGCTAAATTAAATTAAAGTAATTTCTACAAAAGTCCATTGTAGAAATTAGACATATTGTGGTAGTCTGACGTGCAGCTGTGCGTACTTCAATAACTTCGAACGAATGATAAAGAATGATCATTACGGATTTGACAGCAGTAATTATTAGAGATATACCCTAAATTTATCCACCAAAAGACATCGAAACGAAACTATATACGAACTAAAATAAACTAACCTCGTAGCCACAAGCGAGATCTTCACTCATAAACTGACCTCATAGTACTGCACTAGCGTGGTCCTCACTCGGTGGTCGCAGTCGGCAAGGTAGCGATCCCTGGCGGCGCCGGCGAGGGCGGCGTCCCTCCACCGGGCGGCGCCGCGCGCGTCCCACCGTAACCATGGCGACAGCAGCGCTGCCAGCTGCGGCCAGAACAGCGACGCCGGCGCCCACGGCACTAAACAAGCAGTGGTGGCTCAATGAAACTTTGCGTTTAGGCAACACTGGAACAACGCTTGTGAAAATCAACAACAGTCTAAAACCTAATGCAGGCATACGAGTGATTGTTGAAAACGGGATTGCTGCCATGTACCTTATATTTTACAAGTTCCCAATATTTCTGGGAGTAACTGAAGTTTATGTGGGTGGGTGTTATTTGCAGCTATATAGGCTACCTTTACCTTTACCCGTACCATCAAGGAAGAGAAGGATACAATGTAATAATAACGTAATGATAGATGTTGTTGTTAATAAATAAAATAATCCCGCCTGACCACTAATTCTTGCAAATCCATCTCGGGGCCTTTGTAATTCCAACAACAAAGGGCACCAGAAAATAGCGCGCGATCTCGGTATTGAGGGATTAGAGGTTCAACTTCTTACCTACAAACATAAATCCACACTTGAACGTATAGTCCAATCGGCGAACATAGATAATTTCGTATAATGACCCGGAATTAAATATCTCTTACAATCGTGCGTAAACATATTTTTATTGCGCTCGCGCAGATGCATCTAGCCAATTTTATCAAAGTAAAGTGAACCTAATAATGTTTATGGTATCTATAAGTAGGCATAAAGGTCAACGTACGAAATTCTCTCTGTTTATTGAGTTGATACAATCACTCACAATAAGTCTCCTCACTCCTGAACAGTTCTTCGTGTGCCAACATGTCCAATATTTCCGTGTCATCCAAGCCTCTTCTAGAAGCTGTGAGTAACGCCAAACAAGTCTTAACCTTCTCCGCGCCCAGCGCCGCTTCTGTCGTCACCAGGATCTGGATCAGCTGGCCCTCCAGGTCATCACATATTACCAGTTCTGGGGCGGTTTCTGGCTCTGATTGTTCCGTAAAAGTTTCCGCTGATAAAGATATCTGCCAGGCTAGAATCTGTTAATAGAGAATTATGATACTTTGAATATCTCTTTTGATCACAAAGCCTAATCTGTTTCGATATTTACGTTGTAACCTAACCTAACCTAACCTAGGTATAAATATTAAAGGACCAAATTGAATTGTGGGGATTACATCTTAATAATATTTCTTGTAGAGTCACAAAATGAAGACGCGATTTAATAAAGAGTGAATTACAGCATGTTTTTGTTATTATAATGGAAAGTGACTTTGTAGTTGAAGTAATTTTTAGTTGAAGATATTAACAATGAGACGCTGTTCATTCTTATATGTTTGGTTAAGATTGGTGTTCTTCTTGGGACAAAAAAGTCCTGGTCTCACTGCTATAGCTGCTTTTTAAGTTATTTTTAAAGGGCTTCTGGCAACGATGAGTCATGTGTTTTGATGTATTTTTATAAATAGGATTTACTAAAATACGTACCTTAGCATATAGAGGTAAGGTGCATTTTTGTACGGCCTTCACGGCTGCTTCTGGTGGCGAAGCGGCTCCGGTTTTGCTGTAGGTGGCTGCGCATGCGGCGAGAACCGCCTTCGCTTCCTCCGGTCCCACGGGTGGGGCGCGGACTATTTTTGGTCCATCTTCTGATGATAACACGGCCATTATTGCTGAACTCGATGGCTCGTCCGTTTCTATTTATCAATTAAATGAAATGAGTCAATTAATATAACAATTAAAAAATAAATGTAATGCTGTGGCACATGATACAGCCAGATACAGCTGTAAGCTAACCAAATCTTTAACATTAATTAATATAACATTCTGGTTAGTTGTAACGACATAATAAAAAAAGGTTAAACTATAACAATAACAAACTAGGGGTAATTAAAAACCCCCTTATTCTGTAACTCTAGCATCTTCTGAGGACAACCGAAATAAATTGTCCACAGAGCTATATGACATAGTGCGGTTTTGGTATACAGTAACTCATTTTTAATAGATCGCTAATCCCTAGTCAGTTGCTATATACATATATATATTTTAATTTAGATGAAATCATTTAGTCATTGTACTTATTGGAGTTCACTTTCATGGTCATTAATGCTTACAGAATTCAAAATAACAGTTTTTCGATAAAATACCAAATGCTAAAATTGCTAGAAAATACGAGTGATTTTGACACATTAGAGTTGCTAACTTATAACAGTGACTAGTGGCCGCCAACGACTTCATCCGCGTTTTCCATTATTTCTTCGGTCCTCATAATTACAGCGTGATGTTATATAGTCTAAAGCCTTTCTCGATAAATGATCTATTCAACACAAAAAGAATTTTTCAATTCGAACCAGCAGTTCCTGAGATTAGCGCGTTTAAAGAAACAAACTCTTCAGCTTTATAATATTAGTATAGATCAGGGGTGGCCAACTTGTTTAGACCCGAGATCGACTTTTCAATGACGACACCCAGTACGATCTACCAATTACTTTACAACTTAAAATCTTAAATGAAACAGCATAGTTTGTACACAATTATGTAGCATTTTTATTTTATTTATATTTTTTGAATTGCCACGATCGACTGGACTAATAGTCGCGATCGAATGGTTGGCCACCCATGGTATAGATTATGAGTAGGTTGTCAATTGAGTTAGCGAATAGGCCCGCAGGTATGTTATTCTCACCCTCCGTGACGGTGACGATCATCTTGACGTTGTCGGGCAGCCGCTCGGGCAGCCAGCGCGCGCCGCGCAGCGCGTCCGCCCCCACCACCGCCAGCAGCACGGGCCGCGCGCGACCCAGCGCTGCCAGCGCGCGCCGTAGCGCACTAGACAACGAGTGCACGTCCTGACAGAAACGTATACCGATATAAGCCCTGCAAATTGCTAATGCGTTGAAACTTTGTCTTAATAACAACCTCTTGACGTCATTTGAAAATAGAAAGTATTGTAGCAGAAATACTATTATAATAAATTTAATAACTTTTAGTTTGTTAATTTATTGCGTGCTTCCTTTTGAAAAATAATCAATTTATATGTAAATGTTGAGGTATATGGAAAATAAAAAATATAAAAAAAAAGTTTACTTTCTAGTAAAGGGTTAACAAACAGAAAGATTTTTTTAAAAACATAACCAAAAGCAATAATGAAATGAGAGACATTATAGCGAGTATTTAAAGTTCTATTAGTCACTCTAGTAGAGCTGCAGAATTGTATGAATTATGAAGACTATAGACAGCCGACGATTATATTTACCACGGGAAAAAGTAACAGTAACTGAACCTTGAAACCTTGTCCAAAACTACGTGCGAATTGGACGCGTAACGTTATGTAAGTATTTACTTATTATATTTGATTAATTTTGCATTCACGATGGTATTAATTAAGTAATTTTTTATTAAGAATTTTTTAAATTTTTGTTTAACTTTGAATTGGTGTTACAAATAAATAAAACGTTTACAGATTTTATTAAACTTTAAACCAGAAATTAAGTCTTAATCCCACACCTACGAGTTTATAGCGGCTAATTTTAGGAGCCGCAATATTTTTTTTACAATACATAAATAAAGTTGTGTCATTTTCAAATCAATTTTAACTAAGAACTAAATTCAATGAATTACATAAATGATCTTTAAACAATGTACTCACATTTCGCCCTCTATATACAGATCCAGTGTGTAACACGTAGCATTGGTCGACTATAGACTTGAGGAGTTGGTGTGAGCTGCTGGACTGTGATGTTAGCCCGACAAACCTGGGAACAAAAGGTTTAGTTTTATACGTGGACAGGAATACAAAATTTATACGCATCGTAAATCTTCATATGCGGTGATAAGATAGCTTACTTACTCAGACTTACTTTACGACATCCCCTGATTAATAGCAGGCGTATTCGCTAATGAGGAAGTATTAATAAAAAAACATTAGTTCCCGAAATCAAACTAGATGTCGCTACAGTACGTTCTTGATTTCTCCAAGACAACCCTTCCGGTTTTCTTTCATGTTTAAAAGTAAATTAGTTTTCAAAACTCAATAAACAATTCATATTCTATTTGTACTTTTTCGTATTTGTATTGACATCTTAGTTTCGAACTGTCTTGTCACGGTCTTTGGTTCATTCGTTTCCTGCAAAAATCAACTTTTGCTAGAGTCGCCATTTAGTGTAGGTGCTTTTTTAGTGCTTTCGTTTTTTAAAATACTTTACTTATTGACAATATAAAGTCTTAAACATCGTAAAAAGTGAGCAATTCTCTTCAGTATATAGCATTATTTTACATTATACAATAGCGTTACTGTCTAGGGATTTAGTAATTTATTAAAAATAAGTTATAGGATACTGAAACCGCGTGATGACCGCTTGCCTACAGAGCTCTGTGAACAATTTATTTCGGTTCTCCTCAGATGTTGCCAGAGTTACAGAATAATGGGTCTGGGCCCTTATTTCCTATGAAAATCAAGATTTCACACGTGAATCTTACCACTCAAAAACCACGTCAATATAACATGTCACGGTAAGGATTCCGCTGAATCATTCTATTGTCTTTCTCTAGTTAATTCTAATGATAGACAAAAATAATTTACAATCACATAACGAATTTTGTCTTGATACCTTTAATGCCCGTTTCGTGGCGCATTACTTATTCGTTTTTTTAATTATTGATTATGGTAGTTTAGTGTGGTCTTCTATAGTATGTCATTTATCAAGTATTGTATGATGCCATGCTTACATATATGTTAAATTCAGTATTAATATCCATTTTTATGAAAATCAACAACGAGCGACCCTCATACATGATATTAAATACATGATATGAGGAAAAACATAATCAATGATTATAAAATATATGCAAAAACGGGTAAATGGTTTGTTGTTTTATTATTGTCCTAAATAATATTAAATAAATAATAGTGACCTGACGATGAGTGCGAGATCTTGCTGGCAGGCGGGCGCGAGGCATACTGCGCGCGCTACGAGCGTGGCCTTCCCGCAACCCGCGCCACCAATCAACGCGAGCGGGACATTGCTGTCACCGGTTATATAACTAAAAACAAATACACTGCATGTTAGTGCATGTACAAAATCTCATATAACATTAGCCCTGAGATTCTGTACAAATCCGAACTCGAATTAGAATTCACTCAGGTTTCCTAATTCACTTCAAAAGCGGCATCCGCTCAACCTTGAATTGTTAATAACGTTTCGTGGCATAAGTGAAGTGATATAAGAATGGAGTACCTGAGACACGTATGAATCAATCGATCTTATTTTTTTTTTTATTTTTATACAAAAAATGGAATTAATAGAATTTCTACTTTTAATGTTGTTAATTTGGACACATGAGTGAATTCAAATTCGGGTCTGGATTTTACAGAATCGCTCTGCAGAAAGAAAATCGTGGGGTAAATGGATTTTTAAAACATTTCCGTTAAAAATATATTCTAGTATGGCATTGTAAACAAGCTGCGTTTCCTGATTGTAAAGTTTGAGTCGATGGTCCTTCGAGTCGATTTTAAAAGTAAGTACAAAAAAAATCACTTACGATTTGAGTTCATTTAGTGTGATCTCCCTATTCGAGGTACATTGCGCCGCTTTCTGGCAGAATGCGAGGTGTTCGTTGATCTCGTCAAACAAGCTGTGGGGAAAATGGTATATATATCAGTATATTAAAAAAAAATAGTTTGACAGTTTATTAAGATACGTCTATCTTTTTGGTTTAGCACGAAACATTCCTGCGAGTCAGCATTTACGCCACGCGTAATTTATTAATATAGGTATGTTATTTTCAATTAGTTCGCTATATGGTTCGAATTTACTTACGAACCTAATTATGTAACATCATGAAAACTTTAATAAAATATAAAGTGTATTGGGAAAATAGTAAACCTATCAAAATTAAGCAGTGTTTTTTTCTATCAAGATAGGAGTGTGGTCTTTATGGTCCTTCGAGCCGGACTTGAACCTGTGACTTATGGATCTTTGGGAACATAGATAATTGAAAAACGTAGCCGACTAATAAGGCAACAGAGAATTAATAAAATAAATGATATTAGTAGCGTAAATGCTGACGTCGAGAAATATTTGGTGCTAAATGGTATAATAGGATAGAGTGAGAGGAGGAGTTCATGATAAGCTACATTAAAAAATTACCATCTTTTTCTCCACATGAAGGAGGCAACAAATGAGTTCGATTTTAATGCCTATTATCTAAGCCATTTCTTGTTTAAATCGACGCAAAAAAATACATGCTTATAAAATCAACTTTGTCCTTGGCACTCTAAGTTGGGACTCGTACCCATGACCTTGCTTTGGGTGGATTGCCTAAACATTAATGGAAATATGCTCAGTAGTGGCAGAAAAGTAACGAGTGCTTGAAAAATACGTCAGGCCTGTTAGGTCCTGGGTAGCTCAGTGGTTAGAGCAGTCGTCAGGATTGCCGAAGTGCCAGGAGCAAAGTGGATTTTTTAAGCATTTTTCATTGTGAATATATATTTTTTTTAAATTGATCAAGTAAAATAAGATCCTTAAATATAATTCTATTTTAAGCAAAAACTAATAGAGTATGTGACACTTTTCTGAAAACTGTTTTAAATCATGGGAATCTTATCTATTTTAGATGAAAGTAATTGTTAAAGTTTAAATAGTCATAATTGCGCAAAGACGCTGCTCTATGTAATGGGGTTGTTATTTTTACATGACAATTTCCTGTTTACGTGTAACGTCACACGCCGGTAAACAGAACATGAGTGGTAAGTGTAAGTTTTACGCTAACGCGTTCACTAATGAGCGCGTTAAGAATTTGTATGGAGATTTGTAGTCCTTGATAGTTACGCGCTGCA